TAGTATTGATTTTTATACTCTTCAACTCAATAGCAAACCAATGCCTCCTGCAGTTATTTGCCTTTGTTGCCAATCTCCAATTTTTTACACAATTTATATTTGATATCTCCATCCTCATGATACAATCTATGTTTTTCAATACAAATAACACTACTTAACGATTATCCAAAAAGTGGATTATTTATTCTTTATGTCAAACTTGTTCTCATCTTGGTTATAGATATCTTCATAGACATGTTTCAACCAAATACTCTTTAGCCATCATCAGGTGTTCCTCAATAGGAAAACTGATTAATCAATGCAAGTATGGCCAATTGCTATCTATCAGCTGATTAAGTGATGCAACCCTAAAAGGAAATCATATTTTGTAAAGGACAATTAGATATGACAGAGGAAAATGTTAGCATTCTCAGGGTAACATTTCCCACAAACATTGGCTATGGTATATCTGTTATTGTTATTTTGTCTAAGTGATACCAGTTACTGCTCATTTCTGCTGAACTGGTAATAAATAAAATTATTTCTTGATGTTTCATCACCTCAGGGAGTGCTGGTTATAGATATTATGATAGGATTGATAGATCACTATAGAAATTTATTATTGTACCGTGATAAAAAAAAAATCATCACTGTATGTGATGGCTGAACTTTACAGAAGTTTGGAAAGATGCAAAAATTGTCAATGTTATTAGTACTGCATGTTTTTTCTGTTGCAAAGTAGGACTCAATGTACTTCCTGCTCTTCCCTACTACTGTGACAATGGATTGCTCCTACTTATATGGCAAGTAGCCTCATTAGAATAGGTTTTGAGTAGTATTTGATTTACTCATGTTTTTTTGTTCTATATATATTTAATAAACTACCTCTTCTATTTTCCCAACCTAGTCTTCTGTTCTTTTGATATTCTCTCTATGGCCTTCCTAATTCTCGGCTATTTTGAACAAAGACAACATTACAAAATTTTCTAAAGCAACAAAGGTTAGTTTTTAAGCAAAGATTTTTTTTTCCAATGAAGTAGACATAGATCAATTAATCAGTTGATAAACAGTAATTACTCAAAAATTGGCCCAAAACAAATTAATGAAAAACTTAATAAAAGTATTCTAAGATAACCAATGATTCTTAAGCCAGACTCAATAGGAAAACTGATTAATCAACAAATGCAGATATGACCAATTTCTGTCTATCAGGTGATTAAGGGGTGCAACCCTAAAAGGAAATATTTTGTTGGATACTTGTAAAGGATGCATAGACATGACAAAAGGAAAATGTTAGCGTTCTCAGGCTAACAAATCCCAGACATAAAGGGGAAAGATTATATTGAATCCGTTGCTGTCTGCTGCTTGGAAAGTTGATTCAGTCATGCTAGACAATTTTTCTTGACATAATCTATCTTAAATATTTATAAGTCTACCATTTATCCTTGCTTTGAATATTGCAGCCACATTTGGTCTTGTGCTCCAGCTATAAATTTAGAGTTTCTTGATAAAATCCAAAGAATCTGTAATTTTATGTCCTGACAACTTGGCTTCAGTTGCTTTCCCTCTACCATAATGTAGCTTCCCTGTGCCTTTTCTATAAATACTTTCATCATAATTATTCTAATGAATTTTCCTCTATGGCTCCTAAACTTTACAAATTTAAGCATAGTACTAGATTGGTAGCAAAGTCACATCATTTTATAGTTGAAATGGCTAGATGTAACCATAAGTTCTATGCTAATAGTTTCTTCTATCGCACTTCTCACTTGTGGAACTCTCTGCTAGCTCCTTGTTTTCCAATCAACTTTGCAAAAATTTAAAAGCAATGTCAATTGTTATCTTCCCTCTTAATTCCTGTTCCTTTATTATTTTCTCTTAATAGTGTTTTTCTTTTCTCATATTCTCTAACACTCAACAGCACCTTGCATCTTAATGTCTTTATTGCTTTGCTTGAGGTGAAATAATTAAAACAAATAATCATATGAAGAGGACTCAAGTGAAGTTTACCAAAAAATGTAATAACCATAGTATAGTGTTTTTTTTAAAATGGATACATATTCTGTTAGTTAGCCTTCGCCATTTCACTAAATGGCCAAATGGGTCGAGCTTAACAAGACTTAACACAAGGCTCCAATTGTAAGTAATAAGAATCACTTTTCCATGATGTTGTCTCGACATATTTTATTTTGTTAGTAATTATTTATTCATATATTACTTTTTAAATTTAATTCTAATTTTCAGACCAGCCAGGTTAGTTTGTAAATTAAAAAATAACTCATAAGCATATGAAATCTGGCTTACTTGGCTTTTTGGTAACCCATGCAAGTAAATAGGTCAATAATTGCATTGTTTTAATAGGGGGCAATGAAACTTTAACTAAGTTAAAACTTAAAAAAAAAAAAAATTTATTTTATTCCCTCACCATAATGGTAAGTATTCCAGTCAAAATGCCAGTGACTAAACAAGACTACCTGACTCCAAGTTCTTCCAAATGAGGTGGCTTGTTAGCAAGTCTATAGGACAAAAAACATGACCTAAGAAAGGATGAAGGAACTCTCTGTCAACAGCCAGCTAACTAAAGGTGGTGTCTCCATAAAACACCATGGAGAATGCAACAGAAAACCACTCCACCATCAATCCCAAGACATATAGCTAACAAGATGAAACCTAATACCTAATGGTGTGAGGGGTAAATCTATGGGACCTAACTCCTTGCCCAGTAAGGACAGACATGTGCAACAGGTGTCACCTGACTGTCATCCAGTGACTGCTATCATAAACTGTGTAAAGGGGATAAAATTCCTCAGAACCTATCACTTGCCCAGAAAGGAATGGCACAAGCAACATGTGTCACCAGACCGTTATCTTGCAACTGTTTTCATCAAACATATAATAACTCATGGGACATGGAACATTCGGACATTGAACAACTGTAGCCAGTTAGATAAACAAGAGATGAGCAGGCTTAAAATCAACATCCTAGGTGTATGTGAAACCAAATGGCCTAATAATGGAGATTTTATCAGCGATGAGCACAGGATAATCTATGCAGGCAGAGAAAAAAAACGACAAAGGAGTAGGTTTAATACTAGATAAAACATTTAAAATATGCATTCTGGGATACTCTCAAATATCCGAAAGAATTCTGATAGACAAACTAAAAGGAAAGCCTTTCAACATAGCTATTATAATAGTGTACTCACCGACAGCACAAAGCAAAGAGGAAATTAAATTTTTCTACTCCATGGTAGACAATGCCAAGGCTCTTTGCAAATCACAAGTTCTCATTATCATGGGAGACCTAAACGACAAATTAGGCAGGGAGAGGTTAAGGAATATAGCAGGAGGATTTAGACTAGGAACCCGCAATGAACATGGACAAAAATGGATCAATAGTATACAGCCAATGACCAGGTAATAGCCAATACATGGTTCCAAGAACATTGAAAACAATTATGGACATGGAGGAAACTAAAAACAAAATTGACTACATAACTATCAACAAATGATTCAGGAATGCAATGATTCACTGCAAAACCTACCGAAGTGGCAACTGCAGAAACGATCATCGCCCTGTCATATGTAAACTAAGAGTGAAACTGAAGAAGCCTAACACAGCACCCAAATTGCAATACAGCAAACTCCTGAGCGATCCTAACCTAAAAGAAAAAATACATGAACAATGTGAAAAGATACGAGGCATGCAATGGAAACTCAAAATAGGACACACTAAGAGACACTTTAGTGACATCAGCAAATGATATCATCCCAAATGAGAAGGGACAAAAAAGAAAAAAACGACTGGATGACTGATGGGATTCTAGACATGATGCAAAGGAGACAGAAAACGCTGCCAAAATACAAAGCAGAATACAGAAAATTACACAATGAAATAAGGACCAAATGCAGGCAAGCTAAAAAAGAGTGGCTAAACAAAAAATGTGCAGAAATGGAGAGATTGAGTACCACCAACAAAGGAAATATGCACAAACAAGGCAACTAACAGGACAGAAGACATGCTCGTCAACAGACTGTTTAAAATCAAAGGATAGAATGCTCATATTAGAGAAAGAAAAAATTCTTCAATGCTGGAGCGAGTATATTGGAGAATTCTTCCACGACGTAAGCAATACACAAAACAACCAATGGACTGAAAATTCTGAAAACTGAAGAAGCTGCACTGGCCAAATTGAACAGAAACAAGGCAAAGGCAGCAGGGCCAGACAAAATTGTAAAGGAAATGCTGACAGCCTTAGATGACTTTGGCATAGACAAGATCATAGAAATAACAAATGAAATCCACAACAGTGGGGGATATCTCAGAAGATCTATCTTCATAACAATGCCTAAGAAACTAAGTGCAAACGAATGTGAACTCTACTGAACAATCAGCCATGTAACAAAACTCACCATCCATATTCTGATGAATAGAGCACACAGCAGAATCAGGCCAAAGATAGGACAAGAACAGTGTGGGGTCATTAAAGACACCGGAACAAGGAACGCAATATTCATGCTCAGAATTTTATCAGAAAGAGCAATACAAATGCAGAAGGATGTGTACCTATGTTTCATAGACTATGCAAAGGCCTTTGACAAAGTATGCCACAAAGATCTGTTGGAACTGCTCAGCAACCAAAATATATTCAGGAAAGATATTAGAATAATCAAGAACCTATACTGGCAGCAAACAGCATGCATGCACATAGAGAACGAGTTCAGTAAATATGCAAAAATAGAAAAGGGCGTAAGGCAAGGATGCGTCTTCTCACCAGACCTATTCAACCTATAGTGAGGCAATTCTGAGAGAAATGGAAATCCTACCAGCATTCAACATTGGCGAAATGGGTTAAGGGACTTGTGACAAAAACATCAAATTCTTGTACGAGGAAAAAACACTCCTCACATTCTCTGGGAAAAAGAAAATCAGACAGATATGTCAATTCAAAATCTTTAATATACAAATGTAGATAAAAAAAAAAAAAAAAGTTGTGAAAAAATGCCAGATTTCTCTGTTCTCAAGACGGAATGGATGCTTGTAAGATCTGAATTTCTTCAGTTGGTCGATCATTACTGTCTGTTTCCACAAGCCCAACCCTATGGACAACATTCATTCCTGAGCTAATACGTCCAAATATGGTATGTTTTCCATCCAACCACTGGGTGGGCACAAGAGTTATAAAAAATTGGCTTCCATTTGTATCTGGGCCACTGTTAGCCATGGACAAGATGCCTGCACCTGCAAAAATTAAGGTGAAAAATTTCTTCAATTATGATTTCATGCAAATACACTCTCCCCCACCACTTTCTCTCTCTCACAAGATATGATATACAACTCTATGTATCCAACTGATGGTGGATTACTTAATGACAAAACATAAAAAAGACTTCTATATTATGTTTCATCTTTTGGACTTCTTCATACTAATAATGGTTTTTAGCGAAAAGACTTGTTTATATATGTAGGGAGGGACATAACATATAACAAACACTGCTTACAGTTTTACAATGAGAAACACCAAAAGTACAGGCATGCTTAGCTTTAAATTTTTGGCATTCGATATATTTAGATGCATAGCTGATCTCATTCAGCTTCCTAGTGCTTTTGTTTTGATTTTTATCTATTATTTTTAAATATGCCACACTGTAATAGCAGTAGTTTGGTTAAGAAAGTATATATATATATATATATATATATATATATATATATATATATGAGAGAGTGAGAGACAAAGATTGAGATACACAACAAGAGTAAAAAAACATGAAAAAGATTCTCCTAAAAATTCTATGCCTAAAAGATATTTATCTTTATCCACAAATCCATCTACTCAAATAATTGCTGATTAATTCAAAGACCTTGTAATTAAAACTGTGCCAACCACATCTTCTACCATAAAAGACATAATTAAAAAATCAGAAAATAAGAATAATAAATACTAGTTTTAACCTTTGAAAATTTCAGTTTTCCTATTTTAATATTCTGATGAATCTTAATTCTTGAGTTAATGAACAAGTAAGCTGTGGTCAAAAGAAATTAACAATTCTGGTTTGGGACATATTTCATATATATATATATATATATATATATATATATATACACTGGTTACTTGGTATTGTTCATTATTCGTTTCTACTGTTACAACTGTACATACAGTACGATGTACCCAGACAGACCCACCTCTCATCTCCACAATGGTCTACTTATAATGGGGAATCGCCAATCACTCACCCGGATGATAGACTTACTAGACATACAGGCATCTCAGATTATAGCACTAACACACCCAGATGTCCCTCCCTGATTCTATCCAACCATACTAATACTATACACAGTTGCTAATGAACCAGTTTCTTGTAAGAGAACAAAGAAGAAGGATCTCTTGATGGAACAATGCACTCACCTTCTCTCAGATTGAAGTCCTACATGCCAAAGTTGAACCCTCTTTCGTCGAGAATAAGGCAAGAAATGTTCACTATTTCTGCCATTCAACTTCAGTTCTGGTTCACTATGTCTGCCACATAAGCTCATAGCGAGTCATACAACAAAATATTCAGAGAAATTCTCTAATCACATTGTTAAATATTTGAGCTTAACAATTTTAATAAAATATTGCAATAACAATCAAATATGAATGCTAGTTGTTATTTTAAGAAGTGGGTATGTACAAATGAAAAGATTTGAAATTGATAACTTTTCCATTTCACTGAAACAACCGTTAAACACTTCTATCTTTCCTTCTTTCTTTCATTCATTAAATAATGTCTTTTCCCCTCTTTCCATGCAATCAAAATGGAATAGTCCATTATTTATGAAGTATCAGCAGCAGGATGTAATAGTCGTGCAAACTAACAAAGAAAGGGACAAGCAGAATTATAATTGGATAACTCAAATATAATCCCATGTAATCAGAAGGATAAAATTTATGTTGGTGAAATAAAATGAAGTTTAAAAAAACATTTCTAAACACAAAAGAACTACAAACATTGGGGATACATCAAATTCTTTATTTTCCCATATACAAAATGCAAACATTTTTTATTTTAAAAATACCAAAATGGTTAAATTTATTCATCATAAATCATCTAGAAGAATTATAGAACTAGCTATGATATCATGATTCAATTCAATTAATCAAAAAGTAGGTTCTTATAACATATTACCTTTTCTAGTTAATACTTAAAGAAAAACAGATACTGGCTAAATATTTTATAAAATTTTATTCTTTCTTTAAAACCTAAAATCATAAAATATATTTTTATTTATAAATATTCACTAGTCTTTGGATATATGCAATTTATTTTTCTCACTAATATCTTTTTTAAATTTTATTAAGTGCCAAAATCTTTTAAAAATTAACTTATCTAAATAACTTATGGTCAGCTGAATAAGAACAATCATCTGATAAAAGCCAGAGAGCACAATGGTCAAAACATTACCAACAACAAAATGAGGACAATAGTCCACATTGAAAATAAGGATAACCTCATCCCCAAAATTCAGACAGAATTTTAAAATCCATTATTATCAATACACAAAAGTATTACAATGTTGTAAGCATCAGTTGTTTTTACTAAACTTTCAACCAGGTATATGTTTGTTGGCTCAGGTTGGAAATTATTTCAAACTAGCCTAGAAGCCATCCTTCAGCCTCTTACCTCCGGTATCCTATATATATATATATATATATATATATATATAAGTTATAAGAATTTAGAAATAATAAAATTATTTTATAAAATTATTTTATCTTTATTTGACACCTTAATTCGATATAATGTTTCTTCGCAACCAATCTCCATAGTTTATTTACATTTATTTTGCGCACAAATTTTTATATTATTTTAAAAATCACCATTCTTTATGATCCCTTCACATAGTCACTCTTAAAAGACATTAAGAAACCCAAACTATATATTTTGAATACGTCACAGTACGCGTATTAGAAAAAGAGAAAAAAAAAACATGAGCAACGTACCATGCTCCACTTAAGTTTCAAGATGATATCAATTGCAACGAAAAGCAAAATTAAAGTTAAACCTTTTATAAAGAATTGTTTTTTTAAACCTTTCACCCTAATATTTAAATTTAACTTTAAATGAGTTATTTATCTAACTTTTACTCGTATGCAACTACAGTAGTTACTAGCTGTTAATTCAGGTTGTTTATGATTCACCGAGATCAGAAAACGGTCAGACAAACAGATGTACACTGCACTTTATTTATATAGATAGAAGCACAAATTAAAAATAATAAAATTAACCACCAATGAAATCACTAAAATCTAAATCCAGGCCAACTTGAATGGAATATATTTACTAATATGTTATCAATTTAGTTTACCATCAATTATCGCTAACTACTGTCCTCCTGATCACACTTCTTTTGTTCTCACTCCTTAGTAATGTTTCTGTTTTCTAATACTTCCACACCCAGTAACCCCTTGTGCCTATATATATATATATATATATATATATATATATATATATATTTTTTTTTTTCTTTTCACCAACTAGGCTTGAATCTTACACACACAACTTTCTGGCCAGCTCCAAGTACATTTCAAAGTTAGTGATTTTGATCTTTAATATTCTCAGGTCAGATGTTAAAGTTGTCTTCTTAGTATTCTGAATTCTTCCTAAATAGCAAATAAAATTTTATTTCTCTTGGAGTTTATAAGAATTAGTGTTAAGTAGATTCTAGAAAAAAATCCTATTATAATTAGGCTTGTCCCTCTCTATGTTAGTTCACACAACCATTACGTCCTGCCAGTACATTATAAATAATGGACTATTCTGTTTTGATTGCATGGAAAAAAGGGAAGAGATACTACTTGGTTTCAGTGAAAGATGTGAAGATATAAAGGGAGAGTGAGAGAATTAGAATAAGCTGATAAGAACAGATAGTTCACTTTGATCTTAGCCAAAAGGCTGAGAAGCAATGGCAACCACAATAAAAAGTGCCATTTATGATGGAAACTGAGTAAGGTAATCACCAAAAGTCCAGTTACCTAAATAAAATAACATTGTCTGCTAAATTATTTTTAACTAATTAAAAGAAATGTTCAGAAGAAGAGGGGGGGAGGCTAATTAAATCTTAATTTTTAATCATTCAAGTTTATCAGGGTAACCATTTGGCTCATTCCGTGTCAAATCAACAAATTGGGGGGGCAAATACCATGTCTGACACGGATTTTTTTCAAATTTGCTACACTTATAGATCTCCATGAAAGGAATTGAATGGCACCTGTTACACATCTCAAGGTCAAGGGGTTCCTGTGATATGACCTCTGACCTTTTTACGAAAATGTGAATAGTGACCAACTTTAAAAGATGATATCTCAGTTGTTTATGGACCTACAAAGTTCATTCATATATCATTCTAAAGTACTTGGATAGATCTACAATTTTATCTAGGGATTTTTTTTAGAGGTCAAATAAAAAGGTTGACCTTGACCTTTGAACTGACTTATCTCAAAAAACGTTATTTTAATTTTTTTTAAATTTTGACAAAAGATCTGTCTATCTTATGATAGTATATATTCCAAATTTCATGATGGCCATTCCACTAGAACTGTTGTTACAAGCGTTTTATAGAACTGGGCAAAATTCAAAATGGCGGAATGTAGTATCTGCTACTTCATATAAAAACATTGATATTTCACAATATGGTCAAATTGTATATCTTTGTAAAGCTATTTTAATGCTGATTAATATTCACATAAGGACCATGGTCATGAAATCAATAAAAAATAATTTTCTGGTGATGAAACTGAATTTTCTTCATTTTTTTTTCTAATGCAACACAGATTTTGTCATGGAAAAAGTGATATAATAAAGAAAGAATTCTGAAAAGTGTTAAGGTTTAATTAAATTATAGCATAAAAAATATGTGACCTCAATGGTGAACAAATTTTGGTTGATGTTTGATATTCTAAATCTACAGAAATAAAGCAATTTCTGTTGTTTATGGTTACTTTTTTTTTTTTTTTTTTAATGAAAAAAACTTTAAAAATGAATGTTCTAAAAAAAATTCTTGACATGTTGAGTTTTATGCAAGTTCTGGTTGTGAAATCAAAGTAATTCTTTTCTGGAGATCATACTGTTTTTAACATTCCTTTCATACTTTTTCTTATACAACACAGATTTTGATACGGAAAAAGTGATGTAATAAAGAAAGAATTCAAAAATGTGTGTCAAGATTTAATTAGGTTATAGTATCAAAAGAATAAATGACATTTGATGGTGATGGTGAACAGTTTCTTTGACTTTTGACATGATACACTATATCCACAAGAAATCAATCTGTGTTCATTGGGATACATTTCAAAATGGAAAATGAAAAATCTGTTTCACTGAAGCTTTTTTATAATAATGAACTTTAATGTATTTTAGATTTTTCTTTCAAAATCTTTCTTTCTAAAATATTTGATGCATTTTTCATCTCATTTTTTGAAAGTTTATAAGTTCTTCCTGTTTCGGTTATTAGATCAATAAGAATATCAGAATATTTCAAAATTGATATATTTGAATGTGATGGATAATAGAAAGATGGAGAGGGTCCATTTGGTTGTAAAAATGTCAATTTCACCTCTCCATTATCTGGATATTTTTCAAGTATGCATCCTAACCACAAATTCCTATCATGAAGTGCTGTCACAAATCCGTTAATGTCTTCGAACTCCATATTGTATAGCTTTGTGATTTGAACTATCCTTCCTTTATTTTGTGTTGACACTATTTTTACTTCCAATTCCCTCTGAGAGACAGGAATGAAAGTATGTAATTTCTGTGTTCCTATAATAGTGGAGGAATTGCTAAATCTATCTTCTAAGATGTTTGCTTCATTCGTCCATTCTGCAGTTGAGGAATATAAGAAATGTATTCTGGAAATATTTTTTCTCACATAAAAATACAGCTGTCTTGGCATCATGATTTGTTCATTATAGGGTCACTGCAGGCTAGCTTTTGCTGCTAACCTTTTAACAGTGTCACCTAACCCATCACATGGTCCTTTCCAATGAGAAGTAGCAAAAAAGTGCCACTTTGCATCAATACCAAAATCAGATTTATGGTTGCACAAATTTATAAAGTTTTTAAAATTTTTATAGTGTGAAATAGCACCATCAGAGAAATAAATCATTTTTTGGACATCAAAATCAAGAATTTCTTTTAATTTTTCTATAAGCTTTCTTTGAAACAAATGGACAGCTACTGTGTCATGCTTGAGACAATCAGATATTATTACAAAATTAATATGCTCAAGGTCAATTCTATTTCTATAGTAGCAGATGAATGGATGCAATGTAGCTTGATCATAATTCCAGTGGAAGCCTTGAGCCACATCTTGCAAAATAAATGAATAATTTTCAGCAAAATCTGCTATTGCTAAAACTTCACCAACCTTCAAAGAACCTTTTCTATCAGAACAAAATTTTGATTGTGCTTTGGCAATGAAATTATGCTTCTTCAATGTTTGAAGGCCTGCATGGAAAGTTTCAATGAATTCCTCTGTGGATTGTGATAGTTTGTAGAGTGGTTCTATCAGTTGATAACCACTGTTTGTATACAAAATCATCAACTGAATTTTAGTAAAAAATTTCTTCCATATACAAAACAAAATCATCCATCAGTTTGCTGCAAGTTGAGCAGTCACCCAAGTAGCAACTTGCTGATGCTTCATTGCATATAACAGCAAGTATGCATTGATGGTTATCTGTCAAATGATAATTTTCTCCTTCAGTCAGTTTACCAAGATGAGATCCTGAAATCATCAACTTCATATTCTGATGGATTGTGCAAATTGCAGACAGTATGAGTCCCAGCACCACCTGCTAGCACACATTCTTTTGGTCTAAGCTCAGCAAATTTAGAGAAGCTTATTTTCTCCTGGTTCTTTGATTTGAATAATTCAAATGCCTCTTTCAAGTTACAGAGAACAAGATATTTTTGTTCCTGAACCCGTTTCCCATCCTTTAAAACAGTCTTGTAATCATTTTTTCCAGGCATCACTCTACTGACATCTTCACTTTTATAAAACTGCCTCACTTTATCAATCGTTTCTTGTGGGAATCTAGTTTTTCGTGTGTTTGGCAAAGCTGAAATTCCTTCCTCATTCACAAGTTTTTTGCTTGTTTCGCCATGTACATTGTAGCGCCAAATTCTGTTTGTATTTTGCTTAGACTCCAGCTTTTTGGAAGTACAGTCAGAATTTGAATTTTTTGTGATCTCTTTTCACTAACAGCAAACTTCTCTTTCAACTGGATGATGATTCCTCTTTCAAAGTTTTGGTGTTCTGCGCTATTTGATTCCTCATGAGAAATGTTTGATGAAATTATACTGATTCTATCAGATATTGCTCCTGTAAATTTTTTCTATATATTTATATATATCACTTTTTCTATGACAAAATCTGTGTTGCATTAGAAAAAAAAATGAAGAAAATTCAGTTTCATCACCAGAAAATTATTTTTTATTGATTTCATGACCATGGTCCTTATGTGAATATTAATCAGCATTAAAATAGCTTTACAAAGATATACAATTTGACCATATTGTGAAATATCAATGTTTTTATATGAAGTAGCAGATACTACATTCTGCCATTTTGAATTTTGCCCAGTTCTATAAAACACTTGTAACAACAGTTCTAGTGGAATGCCCATCATGAAATTTGGAATATATACTATCATAAGATAGACAGATCTTTAGTCAAAATTTAAAAAAATTAAAATAACGTTTTTTGAGATAAGTCAGTTCAAAGGTCAAGGTATTTTTTTTATTTGACCTCTAAAAAAAAAAAAAAAATCCCTAGATAAAATTGTAGATCTATCCAAGTACTTTAGAATGATATATGAATGAACTTTGTAGGTCCATAAACAACTGAGATATCATCTTTTAAAGTTGGTCACTATTCACATTTTTGTAAAAAGGTCAGAGGTCATATCACAGGAACCCCTTGACCTTGAGATGTGTAACAGGTGCCATTCAATTCCTTTCATGGAGATCTATAAGTGTAGCAAATTTGAAAAAAATCCGTGTCGGACATGGTCTAACCCCTCGTTGATTTGACACGGAATGAGCCATTTCCTTTTAAGGTGAGTTAATTAAGTCCAAAGCCCGACATTTTGATAAGGAATTTTAATTTCAGAATGTTTGATCTTTTCATTTATGTAACTAATATTCACCACTAAATTAAATGTGCCTATATTTCTGAGATGTGGTATTGTAATTATTTACATTGTTTTCCTCATTTTTAGTCATATTCACAATATTTCAGCCATTGTATGCTCCAACCTTCTTCAGGTAATTGAAATTTTGAACTGAACACTTTATTTCGTCCACCAGGCAAGATTGTTCTAGTTCCACATGCCATGCCTCTTCCAAATCTCTCAGTTATCTCCCTTTAACACAACTCTCCAAGTTTTTGTTCACCACTGCAGTAACCAGATAGTGAACTCAAAACTCTTTGGGTCAAGTCACTGAATCCAACCAATACTTATTCACTGGGCTATGTGTCATGGCCCACTGGATAAAAGTGTGGGTTGAGACATCTGGAAGAGGCATGGCACATGGAACTAGAACAATCTACCCCCAATGAATGAAATAAAGGGTTCAGTTCAAAATTCTAATCATTTGAAGAAGGCCGGAGTGTACAATGGCTGAAACGTGAATATGATAATAAAGATGGGGACAACAGTTCAAACAATGTAAATAAATCAAATGTGTTGGCATGAACAGAGATTAATTTAAAAAATAAATATTTGTTGTGTAAAATAAATGTTTGCCTTTTTTTCATCATTAGACAGACTTATTGAGTGATGAACATAGACTTTTTATTAATTTCCAACAATCAGGTAAGTGTCTCTCATAAAAATAACATACCTGTATGTTTCAATTCATCTGAAATTTCATCTTCAAAATGTTTCCCATAAATTGATGCACCACCTCGACCTGTATGACAAAAAAATGAAACCACATTCATTAAGAAATGTACATTTTTTAGAATAACCCTGTATAATTTCAACAATCTCCTGTTCTTTTTCTGACAGCCATAGTCTGAAAATTTCAATAAAAAGTAACCGAAATTAAGATAAAAAAAATACTAGTTAAAAAATTACAAATCACTGATAAAAAAAAAAGAATATTACTATTAATACTAGTTTCCATTAACAATCACTTATGCACAAATACCCTTGGAAAGGTATGAATCCATCTCTTCTCCCCTCAGATATGGGTTGAATAGCAGGACAGACTGGGTCCAATAACCTTACAAGTCTATCTTAAAAAGAAATGGCAAATCTACTGTGAGAAAATCTCCTGCCTAGTTAGTCATGAATTGAAAGAGATATAATTGCTCAAGAATGTCTTATGTATGGCACGTCATATGTAAATAAATAAAAAATACTTTAACAATGAGGATGTATTAGGAAAACAAGAAAAACCTATACAGGTTAATCTTAATGACTCTAGACAAAAGGTGTCTATGATTTAAATATTAAAGCAGGTTTTCAACAGAAATGTGGATTCAAGTCTCACTCAAGATTTATTCTTTATTGCCAATCCATGTTTTTTTTTTTTTTTTTACTAATGATTATTGCCTGAGAGTTACAATAAAAAAAAAAACAATTGAAATTATACTGATACGAATAATAACAGAAAAATAACTCTTAAATAATAATCATGAAAAATGAAGAAATACAGTTGGCAAGGGAGGTAATTATGAGTAGAATTGACAAAAAGAATTAAAACAACATTTCTTGAAAAGCAAGAGATATAAAATATGAAGATAAGAACAGAAAAATACATGAGAAAAAAAAATTGAGATGCAGTTAAAAATCCCTGCTAAAATCGTCCATGCTTTGAATGTTGCTATAATACATCTGGTCTGGTGCTCCAGCTATATATTTAGAGATGTTTGATAAAATCTAGATTCCACAATGTTACTGACCTAGCATCTCAGCTGTATCATTTTCCCACCACTGCCATAGTTTCTCTGTGCCTTTTCTATAAATACTTTCATGATAAATGATCTGATGAACTTTCCTCTAAGTTGTTATTTTTATTCCCCCCTCCCCAGACAAATTGTACATATGGGAACTATTTAAGACTTCATAGGACACTTTGAGGTATTATGGTGGATGTAGTAAGAATGGTAAGAAGGTATTGTTTTGGTGTAAGGAATACTGTAGTATGTTTCGATATTGATTGAGATTTATAGTATATCAACCTCAATTGGTTATTTAATGCCAACAATTTTTATTGCTGGTAATATTTTTCTTGAAAAAAAACTATTTCTAGCAATATACTTCCTTTTAAAATCGATTGCAAGTAATATTTTCCAAAAATGTATTGTTGATAACATTTTTCCAAGAATGTATTGCTGGTAATATTCCTTTACAAAACTGTATTGTTAATAATACAATATTTCCTTCAAAATTGAAGGAGCACCAATAACAATTTTTTCTTCAAAATTATATTGCTGGTAATAACTCTTTCTTCAAAAATGTACTGCTGGTAATAACTTTCCTTCAAAAATACATTGCTGGTAATAATTTTTCCTCAGCAATGAATAATAATAATTAATTTTGCTGGTAACCAAAAATGTATTGTTGGAAATTTTTTTTTTCCCCCAAACTAGGTTATGAAAACAAAAAAGCAGATTTAGTAAGCTATTTTTTTTTTCTGTAGAGTCCAATTTCTTTAATGAAATTTATATTACGTGGGTGAAGTGTTCATACTTTCTATAATCTCCAGCCTATTAGCATTTTGTTTCTTGTTATGTTTTGTTCTTTGAACTTCTTTTGTCACTGCCTGTTTATTTGATTTTGTTATCTTAGTTTTTCCATTAGGTTCTTTTAATGATCTTTGTATAGATGATGACTTTTCCCTTGTTTGTGATGGACTAAAGTTTTGTTCCTCTATGTCCATTTCTCTTGATTCTTCACTAAAAGTTGTGTTATTTTTTATGTATCTTTTGATTCTCTTGGGAATGTTTAGAGGTTTCTATTTCTTGGATTTTTGCACTTTGGTTTGGAATTTTCAGATTTAATCGTTTTGTACCGGTAGAGACTTTCTTTTGTTTGAGGTTGACGGGACAGGACTTTGTCTATGGGCATTTGATTTATGAGTGATATACTACATTTTAGTAGTTCTAGTTAACATTTTAATATGTTAATAAAAGTTATAAGATCTTGACTTAATGCATTGTTTTCTCAGATGACTTTTTGTTGATTTGATATTTTAGTGATTATGCATATGATGCTTGAAGTGAATTAGATTCAACCTATTTCCTGGCTTCTTGGAATGAGATATTTTGCTTGTATTTTCTTTTAATTATTTCCTTTTCCTAAATGTTACACTCTTTGGAGTCTGCTGGATGTTTTTCTTTACAGTTTGGACATAAAAGAGGCCTTTCACAAGGTGACTCATGCTCAGTCTCTGGTCCCCCATATCTTCGACAGACTGATGTTCTCGTACAAACATTTTGAAGATGACCAAATTTTTTACATTTATGATATCTATGGGGATTAGGAATGTATGGCTCTACCTTGGCCATTGTGTAACCTTTCTTTATTTCTTTTGGTAGAGTTGGTTTGTTGAATGTCAAAATGTATGTGTTGGTGTTTATTACTGTGTCATTTCTTTTTACACCTTGCTTTTTTAGGGTATCGTCATTTTCAATTCCTTCTGATGAGCAAAGTGACAGTTCTGTGCATTTTATTACACTTTTTGATGAATTAAGAAATTGATGGTGGTTGGCCTTGACTTTATCACTTGAATTAATAGAGTATTATTTTTCTTTATTTTTTTAACAGATTGTGGTTTGATCATGTCTGAAATAACACTTTGCAACATGAAAGGAGACACATTTGATATATCACCCTTTACTGATTCTACAACAATGAAAGTTAGAAAATTGATTTTTTTCTATTTCATTTTTGCTTTCAGAAGTCTCATATTGCCCCTTGGTCCGCTTATAAGAGATAGCCATATAATTTTAATTTTTGTGTTCACTGTCTGTGCTCCCCACCCACCTCGGAGTTCCTTCTTAAGGGACACTATCAGTGGGGGACTAATTCCATTTGCCCTAATCCGCCAGGGCTACACAGACAGTATAGTTGTGATGAGAGTGGATACGAGCACCTGCACCCTCCCACCAAGTATAGTATGATGTAAGGTTTCACAGCCCTGTCAGACTCATTATCTATCATCCCAACTAGCCCTTACCACTATGTGACTAGCCGATTGGAATGGATTGGGCTATTCCATCCTCCCGTCTATCCCAGATAGGGACCAAAGTGACGTGTTGCGGAAACTCCTGGTCATTTTATACCAGATCAGGATCACTCAGTCACCAGGACTCCATCCCCAGGCATCACAGGTTGCCACCCACAGTAAACGGGTGACTCCATTTAGGGGAAATTTTAGTTTTTTTTTTTTTGTTTTTTTTTTAAAATCAGAATTTGTGAATGTGCACTTTATATACTGCAATTTGTGTTGATGGTATTATTACAAAAAAACCTTCTTACACTTTCCTAGTATTCCGACTCCAGTTCAAAAGAGGGGGGAACTATTTGCCCATAGCTGGGACCCTAACAGGTGGTACCACCCCGGTTCAGGGTGGACCTGGGAACAACAGCAATTAAGAGGCAGTTCCACGCTCCTCAAAACCTCCTGATCAGAGGCCTTGCTGCTGGATGCAGTTTATCGTCATACCCAGAATGTCTAGCTAAGTTTAAGATAAGACAGACTGAAGACCAACCTTTTCCTATACACCCTTTTGGCCTTGTGCCACATTTTTGTATTTTCAAAATAAATATTACTTTCCACTATGGTACCTAGACTTTATGAATTTAAGCACAGTACTAGATTGACAACAAGGTCTCATCATTTTTACAGTTGAAATGGCTAGACATAACTAAGTTCTATGGTAAGTTTCTTTTATCACATGTCTCACTTGTGGAACTCTCTTCTGGCTTCTTCCTTCCCAGTTAACTTTGATCTTCAAAAATTTAAATGCAATGACAATCGTTATCTTGTCTTCTAAATTCCTGTTCTTTTGTTTCCTCTCTTTAACAGTGTTTTTATTATTTTTTTCTCATATTCTCTTACACACAGTAACCCCTTTCAACTTAGTAGCTTTATTGCATTGCTTATGATGGAAAAAAAAAAAAAAATTTATAGAAGTTTTTTTCAAGTTTTGTTTATATGAATACATTTAATCAGTAATTGAACAGTAAATTATAACTGGATTTTTTTTTATGTTTACGTTTAAAGGATTATCAATACAACTGGACATTAAAGATAATTGATTTAATTTTTTTTTCACTAACACTAATGAAACCTCAAAGATTAATGTAAACTTATACTGATCCTAACTCAAGGTAGGTTTGCTTAGACAGGCTTGAGTATATTAAGTAGAACAATCTATCAGTCAAAGAAGAAAACACAGTAAATAGTGATATTTCAGGCCATTACCACTACTTTTTCTACTCTTAATGCAGTGAATTCAAAGTCATTCTGTAATGTAAAAAAGCTTTCAAGACTTTTCAATGAGATTTTATACTTTATTTTTCCACATTTCATCCAGTCTGTTCTTGAGCATTCTTCAGGAGAATGTCTCCAGCATAGGATCTTGCCATTGATATTATCCTGTTTATAATCTAGTCTATAGACCATGTACTGTTATAATTGTACTGTCTACTCATTTATTGTTGACTTATGGACAGATGCAACTTATGACTCTACAACTACAACAGCAAATTAGTATTTCTGGCTACGACTGCTCTGCATCTGTTAGTATGAGCATATCCTAGCTTGGTGTATGACAATTTCCACCCCAGCTCCCAGCAGCACTAACATTCACTCATGTACTTCAAGCTCAGGTAATCTCAGTACAACATATTCAATCCCACTCCCACCAGAGTCAATTTGTGCCTTTGAAATTTCTCTTCAAAAGCCCCAAGACGTCTACCAAGAGGAAATTGTCTTTGTCTACTCCTCAACCTGTCAAGAAGGAAAGAAAAGCTCTTGATCTCTACACAAAAATGATGATGATTAATCAGGATAGAGAAAAGTGAATGTGATGAAAAAAAAAAAAAAAAAAACTTTGACAGCTACCGAGCCCTACCTCAGCTGATGACATTGACAATTCACAACCAAGCATCAACTGCTAATAAGGTGTTTTGTATTTGTATGTATTTTGGTATTTTGTAAATAAAATGCTTTGTTTTTTGCACCTGTATTTTGGTTTTTTGTATGTTTAGCAAATGTTAAACCAGCTGTACTTTAGTATGCAGTGTTTGACTTAAACCTGGCAAATGTAAAAATAAACAAAACAATGTGCAGAGAGATGATACAAATGGTATTAAACATAAAGAAACCATAAAAATTATGAAAATATAATGCCAAAAGAAAGATAAAAATATTGCAAAATTAATTACAGGCTGGCTTATAAAAAAAACCCTGATTTATAACCTGTGGCTCATAACCAATCATGGTCATATACTCACAACTACACCTGCTTCATTAAACATTGTTCTGTTTTGGTCATGGTGCCATATCTGTTGACTACTTCCTGTTAACATTTTTTTTGTTTTGTTTTGTTTTTTTCATAAATCACTATGAACTCACTCCAGAAGGAAGCGCTGAAGTTTTTTCTTTATGCAGAAAAATGATAATGTGATAAGAAAACATACATTGTGGAATTATATGTCAACACAAAAAAGTATGATTAAGAACATTTTTAGGAGTTTAAAATGAAAAGAAAAATAAATTAGAGTATTAAAATCAATATTGACAATAAATGCCCTCACTTACCATTCATTTTGTCTCATAGATACAAATATATTTACCTGTTCCAGTTGGGTCACCTCCTTGTATCATGAAATCTTTGATAATTCTGTGAAATTTTGTTCCATTATAATAACCTCTGCGTGCTAATTCAGCAAAATTCCTGCAAGTCTTTGGAGCATGTTTCCAGTAAAGTTCAAATGAGATAGTGCCCATTCTGGAATAAAGCAAAAGCTTTCTTGCATCATTCACTGTTTCGGTGATTTGAAATCAAAGCCAAATTTGCCTCAGGAATGTGAGGAAACAAAGGTAAATTGAAGAAAGGATTGAGAATTTATAGAAGAGTTGTTCATGTAAATCATATAATAGGTAGCATTTAATAAACAAATACACCAAAAATGCAGTATAATCAGTATATATATATATATATATATATATATATATAGAAAGACAAAGCAAATACTGAAAACATGTATAGAAATTCATTGGAAATGATTTTAATACTAACTCTTTATACAACCTATTCTGGATAGGATTTATTAAACAAATCCATCCAAACTTTCATTCCCTCTAATGATTACATGTAGAGAGACAAAGCAAATATTAAAAACATCTATAGAAATTCATTGCAAATGATTTTAATACTCTTTATACAACCTATTCTGGATAGGATTTATTAAACAAATCAATCCAAACTTTCATTCCCTCTAATGATTACATGTAGAGAGACAAAGCAAATACTAAAAGCATCTATAGAAATTCATTGGAAATGATTTTAATACTCTTACCTATTTTTGATTAAGATTTATTAAGCAAATCCATCCAAACTTTCATTCCTTCTAATATTAGTTTTCATTCACTCAAATCATATATCAGTAGCACCAAAATAGATGATTTTTTTTTTTCAAAAATAAAATCAAAAAATTGTTACTACTCCATTTTAACAATTTGCAAAAATTCAAGGAATTATCCAATTTGAACAAAATTTTCAGCACTTATTAATAAATGAAGTGTCTACTGATTAGATTATTAAAGCTTTCTGGAAATAATTTGGAAGGAATTCAGTTTTACCTCTAATTTTCAATATTTCATTTACTTTTAATTCAGGTGGTGTTCCAAAATCTTTTTAAAGTTATGTAGACAACAATCCCGGAAGATTTTATCCAGTAAAAAACATGCAATACCAAGTATGAACATACTGAAAATTCATCCCAAATTTCACAAGAAATAATTCAATAAACTTGTCAAATCATATTTTTGAGAGTTGCTGCTTGCATAATTTATTAAAATACATTGTTTTCTCTCAGATTGAACTGGAAAAATAAATCTACACTGAATATTTTTTTAAATTACTTGTAATTTTTTAGCATGATTACTGAAATTCATCCCATTGCTGTTCATAACAAAAGTTTTATTAAATAAATACATGTTTGAAGAATCAAGTAATATAAAATTTAATGCTATTTTCAAGTGTGAATTTTTTTCATTTTTAACAATTCCATTATTTGTATGGATGTATTGTAAAGAAAAAAAAAATGCCCTTGATTTTTCTTCCCTATCAAGAATAATATATGATAATTCAACAACTCTTAAATTTAGAGAATTTTAAAAAATACCTTTGGGTGTAATTAACATCAAACAAATAAGAAAATAATAAAAAAAATAAAAGCAATGAATTAAGCTCAAAAGTACCATTTCACTAATTTTTAATTAAATTCTAATATTTCTAAATATAAGATACAATACAAATGCATACAGATGTGCACTTATATTTTATAGATTATACAAAAATGGTGAGACCAATTTTCCGTTTCAGGTTTGAGGGAATTCATTTTTTTTTTTTTTTTTTTTAACATTTTCCAATATAGAATTCCGGGTTTTTTTCCCAGTTTTCAGTATAGATTTCTGTTTTTGCTTCATTAATAATACTTACTTAGTGAGAAAGTGTAACAATAAATCATTTATTTTCCTTTTATTTTCTTGTTTTAAAATTTAATAACATTATAAATGTTATTAAAATTTAATAACATTAAATGTTATTAAAACAAGAAAATAAAAAAAAAATTACTAGCTGGAATATATACACCAAGTTGCTCCAGCTTGATAGGCTTTCGTACCTCAACCCTTTTTAATCTAACTGAGTTTGGGGACAACCCTTGCCAAAAAAAAAAAAAAAAAAAATCTACAATCCTAAATAAGAATTATAAGTGAAAGTGGCAAAACCTACAGAAAAATAGCACCACAAAAACAAAAAGCTACATTATCGTTTGGTCGTTAAACTCATTTTTGAAAAAACGTTTAATTTGTAAAATTTGGCTTTCTGAAATGACAAACTGCCCCCACCTTCGTCACCATGTATGACAGGAAAAAGAAAGGATATCATAAAACAAAAAGACGAAATTTCTGCACACACTCCCCCACCACCACCTTTTTCTTTTTACATTTAAATTAAGCAAACTTCGTAAACCTTGGTTTCTAAATATTGTAAAATGTAAACTGTAGGAAGACAGTAGGTAAGGGTTGGAGATGTAACATTATAGACTTTATCCTTTGATGTCTGTCAGACGCGTAAGTTACGAAAGGCAAGCAATAGTCGCAAATTAAAATGGTAGTTTGCAAATTTGCTAGAAAAAAAAAAATGTCCATTTCAAAGTCTCGATTTCCGTTTCAAGTAGACCATTCCTTTCTTCCGTCTGTTTTTTCCGTTTTCACGGAAAATAAACCACTCTACAAAACAAAAAACATTTCACAGCGTAAGGTATATAAGGTCTCTTTGATCTGCTAGGAAAACTAGATCTATTTGGAAAATATGTTAGAAAAATTTATACTTGGAACAAACGACCTGCATACGGATAGAAACAAAAATAGAAAATGCCGTAAGACAAGGACGTGTCTTTTCCACAGATTCAACCACTACACTACAGCGATGCTATCTAAGAGAACTGGGCATCTACCAGGATTCATTATCAGTGTGTATAATAATCTTAACAATATAAAATATGAAAATGACACTGTATTGATGCCAACTGAGAAAAAAACTAGAAAACCTAGATCAAGTGGTAGAAAAAAAAAAGCAAGTAAAAACTAAAAGGGACTAACCATCAACTATAAGAAGATAGAGAGCATGGTCATCAGAAACAGAAGAAAAAAAAAAAAACAAGATAAGAGTTACGAATTGGAGATAAACACCAAACAAGTGCAGAAGTTTAAATATCTGGGTAGCATTCTAACAGAATGGAAAATGCAGCACTGAGATCTGAACACATTTTGGACTAGTGAAAGAAACATTCAAAAAGCTAAGCAAGGTGCTAACAAACAGAAAAATTTTGTTAGAAACAAAAAGAAGAAGAGTGTTGGATTGCTATTCAATGATCCATCCTCTTATATGGCAATTTCCCACAGATGAGAAAAAAAACTAGAGGCAGGAAAAATATTGTTCTACGGAAGGATACTGAGAATTCCATGAATGGAGCGATTAAGCAACAAGGAAGCCTTAAAGAAAGTGGCAACAGAAAGAACATTTATACTTAGAATCAGGAAAAGAGAGCTAAATTTCCTTGGACACAATGAGGAAGGTCTTGTGAAACAACCCTCACAGGGCATATTGAAGGTAAAAGAGATAGTGGAAAGCAGCTAGCCACTGACCTAAATGAGCTTGTTTGAATGGATGGTGGAACATAGCAAAGTGAGAAAAACTGCTAAGAGCCACAAGAGATAGGAAGTTGGGGGCGACACATGACCACCTATGTGCTAAAGAGACATGGCATACAGAAGAATGTAATATACAAAAAATATAAATTATTCATTCTAAGTTAAAAAAGCGTTCAGAATAAAAATATTCTTTAAACTATTGGTTATATAAGGTTCGTTATTATTTTTAAACATAAATACCAATTTCTTGATTATTGTATTGCTAATGTCCCATATTTCTTTAATTCTTATTCAATTTTTCGCGCGCTTTTTAAGTCAGGTGAAATTATAGAGTATCTGTGTACGACCCATGACATCACTGGTTACTGTACGTAAATAAAGTAAACGTTTATTTTAAAATAGTCGCATTATTACGTAAATTAAAAAAAATTTATAGTTCGAAAACGAACAGATTTTTAATTTAATTTAACAGAATCTTTTAAAATTAAAAATAGTATTTTTTTCTTTTGACTTTGTAATGTCTAAGGCGTAGACGATCTCACCTTGTTTTGTTAGCTAAATTGCCATATTCTTGATAAAGCTAGCGGAGTAGTTTTTCATTGCCTTTTTCAGTTTTTAATTCAGAGTTTTGCTCTTCTTAGACTGCTTCCCAGCCAATGCTAGAGATTCCAGTCTACTTTGTTATTCAATCCATAGCTGGATGTGGGGAGAAAAAAAAAAAACAGATTCAGGTCATATTCGTTTACACTACAATTTAAAAAATTCAACTTTAGAACGGAGATTCGTGAATATTTAGATTTTGATCACGTTAATTTTCATTTTTAATTGTGGATTGGGGTGGGGAAGTTAATATTTATTTTGTATTTTTTTTTTTTTCTTAGAGAATAAGTGATCAATTTTTTTAATTAAATTATATTCACTAAAAATCTGTTCAGATAAAAAAAAGTACTATGGAAATTTCAGTGTTTCCTCTCTAGTATTTGCTACCTCGCTTATTGTCTTCTTAAACTACGTAATGTTATTTACATATTGAAATGATTTTTTTTTCTTTTAACACGAATTTAGCATTATTATCTTTCAAATAAAACAAACAATTAAGACTTTTTTGGAAAAATTTGAAGGGATATTAGCGCTCGGGTGTTACAATATACATTTACCCAAAATTTAACTTCAAAGACATTTTTATTTTTTTTATTTAATGCGTTTTTGAACATTTTTTTTAAAGTTCGTGGCGGTACCTATTTGGTACGGTCACACGTGACTTATTGAACCACCATTATAAACGAAAAATGTAAACAAATGTACAAAATCTCTTATCAGTCGTAGAAAAATTTGTCAAAGTCAGTAAATTTATGGGTTTAATTAACTCATTAACTGGATTTTAAAAATGTGTTTACTTTTTTTTTTTTTTTACTTACAGCATTTACTTTTTAAATTCATAAAAGTCAAAATGTTTCTTGGCAAAATCATGACTGACTTCTTGTTTCTCACTAACCGCAATCAGTTGTGAAAGATACGATAGTATTTAAAATTCTCTTTACGTCTTAGAATTGAAAATAAATTTTAAAGAACCTTGTCTCAAACCAAAAGTCATAGGACAACAAAACACATAATTGGATCTAGTAGTTCTTTTTACGTCACCTTATTCAACGTTGAAAGGGACCCTCTAACCAACCATAAAACCCAAAACTAGACGCAAATTAAATTAATAATTATCAAAAACAAAAGAAAGAAAAAAGTTTCTCTTCTTTTACCATTTTAAAACAACGTGTTTGTTAAGATTTTTGTTTGACGCCATGTGACGACTTTAGATACACAAAAACGAAAGTACTTGAATAAGTTTCATACATTTGTTTTAACATTTAAATTCTAACCAATAACATCTAAAATGTAATTTAAAAACAGAAATATGCATTATAACTCACGTTGTATCAAAATTAACATTTGAAGGTTGCCAAGAAGCGGACGGCATTCCGTAGCCAGACATTTTGACGCGTACTGAAAAAATAATATCTAACCTTATTTTCGTAGTAAAAAATTTTTTTAAAGATTTGTTTTAAAAATTCAATAAAACGACGAGTACAAAAGATATATATTATTATGCTTTTTTTAGTCTCTATTACTAATAGATATTTTTCAGTAAATGATTGTTTTGCAGACGATAAATATTTTCGTAAAATCGTTTTAAAAAAAAAAAAAAAAAAAAAGAAAATGACAGAGGGGGAGAGCCGAAGAAACAACCTTCACCTTCGCCTGCTATATCGCCATCCAAATCCCACCCACAGTAGAGATCCCAGCCCCTATAGACATAGATCTTTCTATACCCCTCTCCATACACCCACTCCCTCCCCCCTTAAAAAAAAAATCCCCCCCTCCACCCCAGTCAATCACCGGTCAAAAAAGACGATATGCCTCCTCCCGCTGCAAAGCATCAAAGAAGCCCCATGCAAGAGGCAAAAGAACAAAGGAAAAAAAGATTATTTTTCAACACTGGAGAGGAGGTGTGCCATATTTCCCCAGCCCAGGCCGAGAGAGCCCGGGACTATGGAAACAGGGTAAAAGACCTAAAATACTTGCTCTCAATCAAACAGTTTGCAGACCTGGACATAGAGGTTCCTCAAAACCTCCCAAATGCTCAAAGGGTCCTGACAGTAATTAGATCTGGACCTGCTGCAAAACAAACTTGGGCCATGGTTGACGAAGCCATCAATGCTTATAAGATGGCTTTGCCCATTGCCATAACAGAAAATGAGAAATTGAAAAATTTAAAACAGTTCTGTGCAGGGAGGGTCTCCGTTTTAGTTCACCCCTCCCTATATAGAGCACTTAAATTGACCTTCCCCTGGGATATCGGCGGTATCTCCCAAGACGGCACCATCAAGACTGAGATGGGCCATGGGTCTATGGAGAGGCGGTCAGTATCCTTACCCCGTCAATGTTCAAACCAGTAGTTCAACCCTAATCAGGCTTCACTATGGCTCTCTGGTTGGCTAGTATAAATGTCCGGGGCCTGAGGTCCGAGTCTCGCAGGGCGAGGCTCTCTCGTGACCTTCAGCGCCTCGGGGTGGATGTGTTGTGTGCAAGAGACCCGGTTTTCTTCTCATGATCGTGAGGACATACTGTCTGGGGGTTCGCCCTTTATTCAGCATGTTTTGATGGTCGTTCGAGGGGTGTCTCTTGGCTAGTTAGCAAGCCGTTGAAGGCTGCATGTACCCTTGTCTTCGCGGATCCGGCGGGCAGGCTTTTGCGTGCTGGATGTTACCATAAAGGATAAGGCTCTACGTCTCATTGGGGTTTATGCGCCCAATATCCATTCCGAGCGCCTGCCTTGTTTTGGCAGATTAAAGCCGCATTTGACGACGTCTCGTCGGGTAGTTTTAGCGGGGATTGGAATGCCGTCCTTGACCCCGATATAGATCGTATAGGGCAAAAATAAAGGTACTAACAACCCGGATGTGAAACCATTTCGGGACTTTATCGATGAGTTTGATCTCATCGATAAGTACCGAATGAACACCCTCGAGGAGGTAGCATGGACTTGGACAAATAGTGGCAACTTTCGGTTCCTGGCTCGATTGAGAGCTACCTGGACCGAGTCTTAGTTAGGAGAGTCGATGTAGGGCTCTTTAGGTGTCCAAGTTCCATTATATAGTTTATACGGATCATAGGCTTGTCCGGGTCCGTGTAAACTTAGATAAACCTAAGGTTAGGATGGCTGGCTACTGGAAATTGAACTGTTCACTTTTTTGGTGATCAGGGTTTCCGGGACCAGCTGTTACTAATGATACAAAGGGAATTGACGGGGCGGTTGTGGGAAACGCCTGGTGGGGCAAATTAAAATCCAAAATTAGAACGTTTGCTGCCGATTTTACATCGTCGACTCAATCTAGATAGATTAATATATATAAACGGCTTTAGAAGAAAAAAAGTTGATCGGGCCGTGAAATCCCGTGTTAGTGGGGACATAGTCGTAGCTAAGGCAGAGTTGGCCTCCTTGCTTATGAAGAAGGATCAAGCTCTGGTAGTTAGGGCTAGGCTAAAAAAGAATGTCTTCTGAGGCGACGAACATGGCCGCTGAACTGCGTGCAGAGGAGAATAGGAGCGCGTCTAGCGACATATAGCGAGCGTCACATTGCCGGATAAGCGGACCGTGACTACAAACGCGGGCATATCGAGGCATTTCGTGATTACTTTCAGGATCTTTTCACCAGGGAGCCGGTCTGAGCTCTGCTCAGTTCAACGCCTATTTGGCTGACTTTCCCTGCCTTGAGGCAGCTGAAGCGGCTAGGTGCGAGGGTTCCATAACAGAGTCGGAAATCTGGGAAGCGCTGAAGCAGGTTGGCCTGGATAAGTCTCCGGGTCTAGATGGTCTTCCCTACAAAGTGTACTTGAGGCTGTCGCCCGTTTTTGTTCCTTTGCTGCAACTGATTTTCAACCACTGGATGAGGCAGGGGTCTTTACCTCAACGCTTCACCAGGGGTATGATCAAGTTGCTGCGTAAGGACAAGAACGGTGGGGATGGGTTAGAGAACTTTCGCCCTTTAACGATGTTAAATACGGACTTAAAGATTTTGGCGAAGATCTTAGCCAACCGTCTGCAGCTTGTCCTGTCTCAGCTGATTGGCCCCGAACAGACTTGTGCTGTGAAGGGCAGGACTATTCAGGATAACCTTCACATGGTACGCTTGATCTTAGAACAAGTCGACAGTGAAGCCGCGCTGATCAATTTGGATCAGTCCAAGGCCTTCGATAGGGTTGACCATCGATTTCTGGAGGCTGTCCTTTCGGCGGCCAGTTTCAGAGCCGACTTTCGCTCCTGGATCCGACTCTTGTATGCGACCCCCGGTGCGCTGGTGGAAGTGAATGGGGTAAGATCGAAGCCTTTCGTATTGTCTCGCTCCATTCGTCAAGGTTGTCCGCTCTCACCTATGCTTTACGGTTCTTGCGTTGGAACCATTCCTTTGCAAGTTAAAGGTGAATCTGGTCCTGCGCGGAATTTCGCTGCCTGGTGCTTCCACCTCGGCCAGGTATTCAGCCTATGCTGACGACGTTTCGGTTCTTGTGTCGAGCAGAGCCGAGATTAACGAAGTCAGCAAAGGAGATCAGTGGGTATGAGATGGTGACAGGGGGCCAAGATCAACCGCGATAAGTCTGTGGGCTTGCGGTTGGGTGCGTGGAAGGAGTTTCTCTTCCGGACCTTTCCTCTGGACGGATGGGCGATCAAGATACTCGGCGTCTGGTTCGGTCCCTGATCTCCAGTTGAAATGAATTGGTCGGAGGTGCAAGGGAAGGCTGAGGTCGTGGTTAATCTGTGGTCTCGAAGGAGCCTTTCCCTGAAGGGAAGGGCGGAAGTATGTGTTTCACATATATCCAATTCTCCTGTACCGACTCTGTGCTTCCCTCCCGTCTGCCCGACTAAAGTCATTAGTCAAGGTCTTGTTCTCTTTCTTATGGAGAGGCAAAGGCCCATATGGTATGTCGCGAGATCTGTTGCCTTCATCCCTCTGGAGGGCGGTCTGGGTATGCCTAGCATTGAGATTCGTCAACATATGCTTCACATCACCTTTCTAGACCGAATGTGTCGCGGGTCGGATGAGGAGGGCGCCTTTTGGAAAGAAGACGTCCAGAAACATTTCCGGCCCTGAGAAGTGTACACACTCGTGTGAAGAGGAGGCCGGCCGTACACCACGTGCGAGTGTTCCTTCTATCGTGAATGTCGTCGCGCTCTGAAGCTCCTCTTGCAGGCTACGGTTGGCCTCTCCAACGCCCAGGCGTTGTCTCGTAAGGCATTGTATCAAGTATTAGTTAGGGGGCCGCACAAGATGATCTAATTGGCGAGCTCGGTCTTCTGAAGCAGGAGGCTCGCTCGATATGGCCTTGGGCGCCTGGGTTGAAATGCCTCAATAACGATGAGGCATCACTCACCTGGCTGGTGATTCGTGAAGCCCTCTGGGTCGGCAAAGACTTTGTGCAGCAGGCTTGGAGAAATATCCAAACTGTCGTCGCTGTACTGGGGAAGTCGAGACCATTGGTTCACGCCTTTTTTTTCAGTGCAAGGCGGTAGTGTCGTTGTGCAAGTTTGTTGAAGGCCTCATGGTTCGCATGTTGCAGGGAAAGTTTTTTGTCCTTGAAGCTAGCTCTGTTTGTAGCAATTTGGTGCCGCAATTGACGAAGGCTGAACACTATGTGTTCTGTTGCTTACTAGGGGTAATGAGAGTCGTGATTTGGACGACGCGTCAGAAGGGATTCCATGAGGGCGAGAAGTTCACCTCTTCCCAACTGATCTTGTTCTTTAAGCATCAGCTTAAAGTCAAGATTGGGACGGAAAGGCGGCGGCTCTCCTCATCGGAATTCAGCAAAAGGTGGGTGAATCTTGCGCGTTTGTGCTGTGTGAAAGGGGCTGACTTGGAGTGGCATTTTGATGTCGGTTAGGCATCAGAATATTGTTTTACTGGGTTGAACATGGGCAACCCATCCCGAAATTAGGTTAGAATAGGAGTTTGTATTTTTCCTTTAGTTTTTCTTTTTCCTGTTCTGATAAACTTAGCTAGGGTGTGTTTGCTCATTGGTCCCCTTTTATTTCTGTCCCATTTTTCTTCCTTTAGTTTAACTCCCCGTCCCCTCCCTCGTTTAGGTGGTCAGTGATGTCAGTTCTCTGGTGGATGGGCGCCTTTCGTTTCGTCGTGTGTCTTTTCGTATTTGTTGTTGTGTATGAATGAGTGTGTGCTTGTGTGAGTGCTTGACGGTATGAATGTGTCCTTATTTTCATAGTCCCGCATCGATTTCGTCCGGTTAACTGATATTTCTGCCACATTCAAAAGTTTTGGGGGTTTTAATACTAACACTGATTTTGTTTAGTTTCTTGTAAATATATTTCGACATATTGTATATACTCATTGGGGATTTTTTAAAAGTTGTTGTTTTTTATGCCCCCCTCCCCCACAGACAATATTTGTATATAAGGGGTGTATTTAGGATTTTCATTGAGTCAAAGAGGCATTTTGGTGGATGTAGTAAGAAAGGTATGGATAAATGTGTTGTTTTGGTGATAGGAATATTGTTTAGTATGATAGGGTCAGTGGTTGTGGCTAGCTAAGTTTTATTCTAAGACAAGTGATGACCATCCTTTCCCCCAGCCCCCTTTTCGGCCTTGTGCCACATTTGTACATAGTACAATAAATAAAGAGGAGGAGAGAGGGATTTACAAAAATTACCAGAAACACTTTGAATTGCTCGATTAAAAAAAAATTAAATTCAACAACACAGGAAAATGTGTCCTTTATTCCTCCTTACACAATATAAAAACATTACACATGAAAAAGTAGTTTAACTGAAAAATATCCCCCTGTCTGTATCACTAAATCATTATTATCTCAAAAAAAATCTTACAATCTAAAAATATTTTCTGGTGTTAAATAATAAAAGGTTGATAAGCCATAGAAAATGAATCAATCAAAAATTAAAAAATCAACTTACTCATCTGAAACTTGAACCTTGTTTGATGATTTCACTTTCCATATCAATATTCTACTCATGCAGCCTAAAAAAAAAACCACATCCTATAAGCTATTAATTGACCTATTGTTAAGGATTTTTCTCATATACTTTACAACTAAGTCATTGTTCAATAAAAGGAAATTCTTAAAACTGAACAGGTTTTGATAAAAATTAAGTGAAATCTTCCAAAACAATGCACACTTTTTATTTTAACTTGTTGTTTTCTTTTTATAGAATGTGGTTTATATTCCCTTTCTCTTTGTTTTTTCTGTACTGTATTGTATCTTACTTCATATTCAGCTGTCCAATGCATTTACCAAATTCAAACGTCTCTGTTTCCATTCATTTATGACTTCTCTCTTGTTCAGCCTTGCATAAATGTTTGATCCTGGAAAATCTACAGTGAACTGATAAATAATTTAATAAAAAATGACACAAACTGGTCAGTTTTACCATTTTCTCTACCTTTAAAATCTATAATATTTATTATAATTTCTTATCTCTATGACTGTTAGTTGATATTTTTATAAATTTATATTTTGTTTCTATAATCCTTACTTTATATCTTCTTTCTATAACTCTTAGTCAATATTATATTTCAATAACCTTTGATCAATATTATATTTCTATAACTTTTAGTCAATATTTTCTATAAATCTTAACTTATATCATATTTTATGACTTTTAGTTTATATTTGATTTTTATAATTCTAGTTTATATTTTATTTCTATAACTCCGACACTGTTTTATATTCTATAGCTCTTAGTGTATATAACTTTAGTCTATATTTAATTGTATAACTTTTAATCTATATTTTATTTCTATAACTTTTGCTCTGTATTTTATAAATTTCAGTCTATATTTAATTCTATAACTTCTATTCTATATTTTATTTCTATAACTGTTAATTTATATTTTTATTTTATAACTCTTGTTTTGTATTATATTTCTATAGCTCTTTGTGTATATAACTTGCTATAACTTTTGGTTTATATTACATTTTTATGACTTTTAGTCTAACTTTTATTTCTTTAACTCTTAATCTATATTTTATTTCTATAATACTTACTATGCATTAAATCTATAACTCTTAGTATATCTTTATTTTTCCCATTGACAGAAGAAAAATATATTGAAGCTTAATCCAATGTTATTTACAGTCTCTGTCCTCAGCTGTGATTTTTTTTTTTTGGTATATACTCATCTTATTTTTATGAGATTGTCACATCTTCATGAATGTTGTCAGGTTTTTAAAATTTCAGATCTTCACTTGATAGTTCCTGTTGTCATGTCAGTTTTCATTCATTTACTTATAAATTTATTTTCTGATTTCATATCTGAAAACATTCTAATAAATTCTCTCAGATTATCCCACAGTAAAAAAAAAAATAGCTAAAAAGTAGAGGCTATCTCTACCTGTGGCAGATTGTACACCTCACATGACAAAAATTTCCGTCTAACACATCCGCACAATTGACTCAGGGTGCTATGGGATGGGTGGTTTTATGGAGTTACCATCTCTGGATTAGCTCTCAACCAAGGCAAGTTTGCCCAGGTATTTAACAGTTTGAAGGGAATTTTGTTGAAGGCTTTCAAAATACATGAATTCTATACATGTGTTCATTTTTTATGCCTATATTTGTTAACAGAATGGCATTGCTAAAAAAAAGAGAGAAAAATATACTCACGTGATTTGCTGTAGTGTGTGTGTGAGAGAGAAAAAGAGATACATACATATATATAAATTGGTCAAAGAAATTCTTTGAAAACCAAGCGTTGTTCTTTCAGCTGATACAGTAGGCCAATGAGTTTTGTTGCCACATGTACAACCTCCCTGCAACTACCCAACTGATCCAGGGCTTCACCACCTCTCTCAGAATACTGGTGTTCTGACGCTGTTAGATCATTGATCATAGGTTTTTCACTCTTCTGTCGACTTGTAGTTAAATCTTGAATCTTCCAGCTACTTTCTTAGCTTTTTCACCATCCTTGTGCTGATGCTGATGAAGTCTAAAATCTCCATCTTTGTACTTTCGCTGTGAATTCCAAGGAGAACTCTATGCCTCTTCCACTAATTGGGATGTTCAAAATTTTCCATAGTCAATTATTCTGGAAAAACGAATTAAAAAATGTATGTATGCATATATGGGATAACAATATATAAATTTTTATATATCAAGAAGAGTTTTGAAGGAAAGATGTATGACAAAGTGAAAAAAGATTTTGTGTGACACATTTTGTCCCATAGGACTTCATCAGACTAGGTTTGCTTGTGTTAATGTGCCTACACATGTGCGTCAACAAGATATGCTGGAAATTTTAAATTTTGAAAAAACATTTTTTTAATAATGTGTTTTCGGTTTTGTTTCTTTAATAATGTATTTTGGGTCTATAATCTAGCCTATTTCATTTAGATTCATTTTCTTTCGATCATCTTTGTTATTAAATATCCCAACAATGTGATAACAGAAGATGTGCGAAGAATGATGAAAATATTGTAGGAAGCTGGATGGATCTTTACTGTGGAGAATGTAGAGATTAAAGTGGTTTTTAAACATTTTCATCTTCATTGAATTATTTTCTTTTTTAAATAGAGTAGCATCGTTTATGTCAAAATTGTGATCAGCCTAGTGATGATGAACAACTAATGTATATGTTCCTTTTTGGATGCATGGCATTTGCACCATTTTCAGTTCATGTTATGTCTTAGGTTTCTATTTAGTATGCAGGGCATTTGCACCTTTCTCAGTTCATGTCGGGTCTTAGTTTTTTATTTAGGACGCATGTCATTTGTTCCATTCTCAGTTCATGTCATGTCATAGGTTTCTATTTATGATGCATGGCATTTGCACTATTCTCAGTTCATGTTATATCTTCTGTTCCTATTTAGTATCCATGGCATTTGCACCATTTTGAGTTCATGTTATGTCTTAGATTCCTATTTAGAATGCATGGAAATTGCAACATCCTGTTGTGGATTCCAGTTTGAAATTCGCTACCAATAAATAACAAACGCCAGGAATGAATATATGTAAATAATGTATTAACGTAATAATACAAACTGGTAAAGCATGTTAGTAGTTCCAAGAATATGGGTTAGTAGCAAATATATATATACAGTCTTTGGTATTGAAGTATCTCTGTATGACTTCTTACTGAGTCTACATGCTCGCTCACTGTGACTCCTACAATGCTGTTACCTCACCCTCACTCTTCTGGTTACCTACAACCTTTTACTCTGTCACTCTGGACTCGACTCGACTCTTCAGTCTTGCTCTCTCTTCCTCTCGTCCCTCTTTTGCAGTACTATATGTATATACTGGGTGAGTTCATATGTATAAAAAGGGGTGGACCCCCTCAACACATCCATAGTTTGTGTTATGCCTTAAGTCCTTATTTTGGATGGATGTGTTTTGCACCATTCTCATTTTTTGGTTTATTATAGGTTCCTATTTAATATGCATTGGAATTGCCCTACTCTCAGTTTATGGTATGCTTTAGGTTCCTATTTAGAATGCATAGGAATTTGGCAATCCTCAATTTGGGGTATTCCCTAGGTTCTTATTTACAATTCAGGGAAATCATTCTATCCTCTGTTTGTAGAATGCCTTAGGTTCCTATTTAAGATGCATTGAAGCCAGACCATCCTAGGTTTGTGGGCTACCTTAGATTTCTATTTGAACTCATTGGAATTGCCAAATCCTCAGTTTTTGATATATTTTTATTCCTATTTAGTACACATGTGATATACACCATTCTCAGTTCATGTTATATCTTAGGTTCCTATTTAGGATGCATATGAATTGCAACATCCTCAGTTTGTGGTATGCCTTTGGTCTGTATTTAAGATGCAGGGGAATTGCGCCATCCTCAGATTGTGGTATGCCTAAGATTCCTATTTAGGATGCATGAGATTTGCACTATCCCAAGTCTGTTGTATACCTTACATTCCTATTTAAGTTGCATGCAAATTGAGCCATGTCCAGTTTGTGGTATGCCTTAACTTCCTATACAGGATGCATCAGGATTGCCCCATCATCAGTTTGTGGTATGCCTTACTTTCTTCTTTAGGATGCATGCGAATTGCACCACCATCAATATGTGGTATGCATTAAATTCCTATTTCAGATGCATGGGAATTACACCAGCCTCAGTTTGTGGCATACATTAAATTACTATTGAAGATGCATAGGAATACCCTCACTTTGTGTAATTGTTCCTATTCAAGATTCTTGGGAATTGTATAATACTCAGTTTATAGTCTTATTGAATATGCATGGGAATTACACTGTGATGAGCTTGTGGTCTGCGTTAGGTTACTATTTAAGATGCATTGAAATTGCACCATCCTCAGTTTGTGGTATACCTTAGGTTCCTGTTTAGGATGCATGGCAATTGTGCCATCCTCAGTTTGTGATATGCTTAAGGATTCGATTTAGTTTGCATGAGAATGCCATCATCCACTGTTTGTAGCCTGTCTTATGATCCTATTGTACATGCATGGGAATTGTAATATCATGAGTTTATGGTATACCTTAAGGTTCCTATTTAGAATGCATGTAAATTCCACCATCCTCAGTTTGGGGTATGCCTTACATTCCTATTTAAGATGCATTGGAATTGCACTATCCTCAGTTTATGTTAAAAAAAAAAAGGATGCATGGAAATTTCACCATCCTCAGTTTGTAGTATGTAGTATTTAGAATGCATGGCAAGCGCACCAATTTTCAGTTTGTTGAACGACTTATGTTCATATTAAGGATGCATAGAAATCACACTATCTTCAGTTTGGGGTATGCCTAAGGTTCCTATTTAAGATACATATGGATGACTCCATCTTCAGTTTGTGGTCTGCCTTATATTTCTATCCAAGATGCATGGGAATTGCACCATCCTCAATTCGTGGTATGCTTTACGTTCCTATTTAGTATGCATGGCAATTGCACCATCCTCAGTTCATGGTATGACTTAGGTTTGTATTTAAGATGCATTCTCCTTTTGTGGTATGCCTTATGTTCCTATTTAAGATGCATGGTAACTGCACCATCCTCAGTTTATGGTATACCTTGCATTCCTATTCAGGATGCATTGGAATTACACCATCCTCAGTTTATGATATGACTTATGTTCATATGGAGGATGCATGAAAATTGTACCATCCTCAGTTTGTAGTTTTTCTTTGTGGTATGAGTTATGTTCCCATTAAAGTTACATGGAAAATGGGCCATCCTCAGTTTATAGGATGTCTTAGGTTCCTATTTAGGATACATGGTAATTGCATGATCCTCACTTTGTGTTCAGACTTTGGTTTGTATTTAAGATGCATGAGAATTGCACTGTCCTCAGTTTCTAGTATGCCTTAGGTTCTTATTAAGGATGCATAGGAATTGCACCTTCATTAGTTTGTGGTATGCATTAGATTTCTGTTTTGTATGGAATGGATCTGCATTTGCGACATGCCTTACATTCATATTTAAGATGCATTGGATTTTCACTATGTTCCTATTTAGTACATGGGAATTTCACCAGCCTCAGTTTGTGTTATACCTTAGGTTCCTAATTAATATGCATGAGAATTGTGCCATACATCATGACAAGCCAAACATCTTCCATTTTGAGCTAAGCAGCCACTGACTATCCTCACACGGCAAACTGTCATGTGATCTTCAAGTACCACTGAAGGATTCAGTCAATTCTTACTGTCAAAAGGAGCAAATCTTCTAGATAAGGACTAATACATTACAATTCAACTTAGACTATGAGGAAGTGTAAGGAAAGTTAGTATGACATGATTAATACAGTCTCATTCTAGAAAGATATTTCATTCAATCATTATTGTATATTTCAAATTCTGTTTGTTTTTAACATTTTTACTGCAGCATTGTTATAATGTAAGCTAAACTTGTTTTTCTTTTATTTATTTATTTGAATTATTTCAGCTCTTCCAAGGCAATGCAAAATTCAAGAATGTAAAAAGGCGGAACCACATATATTTGACCCATGCAGTGAGAAACATTACTATGTTTGTACCAATCCCAAAACTCGGATGTTATGTCCAAACGGCACTCATTATTCAAAAGGAAAAGGAAAAAATCTTCATTGTTTGCACATTTACAATACCATTAGTGAAAAGAAAAAATTCTGGAAGACTTGTAAATTCTCAAACAACTGTAAGTAAAAATAAAAAGTAAATTGATTTTTATACATTTATTTTGCTACAGAACAATACATTGTCATGAGAAGTTATTAATTTTGAAAGCTATTGAAATTGTTTATTTATGTTGTCTTTTGTTTGTATACTAATTTTTTTCAACAACTAATAGTTTTTTTAATCTGACATTATTTATCATCAGTATAAATTGAACTCTGCTTTAAGGATTATGACCAGAGTATATATATTTGATATCTTGCAACTGATAAACTATTCAACAATTAGTCCTTCTCTACAAAATCTAAGATATTCCAAGCATTTGTCTAAGATCTTCTGTATACCAATAACTGTGACTTGGTTCATTTTCAGTTCTGTTGTTCTTCTCCATACCTTCAAGGATCAAGACTATAATATATATATATTCAATACCATACAACTGGTAAACTATTTAACAATTAGTCCTTCTCTGCTAAATTTAAGACATTCCAAGCTTCTGTCTAAGACCATCTGTATACCAATGACTGACTTGGTCAACCAAAAATAAACAAGAAATGCAGTTCTTTGATGGATAAACTTTTCTATTCATGCAAAGCTTTTAGCCTTATTATCATCCTGGACAAAACAGTGAACATGTTTCAACTTGCTCTGGTTTCACCTTACATCAACCATCAATAATTGTGGATGATCACAAAGAAAAGGTGCTAGAAAAATTCACATACCTTGGGAGCACTATAAACAGACACTGTACTGTTGGTGAAGAAATATCTGCTTCTAAGAAGAAAGCAAATGATGCTTTTGCTGCTCTAAAAAATTGAGTCTGACCTCAGAGAGGACTTCTACAGTCTACAATGCTAGTGTATTCCTTATTACTGTAAATTGAACCTTGCTTTTTCATGATGGCTTCCTGTAACCTAATTGATAAAGCACACTTAACTTAAAATTAGTTTCCTTGATTGAAAAATGGAATACAGGTTCAATTCCTAGACTGGCTGACATTAATTTCAAGACAAGAAAAAACAAATATATGGCAGATGAGAGCACTAAGTGGTTTATCTTATTCGCTAGGAAGAAATTCCAGCATCCATCTGTATGATTTGTCTATAAATTCGGGGAGGGGGATACTTTTGCATTCATTCCAGGTAGATTGGAACTAACAGACTTCTTGATCCCTAGTCTGGTTGATAATAATTTCACTGTTCTAAAAAATAAAAACTGGGATGCCTATTCAAACACATGTGATAGCAAATATGACAACAACATGAAATGAAAAGAAAATAAGCCACCATTAACCACTTGGAAAGCCAATCCATATCTCAAGAAGATGCTACTGTGGGATTGGAAGGGCATTATGTATTTCAAGCTTCTTCCACAAAAAAGAAGTGGAAGTCAGAAAAGTACTGTTCCCAAATGGAACAATTAAAAGGCTGCAGTTAATGAAAAGCATCCAGAATTGATCATTCAGAAGGGTGATGTCTTCTTTCAGGATAACACAAAACCTCACCCTCTCTTTGCTGACCCAGCAGAAATTGCTATAGGTTGGCTGTATCTATCTAACCTTGCACTTTTAGATTATCACTTATTTTGATCCATACAAAAATCTACTGAATGTGAATCACAATTCTCTGGAAGCCTGTACAACCAGTTCAACACTTAGGAAGATGCCAAGTTTTATGAGGATGGGATTATAAAGCATCCCTAAAGATGGTGAAAGGTAGTGGAACAAAATATGATTGAATAAATCTATTTACAAACATGTAAATCTATTATTTTAAATTCACTTAAAAAAACCTAGAAACTTCTGTTCTGACCCATATATCCTGAAAATTTTATTTACATTAGTTGGTTAATATCAATTTTATTATATTATTGTATATTTTAGCATATTTTTTTTTATCAAACACACCTTATCAAGTATGTTTCATCAAACATGTTTCACTGACTATGATATTCCAACCAAGATTTCCAAATAATTATTGTTATATTAAGTGTGTGGTGGCAGAACAAAGAAGAAATGATGGAGGTTTAAGAAATAAATAATTATATTAACAAAAAATACAACAAAAGATGAATTGGTGTAAATGTCTCTCATTGAAAAAAGAGATAAGTAGAATTGTAAAGTTGTCCACAGAGGCATACGGTAGGAGAGGGAGGGTGATTTGTGACTTACTGTGGCAATGGCCTTTGGCAAATTGTCTTTGGAGGAGAGAGGCTGCATTCATTGCAGCAACGACCTTTGGCGAATTCACTTTGGAGTTGGGAAACCACGTTTCGATGAGCATGTGAATCCTAGCTGTTGTACCAACTGACTGTCAAAGATGTCCCTATCATAAGCTTTTATGTCCTTTTCTTAGGCTCAGATCACCTCCAGTTTTTTATTCTGTTTCTTTAGGTGGGACTGGATGCTATTGGGTGGAAATTCTGGATTGTATTTTTCTTTGAGTGTGTAAGTAAAAGAGAAGGTATGTGTGGAGCCAATGCACAGTTGACAGAGTTTTTATTTCAGTCTTGGGTTTTGGAGTGTTCACATCAGGCCAGTGGTAGAAATTTGTGTAACATGAATCAGAAGATCAGTTTTTAGGAAGATTATAACATTATACGGATATTTTTTCAAACATGTCATGTAAGTTTATGAGAAAATGAAATAAAATTGAATAATAATAAAGAAAAATCAAAAAAAAAGAAATATATTTTCCCAAGATGTTAAGAGTAAAAGGATCCTGGAATATGACTACCCCACTTGGTTTTGAAAACCACCATCAGGCAGCAATGGTTAAGTCTATAAAAAGACAAACATTCACCTGCCTCACTCTCTTTCTTTACCTTGCTCCAAGATGTAGCAACTATGCAGTAATTACATTCCCACTGAGGAGCATTAGTTTCCCCAGTCCATTGATGACTGACTTCTCTTCACACTTTCCAATGCTCACTCATGTCTCCCAAAATCCTTGACATATGAAGTAAGTCAAGCTTTTTCTTTGGTTGTTGGAACACAGTGCAAGGCTGATGAGCTTGATCATTAATTTGATGTTTATACTTACTTACACTAACTCCTAGACCAAGAAACAGAAACCGGACATAACATAACCATGTTTAAACTTTCTTTGTCTGTTCCAACTCTGCACAAGGCTGACTTAAGCTCGACCATTATAGTGATACTTATACAAACTTTGTTTTACTATGATTTATATAAAAAAGAGAATAAACAGTCCATTGTAGAAACCTCATGTTCTGCATGCTTCTTTTTAATTTTTTTGCATGTGAACATGCTCTCTAAAATGCTCCAAACCCCACAACTTTTTAAATTCCATAAGTTACTGTTTCTCACTGTCTTTCTTGTCTTTGATATGTTCTGTGAGTTTTAGATTCTCCACACCCACTTTCATCATTATGTGTCTCCAAAATCTCAGCTATATAATGGTAGACTATGTTGGTTGCTTGAAGTTTTTTTTTCATTTATTATGAAATTGTTCAGCTTTCACGTTCATAAAAGAAGACTGCCATTACATAGTAGTTCAGCACTATTTTCTTTGTTTCTAATGTTATTTTTGTTTCCCTTAGTGCTTTAGTTTCTGGAAAGTATCTTCTCACTATTTCGTCTAGCCTCAGACTTCTTTGCCAAACCTTCCCTCACCTGTTACTGTACTGTTCAGATAATAGAATTTATACACTTGTTTTATATTGGTGTCTCCGTAGTGTAATTCACATCTTGTGCTGTCACTTTTACTCAGTATCATGCACTCTATTTGCCCAAAGTTTAGTATTTCCTTCTCATGCTCTTCAGCTACTTTCTATAATGAACAAAGATTTTGACATAATTGTTTAATAAATATAATTTATTATATATTTAAAAATTAGACTGAATATGTTTTGATGGATCTCTTTCTATTGTAACTGGGAACTAAAGAAACAGAAGCACTGTTTCAGCCATTTTTCAGACATGGAAGTTCCATGTCAGCCAAATTGCTTATGTGTGAATTGCTTTGGTAGACTTATATCACCAAGCTGTTGTTGTTATTACAGACCCCCTTACCAAGTTGCAAAATTTTTGGCAATGAGGAGAGATTTTTTTCACACAAATAATGTCAACACTCAGCAATTTAGAAGAATTCAGCATTGAATCTGGAAATATTTCATCATACCTGGACTGTTTGGAAGAGTTTTTCTTAATAAATGACATAGTTCATGGTCAGCAGAGATAAAGTATATAGCTATCTTTCTCAGCACCATAGATAAAAAGATGTACAGAGTTTTGGAAGATTTATGTGTACCACAGAAGTGAAGTGATAGAACTTTTGAGGAAATTAAGCATTTGTGGCTAGAACATTTCAAACCCATACACTTTGTCATTGCAGAAAGTCACCGGTTTTATAATGCCAAACAAGAGGAGGATGAGTCTGTTTCAAATTTCTTTGTTCAGCTTAAACATTTATCATCAACATGTGAATTTAAGATATTTTTAGTAAGAGCATTACAGGACAAATTTGTGTGTAGATTAAATAATGAGTGCATTCAAAAACACTGTCATCTGAGAACATGTCACTTGGAAATGCTTTTAAAGTGGCTCAGGCCATGGAATTGGCGGCCACTGGCATGGCAAACATTAATTATAGATGTATGAATGACATACACAAAATGTCTATGGGGAGTCAGAGTTCTATGGAAATTCAAAAGAGAAAAAAGTTAGAGGATAACTTTACAAAAATATGGTTATGCAATTGAAAAATTGTTCTAAGATGAAAGAAAGAAAAATGACTCAGCTGATGACAAGGGAGATTATTCACTTTTTTTATTCCCAAAATCATAATATAAATAAAGATTGGCACTCGATATGGTGTAATGGTTAGCAAGCTTATCTAGCTAAATCAATTACAACTGAATGCAACAAAATGTCTATGGGGAGTCAGAGTTCTATGGAAATTCAAAAGAGAAAAAAGTTTGTTTTGGATGCTGGGGAGAATGGCACAAAAAGTATATACAGTGTCCAGCATGGGGCAAAATTTGTTTTAATTGTCAAAAAAAGTATCACTTTCCAAGATTGTGCAAAAACAGTCAAAGCAGTTTTACTACATGCAAGAACGAAACACACCCGATATATCATTATATAAGGTTAATTTGGACACACCTGAACCTTATATATGTAAACTAGAGTTAAATGAGATTATCTGTTTATATTACTGAGATGAGGTATTATGTACATTAATCGAACTATTATTCCTCATCTTTTTTGCCATATTTATTACAACGTTTTGGCCGTTGTATGCTCCAGCCTTCTTCAAGTGGTTGGAATGTCAAACTGAACCCTTTATTTCGCTCACTGGGGTAGACTGTTCTAGTTACATTTGCCATGTTTAATGGATGTCAGTTATCAGTTATCTCCTGTTAATTCCCCTCTGAAAGTTCTCCCCTGCCTTAACCAGGTATTGAACTCACACTCTTTGGGTCCTGTCACTGGATCTAACTAATGCATTTATCTACTGTGCCATGTATCCTTAAGCAACATCAGCTCCACTGTATGCACTTTTTCAAAAAGAAGCCCCCTGGAAATGGGAAATAGCCTAAAAATCCACATTTGAACAATCAAAAAGTTTATTAATGTCAGCTGATGTTCTCGTTCTAGTTCATTACAACACTAAATTTAAACTTATAATGACTGTGGATGCATCTCCAGTTGGTATCTGGACAGTTTTGTCACATATTATGGTAGATGGAAGGGAAAAAAACAATTTACTTTGCCTCAAGAATATTATTAAAAGCAAAACAGAATTATGCACAGATAGAACATGAAGAACTAGCAGTAATTTTTGGAATGAGTAAATACCATAAATAAAATTATGGCTGGGAGATTACAATCACTACTGATCATAAGCCCTTGCTTGGGATTTTAAAAGAGGACTGTGTGATATTACACACAGTAAGTATTGGTATGATCAAACTACCACTATCATCTTTTATACAAACCTGGTTCAAATATTCTCAATGCAGATGGACAAAAGTTGACTACCCATGGAGGACTATTGTACACCATTACCTTCTTCAGTGGAAGTGGTACTCTCTATGACAGCTTTAGATTCAACTCCTGTCATGCTGAAAACTATTGCTTTGCATATATCCAGGGATCCCGTGTTATCTCAAATGCGTAAGTGGATCATACAGGGATGGCCGTACAATGAATCTCGGAATTCTCGACCATAAAGAAACAGGAAGGTGGAGTTATCAGTACAACTGAGTTTTATGGGGATCATGAGTGGTTATCTCTGCAAAGTGTTGAGATACCTTGTTTGAGATACAAGTTACATGAAGGTCACCCAGGTATTTCACAAATGAAGTCCCTTGCTCATTGTTATATATGGTGGCCTAATTTGGATTCAGACATTGAACAGTGTGTAAGAAGTTGTGTTATGTGTAGGATAAGGCTAATATGCCCCAGACGAGCACGTTACACATATGGGAATGGCCAGGAAGAGTGTGGTTTTGAGTGCATATATATTACTAGCAGTATAACCCGTCTTCGATCGGGTGTTTCATTACTGGGAATTTTTGCTGTTCAATTGGAGCACTTTAAGTTTAAAGTCAACCCACCCAAAAATCAATATTAGTAACAATAATCACACATCCCCAAATGGGGTAACAATTTAAATGGGGGGGAATTTTTATGTTCTCAATCTTGCAAGGAAGGAACCTCTTCCATGAACTGTCATAATAATAATATATAATTTTTATTTATAATATAATTTTTTTATAATTCTAATAATCTTTTGCGTTAGATTCCAACTCTCTAAATTGATTGTACACTGTTTTTTACAGACATTAAATTTTGCATTTGATTTTTGCACAAAGTGTAAAAAAATCAGTTTTTTCAATTTTCCACCTTCAAGGTTGTAATTTTTTCCAGACAATTTGGACTCAAAACTGGCACCGAAGAATTATCTATCAAATAAAAACAATTTAATTGAAATCAGATGAAAACTGTGGCAATGCATAAACAACATCCGATCACACACACACACACAAACACATACATATACACACACATTTTGAGAATTATAGCTATATAAATGCAGACCCGATCAATGGCAAATGGATTCTTTTGATAGTGGATGCTCATAGTAAATATATATATGCACATGTTGTTTCATAACCATCAGCAGCAGTAATGGAATGGATGTTGTGGTACACATTTGCCACACGTGAAAGCACTTATGTGATTGTGTTGGACAATACCCGCAGTTGTACTAGTAAAGAATTTTCAAAATCTGCACTTTGAAAGGTATTAAACATGTTTGATGTTCACCATATCATCCATTATCAAATGGACTAGCTGAACATGCCATATAAGCCATTAGGAGTGGGTTAAAAAAAGTTCCTAGAGATCTTGAAACTCGACTACTGTATGACTTGGCTCACTACTGTCTTTTTCCACAAACAATAACTGGTCAGACTCTAGCCATGTTGTTAATAGGTCAACAACCTAGATCTCAGCTTGACCTGGTGTATCCAGACTTATCTAGCAAAGTCACCAGTAAAATGGACAACACTAAAATGTCAGTGAATAGGAAGTGACAGGAAAACAGATTCTATTAGGCAGATGCTGTTTGCGTTATGAACTTTCAAAAGAAACCAAAATGGATGTCTGGAGTTCTAGAGGAGCAACTTGGCCCACTGATTTTTCTAGTACAGCTAGAGGATAGGCATGTATGGAAAAGACATGTGGATAATATTCGCATGAATATCCCAACTGAACCAGGTACATGCCCTGAAACAGCTAACTGTCATATAGGAAGAAAATGAGTAAATTCTGACACAAGGTTCGAGCATGACACTCTGGACTTAAGAATATATGTTTTCTGCCAGGTGTATAAACAACGGTGTCAGGCTACTGACTGCAGTGCTTATTGAGTGACTATTGAGTGGAACTATCCACTCGAATTAGTGTGAATTATTGTGCATCAATGATTTGAGTTTTGATTTAGGATTTACCGGACATTAAGCTGAGCCACACTACTAACAAAGTATTGTGAGACCAGAAACTACCTACACAATAGACTCTTCCAGGCCTATATTAAGTAGGCGACATAGCACTCTAGAGAGTGACAGAGAGAGTGAGAGTCTAGTACAACTACCAGTATTGGACACTAACATATAGTAAGCTCTGCTTACACTATCTCTGTAACCTGTTGTTAATATATCTTTCTTACATCTAATCCGTGTTCCGTGTTTTCCTTCTGTGGTCCCAACTTTGGCCCCACATCACAAAGTATTCACTAAAATGGTTAATTATCTTTGGTTGACTTTTACTTCTTTGTATTTATTTGTGGTTGTAATTAAATACTGTTTTATCTTAACGTTGCAATCTTGAGTTATACTTAATTATTAACAGCCACCGTACATCACAAAACCAACCAAGGAGAATTCAGACATGTACTTTGAAGGAACATTCAGCATCAACTATACAGCATCATGTACCCTACAGAGATCAACTGAGGGAGTAAATTCAGCAACCCAGAATGCCCCTCAGAACACATTTTTAGAAACACAAGGAAGTAAAGAGGCGTAAAGTTAAAAGTGAGCCCAAGAAACTACACACAGGCATAAAACTAAACACCATAGAAAAGCAATACAGTGCCTAACTCTTAGCAAGAGAACTTGCTTGAAAAGGAATTGCTAGGCATCAAGCCAAAACTGCAATGTTGTTGTTACTACAGACTCCCTTACCAAGTTGCAGCACTTTTATAAAGCATTCCAATGTATTTCTATAGATGCTTTTAGTATTTGCTTTGTCTCTTTAGATGTAATCATTAGAGGGAATGAAAATTTAGATGGATTAGTTTAATAAATCCTATCCAAAATAGGTTGTATAAAGAGTACTAAAATCATTTCCAATTAATTTCTATAGATGCTTTTAGTATTTGCTTTGTCTCTCTTGAAAATTTAGCAAAATCAACCATACTTGTTTATTAGATATTGATTACTTTTTACATTTTTGCTAAAAGAGTTACTTCCATGTTTTTAGAATTTAAAATTATTCATGTAATTTCATTGGTTTTTCTTTTTTTTAATTCTCATTTCTTTTCAGTTTCTGTGGAAGATTGCAGGAAAATCTGGCCAAAAGATGCATCTCAATGGAACACAACATTGCCAGAATCTTCACAAGAAACCAACTTTTCACATCTGTTCCCAGCCATGCTCATATCGTTTTACATGATATGTCTTTTGGGTTTAATTATTTTTCTTCTGATAAAAAGGAAAAATTTGAAAATGTAAGTTTATATTTAAACTTTTTCTTTTCCAATGCACTAGAAACCATTTACCTTTAATATGAACAAATGTTAATGACATCTAATATCTTGACAATTAGAAAAGGTGAGATGACTTTAAAATGTGATACAATTCAAAATAAGTGATCACAGAAAAAATAAGGAAAATAATATGAAATTAGCAGTCATTGATTTATTAGGTTAGAGCATGACTTTACAAAAATATAGTTATACAATTGAAAAATTGTTCTAAGATGAAAGAAAGAAAAATGACTCAGCTGATGACAAGGGAGATTACTCACTTTTTTCATTCCCAAAATCATAATATAAATGAAGATTGGCACTCGATGTGGTGTAATGGTTAGCAAGCTTATCTAGCTAAATCAATTACAACTGAATAGTGAATTTGATCCTCACTGGGTGTCCATACTTTTAGTCTTGTGTTGCATCAAAGCTACACTTAGAAAATCACTATAATACAAATGAAGATGCAGTTTTTGTGAAGAAAAACTTTTTAATCTATATAGATTAATGTCTGTCTATATCTCTGATTATTATAATTATTTACATTATTTGGAATGTTATCCACATTCTCATTGCTATATTCACAACATTTCATTTAGAAATAACTGAGACATCTGGAAGAGGCATGGTATATGGAACTAGAACAATCTACACCAGTGGATGAAATATTCCAATCACCTAAAGAAGGATGGAATGTACAACAACCAAAACATTATGAATATGGTAATGAAGATGAGCATAACAATCCAAATATTGTATATAATGTAAATAACTATATAAATTAAGTTTTGGCAAAATGAACAAATTAGACAAGTTAAAATTACAACAGATTTAGCTAACAAATTATTAGAATATATATATTCTGTTAATTTATCAGTTTCAAGCAAAATAAAAATCTTTTTTTACTGAAAACTATTCATAAGATAAAATATGCCTACTGAGTGGATACAAATTTAAAATAAAATTTAATTATAATTTACACAGCATTTTAAATATATCAAATTATTAATCTGCCAAGTTTCAGCTTTTAAGCATTTATTGTTATGAGAAATGTTATATTCTTCAAGTAACATGCATTCAAACTGAGCTGAGTATTTTTCTGCTATATATTTGTGTGCACTCATGCTAATGTCATAAAAATGAGCATGTGACATCTACCCAACAAATGAAAACAAATGACATGGAATTCCTTAAATCAAAACATCTCTGTACTATCCAATTCCCCAAAATTTCTGATGAGTGCAGAAACTGTCCATTCTATTATAATTGTGCTTGTCCCTCCCTTTGTTAAATCACATGGCCATTACACCCTGCCAATACCTCATAAATAATGGACTATTCCATTTTGATCACGTGGAAGAAGGGAAAGGACACTACTTGGTTTCAATGAGAATATGAAAGAAAGAAAGACGGGAAGATAAAAGTGGAAAGAAAGAATCAAATTAAGCTGATACAAATAGATACTACACTTTGATCTTAGCCAAAAGGCCAAGAAGCTATTGTATTTTCTTGCCATCTCACACTGGCAGGATGTGATAAAAGATCAGTTTAATGTGGGGAGCGCAAGCATGTTGTTATAGACAAGCGTATGGTTGCAAGAAAGAAATACGACAACAGCAGAAATAGATTTACGGGATTTATTTCAACAGGAACATGAGGGTTTGGGACAGCTACCTTGTGGTATAGTTCATAAGCCAGCTTCGGATCTAGTTTGATCTCTCATAGTAGTTCACACATGTTGATGCTGGCGCTCCCCTGCTGACAGCTCGACCTGACCATGACAGGTCACTTCCCTGGCCACTTGTTGACTGCCTGTTGTACTTCCCTGTGACCCCTTTTATGGCGTTTTTTTTTATGGCTTAACAGGCTTGAAAAACGAAGCGAGTATAATTAAGAGGGAAGCATTTTTATTGGACGAAAAATAGAACATTTTAAATATTATTTTATTTAAACCAGAACGCGTGTGTCGGGAACATTTGTAAACGAAGATAATAGTCATTTTGTGACAGGGCTTTGTACCGTTCACGTCCGGCTCTCAATCTTGAGTATGTTAGTTTATTTGCCTGTAAATCAGCCGAGATATGTCTTATTTTATTTTATAACAATGTGCACCCAGGCCAGGTCCAAAAATAGTTCAGCCTCACCAACTGTTGGTTGTGCTGGTATCAGTATTACTATTGATCCCAACTCTTTAATGAGGGAGGTGCTACCATAGGCATTTGTTTCCCTGAGACCAGGCACCTCTTAATATTTTCTGCTGAGCTCTGTCCGCAGACAAAGACACAACTGTGAAATGGAATGTAGTTTATCTGCCCAATGGCAGATACTACATTTTGTTCGCAGCCAAAAGGCTGAGAAGATATGGTGGCCATGATAAAAGTTAAACTTTTTCAGATGCACAGTATCAAACGACGGAAACTGTGTCAAGCAATTGCCAAAAATCCAGTTACCACAAATAAAATAACATTGTCTGTTGAATTATTTTTAGATTATTATTAAATGAAGTGTTTTTAAGACAGGATTTGGCTTAGGAAGGAGGGAGGAAAGGAAGGAAGGAAGGAAGGAAGGAAGGAGGGAGAGGAGGAAAGGAAAGGAGTAAGGATGGACGGACAGACGGACATCTCCTGCCAATACCTGATAAATAATGAACTATTCCGTTTTGATTGTGGAGAAAAACAAAAGACATATGCTACTTTGTTTCAGTGAGAAAATGAATGAAAGAAAGAAAGAAGAGAAGTTAGAAGTGTTTAATGGCTGTTTCAGTGAAATGGTAAAAGTTGTCAATTTCAAATCTTTTATTTCTACCCACTTCTTAAAATATTGATCAGCATTTATATTTATGATTGTTATGAGAATATTTTGTAATAGATGTTAAGCTCAAATATTTAAGAATGTGATAGGGTAATTTCTACAAACATTTTATTCTACAACTTGCCACTTAATTTCAGTAAGAAATGGAAAGAAAGAAAGAAGGGAAGATAAAAGAGGAGAGAGAGAATCAAATTAAATTGATAAGAACAGATACTACACTGTTATGTCAGCCAAAGACAGAGATTTAGCAAGTAATGATTATTGTTATTGAGGCTCAAAACAATTCAAACTTTACTTTATATAACAATGACAGTAATGTGTTGGTGGTCTTTTAAAAGATACCGCAGGACAGATTAATGGTTGCATTTCTAGTATACTTTTATATAATACACCTTAGAACACAAACATTGAAAACATATTAATGATGAACTCCTTGAAAATGAATGATTTAGCTGAAAGCACTTGAGATAATAATTATTACAGACAGTTTTTGCACTCTCTTCTTTTTCATGTGTCATGTCCCCTCAGGACAAAAGTGATCATTTCTCTCAACAATTTCCAGTCCTTTGTAGCTCATAATAAATTTTGTCTTTTTGTTATTTCTTCTAAAACACTTTTCCACCATCCATTTACTGAAGCTCATTATGTATTGTTTTCCTCTGTCCCTCTTGCCTTCAATCTGTCCTATGAGTATCAGATTTTCCAAGCTCTCTTTCCTTATTATGTGCCATAGAAATTTCAACTGTCTGTTCCTGATGTTAAGTATAAATTTCCTTTTTGTTTCCATTTTCTTTAAAACTTTGTCATTGCTCATATGTTCAGGCCACAGTATCCTCAGCATCCTTCAAGTCTTTTCTACATCTTTGTCCAGCAATCGCTGCCGTTTAGGAGGACAGATATCATGTAACAGTTCAGTACTCTTTCCTATGTTTCAAAGTTTTGCTGTTTCTCAATACTTTCCTTAGCCCTCCAAAAGGAAAACTCTAAAAGCATTAGAAAGACTTTATAAACACCTTATAAACTTTTTCTCCTCTGTTACATCCAATGAAACATGTATAATAGAAAGGTTGCTACTCAAACAGAAAATAGTATACATTAATATATATCTTAGGGATGTGCAGGTGGTGTAATGGATAGTAGTTATGAATGAGAAATCAGAGAGCCAAGTCTGAATTCCAATTTGGTTCATCACATTCATTTATGTACAATTACCCCTGGAAAAGGTATGAAGCCATCTCCGCCCTCCAGCTATGGGTTAAATAGTAGGAGTTTTATCTGGAAAAATTATGGTTATTCTCAAAAGAATTCTTGATGCAATATTCCATCACACAATGAAGGAATTGTTCTTACAATCCAAAATATGTTCTGGTTTTAAATATCCTGCAAATAGTTGATAAACAGTAAAAAACACAGCAATCAATCAATCCTGATTTTAGAACAATTTTTTTTTTATTTCATTGCAGAAGAAATAACAATGACAACATGAACAAAAACAACCAACAACCAGAAAAAGAAAATGAAGATTCTGTTTATGAAGAAATAGATGAAACTCAAGTAAGTTTTTGAGATGTACATCTATATATACAGGGTGCGATGGATAAATTATCGTCTAAATTATGCAAAAATGAAAATAATGCTGACATTTCATTTTAACAGATATATTTACCAAAATTATGCAAAAATATCCTGAAATACTAAAGAATAAATTTATTCAATAAAATTGCCATTGGCTTCAACCACAGCCTCCAGGTGACTTCAGAATCTCCTAGAACTCTTCTGGACGGTCTCCTTGTTTAAGTTGATGAATGCTGCCATAAGTTCATTTTTGGTATTACAAGGAGTATTGTTGGTCTCTTGCTCAACTGTACTCGATGCATAATAATCAAGGAGATTGCAGTCTGGGGAGTTAAGGGGTGATGTGGTCACAGAAATTGTCTGATAGTCACAACTGGATTCTCCTGCTTGTGTGGCATCATGCAGAATTCTGTTGACAGACATAGGGTCTTCCAGCAGCCAGCCTCTTGACCCAGGGCAGCATTACCTCATCAACTGACCCTACTCTACTGTGCAGTCAACAAAATCAAAAACAAACAATGAATATGCACAAAAAAGGCCGTTGAGAGATAGCATTCTCATATTTATCCTCCAAATCCATAGAGAGTTCAGCTTTGTCTCTTCAGGGCATGATGGTAACAGTTTTCCTCTTGGTGTGCTCATGGATAACATTCTCAAGGGAAACATTAAGGACACCACACGTCTCCTTGTAGATGAGACCGGATATATGCTTGACACCACCTTTGCGAGCCAGCTGGTAAATAGCGGGCTTGGTGATGCCCTTGATTTTATTTCTGAGCACCTTGTGATGATGTACAGAGCCTTTCTTTCTTGATCTTTTTCCCTACTTTCCACATCCAGGCATGATTAAAAAAAATATAAAATGGCGACAATTTACCCATCTCACCCTGTATATAATGTTTAAACAAATTAAATTGTGTGTGTGTGTGTGTGTGTGATTAAACAGCAGATTCTCCTGCAAAGTGTTATGCATTTTATATATTGTGAGTGTTACCACTGTTGCTGTGATGTGTAGAGGTTTGTTACAATAAACTTTTAAGAGCTCCTGGTACTGCAAACAAGTGAAATCAAGGGAAAAGACACTAAAACTAGCTATAAGAATGTGTGTGTGTGTGTGTGTGTGTGAAACAAGTATGCATGAAACACACATGTGTAAGTCTGTGTGTGTGAGAGAGAGAGAGAGAGAGAGAGAGAGTTCAATAGTCAGTGGGCCAAAGAAACAAACATGCCCCAGTAGGGGGCACCCTACCTATGTGTGACTACATCTGTAAGCAAGAGGAAAAGGAGAGAAAGAGAAGAAAATGTTTACCTTTTTATAGACCTAAAAAAATGCCAGCAAATGTGTGTTTTCGTTGAAAGCAAATGGGCTAATACATATATATATATATATATATATATATATATATATATATAAAGAAATAATCATACATAGAATCAATCAGCAATATTAATGCGATGAATGGCGAAATCACTTCGCTAGTAGAACATAATGTATGCATTAAAATACTGTTAATCCATTGAATGATGTGATCCTCATTTATAAAACTGTTGTCAGATGTTTCTAGTGTATATTTTTTTAAGTTAAGCAATATATATATATATTTATAAATATAAATGACAATAGGAAAACTAGTTATTGCTGATGCGTTTCGTCCAATATGGACTTTCTCAAAACAAAAAAACGAAATGAATTTAATTAAAGAAAGTAACTGATAATAACAAAAAACAAAATGTTCTTAGCAACTAGAGGAATGTAGAGAATGCTATTTTCATATTGTTAACTGAAAATAATGTCAATTATTGTCACGTGTGGAGAATATTGTGATTATAAATATTGTAAATAAATATTGTCTTTTCTACAGGTTAACTCTGAGAAATTTTCATATATATATATATATATATATATATATATATATATATTGTGACGTCTCTCCAACGTAAATGCTTTTACATTGTAAGTAATTTATTTGATAGGTACCAGCCTCTGAATTGATATTGGATTTACTCTTCTTCCTAATTATATCTCCAATTGTGCTGGTAAAGATCCTAGTAATAGGGATAATTAATTTATTTTTAAGTTTTGTAGAAAGAGTGTTAGAAGGTATGATTATAAATTTTGTATTGTTGTTGTTAAAAGTGCTACCAGAAGTGTCTAGTTTTTGGTATCTGTGGATTTTGTAAGTGTAGTGTAGTGTTACTGACTCACGGGAACTAGTATGCACTCAAATGTCTCATCGTTAATAGCCGTAGCTATTTATACTCTTTGGGACTTCATATGTAAATGAGTCACCTCATCTCCCTGTAGCAAAGAGGTTTTGTCCCCTTATTTTCCCTGGTACTTCTTCAGGGAGCTATCTTCCTCCCTCTCCCTAAGAGGTTGTTTAGGTATGGGAGATCTTGACCTTCTTTTTTCTTAGGAATGTTCCTCTAATGATTTTTCTTGTTTGTCTTCAGAGTCTGTTGTAATAAAAATAACTAACAATTATTACAACTTAAGAAGCTTTAATAAACTAATTTTACAGGCTACTGTTAGTGACTTAAAAATTCCACCTTCACTTCCTCATGGTGCACAGAGTGTGTATCATAGTGCAGCCACCAGGGAGTTCCTCAAGGGCTATCAGTCATTATATTCTCCTCTTCTATTTTATTTGGTTACAAGTCTAGACACTGAGGAGGTTTTACCAATCTAAAAGACCTACGAAGTACTAGACAGTCAAATTTAGTTAGTGAAGGGATGAACACATCAAGTTCAGCTGACTCAGGTGACAGTCAGTTATGTGCCATGTGTGATACATACTTAGGCAATCATGTATCTTTCGATACATGACTGACGAGGCAGATTTTTTTTTCCCACAGTAGGTTGTCATTTCTTTCTGCAGTAGACCAGTTGTCATTCAAGGCTATAGAACCCAATCTATCATGCTATTTACCCATAGCTGGGTTGGGGGAGAAGAAAAGGATTCATACCTTTCTCAAGGGTATTAGCATATAAGTGAATGCAGTGGATTCGACTGGAATTCAAACTCACCTCTTCAATTCTTCAATCTGAGCTGCTATCCATTACTCCACAACGGTTCATTAATATTGGTATCTTCATTTTCACTGCAATCAGTTCTTTCTATCAGTGCTGAAGGGACCTTAAAGGTTTCCTTTATTACACCAGTGTTTTCTGCCTCTGATACTAGATATGGTGCTAAATCCCTTAATGATATCATTGATTCTCATCCATCTTAGTGCTTAATAGTAATGTAGCATGGATTTGTGTCTATCAGCTCGACCTCATCCACCAGAAAATCGTTCTTGTTTCTGACAAACCAACGAAGGAGTACTGGTTCAGAGCTTGTTACCCAAGTTGGCAGAGAAGTACCAAAAGAACTTCTTTTGAAACTGTTTATATAAAGTGGAGTTGGTTGCAGTTGACAAGAGAGATTTATTGGAGTGTAGGGCATTGGGGAGTACTGACTCCCAATGACGGTCTTCTAGTTAAGTTTAATTGCTTTCCAGATGATACCATTGTATCTCTCTGCCTGTCTGTTACCACTGGGGTGTTAGGGTGTTGTCTTGCTTGCAGCAATGTCCTTATTTAATAGATAGGGCCTTATTATTTCTTTTTATAAGAAGTACCTCTATCAGAGTAGATATAACCTGGAAAGCTAGTTAGTGCAAATAACTGGTTCAGACATTTTATTACTATCGATGAATGCATATTTGGACAGGGAAAATCAAATGGAAATTGAGAATATTCATCCACAATGGTTAGGATATAAATATTACCCGAAGTTGAAGGTAGGAGTCCTTTAAAAATCCATGCTATTGGTTGGGTAGTTTTAATTAGTGTTCCTTTTCAATGCAAAAAAATCTTGGCTTGAGTTCTGCACATAGTAAACATGAAGAACATACTTCCTTTACTTCGTCTGTTGAGAAGGGTAGGTTCTTTGTCCATACAAAATGGAACATTCATCTAGTTCCAGGATGGCTTTGTCCTTGATGTAGATCACCAAGGGTTGATGAGGACACTGAAGCACAAAATGCTCTAGTAAGTGTGTCAGGGTGACATTGTCTTTTTCAGGATAATATCTTATTGAATAGCTAAAGGCAGACAGCTCAATTCACCATTCTAAAATTTTATTGTTTTTAATTTTTGTCCTCTTGTGGTTATCGGGCATGAATGTCACTGAAAGTAGGTCTGTAATCAAAATAGAATGTTTTGCAAGGAGGTGATTCCATTTCCGAAGAACCTCAATTATTGCTGTTGCTTCTTTTCCTATGGAAGGATAGTACAATTCACTCCCCCTGCAGAGTCCATGACATAAAAGCCAATGGTCTACCCCTCTGGTTTAAAGTAGCTTCTACTGCTACATCCAAAGCCTCACACTCAACAACAAAGGGTAAGTCTTCATTTATATTTTGCAGAGTGGCATTCTTTAGACTTTTAAATGCTTTAATAGCAGTTGCATTCAGTGGAAAAGACTTGCTTTTAATCAGTGTTTGGATTATGTCAAAAAACTTTGGTATCCATTTAGCGTAGTATGCAATCATACCAACAGCTCTCCTTAAGAATTCAGGTTTGTTGGCATGGTTAAGCCTTGGAGTGGCCGAAGACTTTCTGGTTCAGGTTTAATTATCCTATTACCTACCCAGTAGCCAAGGCTATTAAGTAAGGATACAGAAGATAGTATTTTTGTCTCATTCAGTGTAAGATTTTTTGGCTGTTAAGAATTGTAGGGAGACCACAATTGTTTTCCCTTTGCATTAGCCCATGAGAGTTGTGGCCCCTTTTAGTGATTAGAACTCTTCTGCCCTTTTTTGTCTTCACTTCTGTTTTGGGAGGAACGACCTCTTTTCCTTCCTGACCACCAGAGTGTCCACACACGTGGAAACTGGTCAACATGTGTACGGCCTAACGAAACAAATTCATTCACTCACCTGGGGACGACCAAAGGCCATGAAATTGGTAGGTGATTTCTTTGTACTAATTCTGTTTAACCTCCTCGTTCCTTTGAGACAATATGGACAATTAGGACATGTATAAATCTTGTGTATATATTTACAAAGACTGCTTGCCACATTAAATGTTTCATTGGTTACGCTTGCGTATTTCGTCTTTTCATATTCACATTCAGTGTTAGTGTATCAATGGCTACACTAATGCTAATATTAGTATCAGTGTGCTACTGAAGGCTAGAACGCGTTATTCTACCTAACATAGAATAGTCAGTAAACTCTGTGTGGCAAATACACACCTTATGCTAATAGAATCTTTAAACATTCCAGTCATGTTCTTCTTGGTTTTTCCCCTGCAACATTTATGTTATCAAGGTAAGGGAAAGTGTCTCTTAACATTTGTTCTTGGATAAGTTTGTCCATTTCCCGCTTAAAAATAACCACACTGTTTGTCACACCAAATAGCACTCTACAGTATTGATAGAACCTCCCAGTAGGTTCAAAAGCAGTAAATCTTTTTTCATTTTCCCTTAGGGGAATTTGGTGTTAGGCATTTTTCAGATCAAAGGTAGAAAAGACTGTGTATTCGGCTAGTTTGCTTACAATCTCTTTGATACGTGGAAGAGGATAAGCATCAAGTTCTATAAATTGGTTGGTAGTCTGTGAGTAATCAATGCATAACCTCTTCTTATGTCTTAACAACTGGGAGGGGGGGAACTTTTTTCGAATATGCCTTGTTGTAGTAGCTTCTCGACTTCATTTCTGATGAAATCTCTGTCAGCCTTCCCAAACTGCTGTGATTTTGTTATGATTGGTTTACAATTCAGAGACAAGTTTGGAAAAAACAAGTGTTCACTAACAGAAATGGCAGAAAAAGCACAAACTGATTCATAGTTGGGTATAATAAAATCCAGTTTAAGGCCCCTGTATCTGATCTGAAGAGACTTATGTTGTTTCTGAAAACCATGTCCCAGTATCAAGTCGCTAAACAAGTTCTTTAAAACTTTGAGAATAACAGACTTATAGCATGTTTTGTTTATTTGTAGGTTGACAACACAAAAGCCACAAGTCTGTGTGTTCATTGAGCCAAGGAAATTTCTTTATTGAGCGATCTGGTTTCAATTTGAAATTTCAAAGTAACTTTCTTGTTAATGAAACTTTCTGAGCTGCTCAAGTCTCGTAACACATTTAGCCTACAACCATTAATGGATGGTAGTGTCTACATGCACTAATATCTCATTTCCATTCTTTTTCTATTATCATAATGTTCTGTCCTCTTTGCATTATGAATCTTGCCTCTTCTAGATTAGATTCACTATTCTTTTGTACCATAGTTTTTCATTGGTAGAATAGGACATAGTCAATCGGGCTCTAATTTGTCTACTGATGAGTGTGGATGGACTTTTCAGTCTTACAGCATGTGGTATTGTTCTATAACTTAGAAACATTTCTTTCTAGATTGTTGCTATCTTTTCTTTCCATTTCTTTTAATACATCATTTCCTATTAAACAATGATTCTTTTCAGTTTGCTGCGATAACTGGTAATATGTCAAACTTATTTTTTAGTTCCACATAAGCTTCAAAATAGCCTAACATTTTTATCACGTATCCATTGAACTGATTCAATTGGATAAGGCTTTTCTTTAATCTTGGTTTTCCTAATTTCTTCCAGAAATTTCTGAGTATCAACATCACATCACTTCCCGTATCTAGTTGCATGTCCAATAAAATATTATTTATTTGAGTTTCTAATAACCCTTTTTCATTTTTTTTCAATGAAAAGACATCCATACTTATTTCCTCTTCATTTTGTTGGACCGTTTCTACATTTTTCTTTTTAGATTTGCACATACATTTAAAATGATTCATTTTGAAACATTTTTCAGATTTTTTTTTATACATCGGACATTTTTCTTTCTCTTTTTGATGTTGATATCCACAAAAATTACACCATATTTCATTGTTTTTCTTTATAGTGTATGTGTCCAGATCTGTAACTTTTGTTCTACTAAATTTTCCAATTAACTCTTGTTGCTGAACAAATTCAATACACTGTTGTAGTGAGAACTTTCCCAGTTGTAAATGCATTACAGTCATTTGCTAATACTCCTCATTTTGAAGGTTGTTTAACAATTTCATTTGGATCAAATCCTCTTTCATTGACTGTTCAGTTTCTCGAATTCACAATATTTAGAGGCCTGTTTTGAAGAACATATTCGATGACTGGTTCATTCACTTTTTGAGAAATATTCATAAACTTAAAATGGCCTTTTTGGTTTTCTTCTCCAACTGATCTTAAATTCTTTAGCTTTTTTGTTCTAGCTTTAGCTGCTCATATCCTAAGCCACACTTGTGTGTACTCATAATTATCAAGTGATAATTGTTCATTTGCTTTGATAGTTATAGGTGACACCATTGTAGTGTAGTGTTACTGACTCATGAGAAGTTGTAGGCATTCAACTGCCTCATGGGTAATAGCAGCAGCTATTTATAGTCTTTGTAACTTCAAATGTAAATGAATCACCTCAGTAAGCTTATTTTCTAGCAGTCAGGATGAAAACAAGCTTACAAAATCCACAAATCTCAAAAATAGCACTTCTAACAACAATGTAGCCAATATACACATATATATATATGTGTGTGTGTGTGTGTGTATATGTTAATAGTTTGCATCAGTCCACCACCAGGGTTGATAAGACAGATCATATATATATATATATATATATATATATATATATATATATATATATATATATATATTATATTACTCTTTCAGTTCTGCAATTATGTGTTTAGCTAATGTAATATCTTTCTATGCATGGAAATATATTGTGGGTATTTTTGATAAATAAAACTTTCCTTTATTATTGTATTTGTTGTGGCCTTGTTAGGGCCAGAAATAAAGACACAAAGAGAGGAATTGAGTTAAACAAATATATTAAAAGAAAAAGTAATACAAACATATACAAACAAGAATGTTACAGCAAGAATGTTCAGTCTGACTCTCAGAGCTGACTGCTGGAAACTTCCCTCACCAAAAGGCAGTACCTGCTCCTATATATAGCTGGGAGAGTCCATGCATGTGTGGGTAAATTACCATAACAGTATAGGTGTGTTTCACCGACAATTTATTGCAATTTTGATTCAATGAATAATTATACCTTCAATTCAAGTTTTGATTTTATGTAATGGAGATTGCCTGTTTTTTTTTTTTGTTTTTTTTTTTTGGTAATATGACAATATTTCACATAATTGTAACACTATAAGCATTTTTGTATTGGGGTGTGTAAATACCCCATGGGACTATCAATTTTTGGAAATCTGAGATGACTAACTAAATGTAGTGCTCATGAATGAATTATTACAACTTATTTTAATCCTTTGCTTTACAAAACCACTGATGTTTATTAATTTTTGTGTTGCCTTTAAACAAAAAGAAACAAAAAATCATTTCATTATTTTTTTATCCCCCATGTTCCTAAGAAGTTTTGTCTTATTTTCTGCCTTTATTTCAGATGATAGACACAATTCCAGCTCAAATGATTGCCTCACCAGAAATATATAACAGATTGGAAAACATTCAAAACATACCATATAAAAAAGATTTGCATGAAAGCAAATTTTTTAACAAAGATAGCCTTACTGACATGGACACACAAGAAGAACAGTACAATGTTCTGTATGTTGCAGGAACTCAAGAAGATTTTAAATCCAATGAAAAGCCACCCGAGGGCTGTGTATAATACAATGTCATCAAAAGATTTGCATGGAAACATCTTTTAACAAAGATACCTTCACTGATATGGACACACAAAAAGAACAGATCATTTGAGATAGCATATTGGAAAATATGATATATAAATTATGATATATAACTATTATATATCTAAACACATGAAAAAATTATATATGAAATTTATATATCAGATGAATGGTGCATAACTGAATAAAAATGAAAAAATAGAACTGTTTATCAAAAATAAAATAATAATAAATAAAACTGTTTTTGAAACATAATAAAAAATGTAACTTTTTATTAAAAATAATAAAAATAAAACTGTTTAACAAAAATAAAAAATTAAAGCTATTTATAAAAAATAAAAAACTGTTTATCAAAAATAAAATAATAATAAAACTGTTTAGCAAAAATAATAAAAACAATAAAATTGTTTATCAGATGCATGTTTGTATGATATATTTGTATACTTATGTTCTGCATATAAAATGTTTTCCAATATAACTCATTTTACAAATCCATCTCTTTTGGGTTATTCCAGTCCTTTCTTCTGTGATGTTAAGGTGTTAGTATATCATGAATATACTAATGCCTAATGTGGGCCTTGGAGAGTAGAGAAGACATTTTCTCTCTCTTTTCAAGTACTCTATTAGTTGTTTTATCATTTTAGGGAGGAAACTTAAAGTCAAAAAGGTAATGTTATAAAAACTTAGGACTTATATTACATAACACTTTTCTTTGTTTCTAACAAAATTTTTCTGTTTCTTAATATGTTGCTTAGCTTTTGGAAGGCATCTTTTGTTATCCCAATGTGCCTTTGGATTTCAGTGTCATATTTTCTGTCCTCTATTAGAACACTTCCTAGATATTTAAATTGTTTTAATTGTTTGATTTTGGTATCTCCAATTTGTAATTTGTATGTTGGGGCTATCCCTTTTTTTAATAAACATATATTCCATCTTCTTCAATTAAACATTTATGACAATCATTTTTTTTTTACTTCACATTGGTTTGTGAAAAATTTTAAATGTGAAATGATGAGTCATTTTAGGAAAAGAGTTCACTGAAAAGAAAAAAAAGAAAGTGTCAATAATTACAACTTTAAATAATACTGAAACAAGTGGAGAAGTAGTTTGCATGGCATAAGAATAGATGTTGATATTTGGAGAGAGGATTACAGCCATGTTATATGGAAACTTCTGTTTTTGTTCAATCTTTGAAGTTAAGCAACATGGAGCCTGGTCAGTACCTAGATGGGTGATTGCTTGAGAATACCAATTGCTATATTCTTGGATGTATGAATGGGGTGATGTATAATGGCTCAGAATGAGAAATTGGAGAGCCAAATTCAATTTTTTTTTAATCAATTCACCCCAAGCAAGCCAATAATGCCATTAAGACACAAGGGACTACTGGGTGTGAAAGAAAATGAAAAGATTTTAGAAGGAACTGGTAACCTAATCCTAAATAGGAAACAAAGGATGAATCTCTACTCCTGTTCAAAAGACTGGAGAAGAGTGTGAACTGGACAATAGATGAACCTATCTACTCCTATTAACTTCATTCAGGTTTGTTAAATTCATTTAAGTGCAAATACCATTGGGAAAGGTATGAATTCTTTTCTCCCCAGCTATGATTTAAATAGCAGTACAGATTGAATCCTATAGCCTTGGTTGCCAACCAGTTCACCACAGCAGCCTACTACAGGAATTCTTCCAAGTTAGTCATGAATCAAAAAGAGACATGATTGCCCAAGCATGTATCATCCACCTATGGAAGGAATTCAGAGAGAAAAATGGTGCAAGTTTTGTGATAGCTGATGATGATCTTCAGAAGCTGAAGAGGCCTAATTTTTGCTTTAAGCAGGAAACATTTTATTGACTGAAGTCCTTAATTTATTCTTCAGCCAGAAGCCACATGCAAGTTAGTTGCATACATGTGTATTTTTATTCATCTGTGTTTTAGCCAAGGAAATATCTACTTTCATTTTCACATCCAATTCACAGCAGGTTCTCAAACTCAAAATTTTTGGTTTCACAATAACTAAACATTTTAAGTAAGAGATTAATGCAAAAAAAATTTGAATCTATATAAAAAAAAACAGTTGTTGTATTTTTTACTCAATGCTATCACATCATGAGTCATGTAACCCAGGATCAAAAGAGCATCATATGTACTGCAGCCATAGCAGAAGTTGTGTGTCTAAGACAAGATAGCTTGATAAAGCCCATTCTTTTTACTTCTAAACTGGTTGCCATGTCAAGACAAGAATGCCCAATCAGCCCTGCTATTTAACCCATAGCTGGAACACAAGAGATGGCATTATACTTTTACCTATCATGATGGATGGGTGTTCTCTCAAAGAGGCTCCTTGCCTTCTACTGGGACTCAAGCTCACCTCAGACCTCAAGTGGAACTCATATGTACAATCTATTGCTAAAGATGTTGAAAAAATGGCCAATTCATTGTACTAAATATCTGACTTCACCACTCATGCTATATTCTTACAGAAGCAAGAAAAGAACAAAAACTTAGGTATTGCTGCCATATCTGCGCTGACTACCCCTTCCTCATTTACCTGTCTTGACAGTGTTCAAAAGCTTTTACAAAGTCTTGTGGGTGATGAATTATTTTCTACTGTACAATGCCTTCCACATATATGAAACATTGCAAGTCTCTCATTAATCTATCACTATTTCTAAGGTGAGTGTTGTGATGAACAACATTACTTGGTTCCACAACCCTTGACCTTTGCGACTAGGACCTACCCTGTTATATACATAAGGATGAATCATCCTTATCTCTTCATATCCCATTAGTAAGAAGTTCCACTCAGGCAGTTTCTTCCCAAGAACTGTTGCTTGGTGGAAAAGACTCCAGACAGAATGTTTTACCAATCACTACAATCTTGACCTCTTCAAGTCTTGGGTTAACCATTATCTTTCTTATGTAACCCCATGAACTGCACTTCTTACAGTTTCTTAAACTCATACAACATACAGTAACCATCTACTTTGAGTGCCTTTAGGTCCTTGTATTGGGTGAAGATTAGAATTAAAAAAATTACATTTACCAAGAGTATTTGTGTGAAAGTGAGCATAAGAAATTTGATTGGAATTGGACTTGGATCATAAATTTCTTATTTCAAATTGCTTTGAATATTGCTTCTACATCTGATCTGGTGCTTCTGCTATATATTTAGAGATTCTTGATAAAATCAAAAGAATAATCTGCAATGTCATTTGTCTTGATCTGGCATCTCAGCTTCAGTCCCTTTCCCATCACCATAACTTAGATTCCCTATGACTTTTCTATAAATACTTTCATGGTAATTGTTCTGATGAAATTTCCTCTATGGTACCTAGACTTTATGAATTTAAGTGCAGTACTAGATTGGCAGTATTTTATAGTTGAAATAGCTCGATGTAATAGTAACATTTTTATTTCTCGCACTTCTCACTTGTGAAACTCTCTTCTTGCGTTTTGCTTCCAACTTTGATCTTTAAAATTTTAAATGCAATGTCAATCATTTTTTTAACCATGTATAATAATTTTCTCTTATTTAAAGTACAAAACAACTATTTTTGGGGCCAATTTAAAAAACTTTTGAACTGTAGTGTGTATATATATATATATATATATATATATATATATATACACACACACACATGCACACACACACAGATACAGAATTCTCCCATTGATTTCAATGTATGAGTGTTCAACAAAAAAAGTTGGCTTCAGTCCCTTTCCCATCCCCATAACATAACTTCCTTCTGCCTTTCCTTATAAATACTTCCATGGTAATTGTTCTGATGAACTTTCCTCCATGGTACCTAGACTTTATGTGCTTTAAGTGCAGTACTAGATTGGCAGCTAGGTCTCATCAATGTACAGTTGAAATGACTAGATTTAATCATAAGTTCTTTGCTAGTAATTTCTTTTATCACACTTTTGTGCTTACAGACAGAAAATGATTTGAGTATGTACACAAAAATAGAAAGGGGCATAAAACGAGGATGTATTTACACATTGGATTTATTCGACATTTACAGTCTGCTCCTAATATAAGTTCTGGATTACTCTACTGTTTTTCCCAAATAAATTAAATTTTTTGGGCAGTCCAATTGAATCCACTGAATGCATTAATCTAATATAGAACTGTATCAATCTACAGAATATTACATGTCTAGCGAGAACCCCAATACGGAAACATTTCAGACTTCATCAGGAGTACAAGGAGGAAATGAAAGCCCTAGTCTATTTAATCTCTTCTTAAACTATACACTGCACATATCACAGATGTGATGAGATAGGCACTGAATATTTAAACATTCCATACAGCATCCAAAACGAGTCTACCAATAGAAAGCAATGATGCTACTCTCTCTCTTGAGGCCAATGTCTATACAGATGACATAGGTGTTCATAGTCAGGATAACAATGATCTTGAACAGAAAATCAGCATCCTCTATTCCAAGAAATGGAACCTTTCCAACACAAAAACTATGATCTGGAATTAGAATGGAAACAATGATGGCACCTACTCTAAATCCATCATGAAAATACAGGATGTGAAATTAGCAAATACTAAACACTTCAGATACCTTGCCATATGGATCAGCTATAACAAATTAAATAGAGGAGAAAAAAATTGAACATAGAACAGACTGTGCTAGAGTTAGTTTTGCTCAACACCATAAACTGCTATGAAAACAAAACCTCAACCTGAAAACTCAAGTCATGTTCTTAAATAGCCTTGTTAGATCAAGTTTTCATATAGCACTAAACCCATTCAGAAATATCTAAAGTGTCAGCTATATACAACCACTTTCTAAAATCAATAGTTAAAAAAGGCTTTGAGCAAGTAAAGCCTTAGGGTCTTGGCAAAGATCATCCTTCTTTGAACATTGTAGACTGGTGCTACAGAATCATAAACAAAGAACTGTACCAAATAACAGAAACCATATCACTTGAAGACTACCAACAGCAGCAACAACGAAAATGTATAGCACATTGTTATGCCTTCATTCCATTGAATAAAGATAACACAATCATGAAATTATGGTACTTGGAGTCGACGTGGTATTACTGAATTCTCTAGTAAGGATATAAGGCTTGCTCACAGCTATCTCTGCTGATGATTCTTAGTGTCAGTATCTATGCTATTTGGACAAGTCCAAGTCATATTCTCAAGAGGTGTGTTCATCTCCACAACATTCTCCTTTTTAAATATGCACTTGCTTTAGTCGATACTTTTTCCAACATGAGTTCACTCTCATCATTTCAGTTGAATTATGTTTTCACTTACCCTGGCATTGTAATATTAGTTTAAGGAATAAGTACTTCAAAAATATGTCCATTGGTGAATTAAATTGTACTAGTTGCTTTTCTGTGCATATCTAGACCTCAATTAATTTACATGTCTTCTATATCGATATCGTCCAGCTCCAACAATGTACCTTGTACTATCAAGACGTCAAATAATTTTTCCTTCCTGCCAATTTTCATTTCCAGCCCCACGAACCCCACAAAATTGTTTTCAGTAAAGTTTGAATTTTCTTGGCTAGGTCTTTATGTTAAGTAAGAAATCAAAAACATTTTTTTTTCTTTTTCATTTGAATTCAAATCATCATTGCTTCATTATGTCTTCATTTCATTTCATTGAATAAAGATAATGCAGTCATAAAATATAATGTCGCTTGGAGACAATGTAGTATTATTGAATTCTGTGGTAAGGATATAGCTTGCTCCCAGTTAACTCTGCTGGCAATTCTCAATGTTAGTATATATGTTATTTAGACGAGTTCAAGTTATATTCTGGAGAAGTGTGTTCATCTCCACAACACACATGTAACTTAAAGGGAAAATAATGACATAATCAAGATATTAACATTCTATAAATCACTTCAAATAGAATGTCTGAAATGAAACCTCCATCAGTATTGGAGAGAGTGATAAAAGCTACTAGAGAAACCAGTTTTCCTAAAAAAAAGTCTTTTAAGAGAAAGATTTTATAAATTCCACTTGACAACAGTACTGGCTGCATGGTCAATGAATGTCAAATGTTTCCCTGTAAGGAAACAACTAATATTGCAATTACCATTTGTGTTGTACCTTATCAAATGCTTTTTTTTTTGTATGGTCTATTGAATAGCTACCGTATTTGACGGCATATAAGGTGCACTTTTTTTCACTAAAAATATCTTCTCCTGCGTCTTATATGCCATACGTAGTTTTAAAATTCACAATAGTCAGCCAAAATTAGCTACCTGGCAACTTCTATTAGCTTAGACTTAAACATGAAGGAGCAATGGAACACGTGGATGACAATGCCTGATCACATCCTTACAGGAAGGATAAAAAGACCCAGCGTTGCACAAGTCTGCGAATGGGTGAAGCTTGGGATAATATTAGACCAGAAATTGTGAAATCTTTTAAAAAGTATGCCATTAGCAAAGCAATGCTCTTAATGGAACAAAAGATTATTTAATAACAAGGATAGTAGTATTGAAAATGAGTATCAGAGTTTTGATAATGAAGACAACATTTTATTTTATGGATTTGAAAATGAATGAAATTTTGTAACTGTACTGTTTTGCTCAATTGTAATAATTGCTTGATTTTTATTTTGTTTTCTTACCTTAATAAAGCTTTTATACAGGATCGTGTTTTTTTCCCTATTAGTTTTTGTTTAATTGTAATCATGGCTTGTTTAACCAAAATAATACCTTATAAATTTAGGCTGTACCATTTACTACTAATTTTATTAATTACTAATTTTTTCTTCATTTTCCCTGTTGAAATTAGGGCGCGTCTTATACACCCGTGCGTCAAATTGCGTAAGTATCAATATATATTTATTGAAAAAAATTAACTAGAACAACTTAAAAGCCTTTTCCTTAAAGTGAATATATTTAAGAAAAATAATGATTACTTATTTTATCAAAAATAACATAATGTTATTGTTAACCCAGCTACGAGTAGGACAGACTGGTTTCTATAGCCTGGGTAGGAACCGGTCTATAAGGAGGAAAACTCTGAATTCAAAACTATATGCAGCCCTGGCGAAGCACATACTATGTAGCTAAAGAAAGGATTGTTCGCATTGACTTGATCCCGACTACGATCGACTCCTTTAAGATGCAAAGTTTTTTCTCACGCAAAGTTGTTATAAGTGACTGAGTTACCTCCCATGCATTGCAATTAAAGTCGTATGAAATTTCAAACAAACGTTAGCCAATATTGAAAGAACAAGTAATGACATCTTTTGTGACTTCAATTATTAAGCATCAACAAATCATAAAGTCAATCGAGACTTATATGAATTGAAAAGAAAACAAGCGAAGAAGAAAGGAATGCACGCCTTTTTATTTCACTATCTTGAATTAATTTTTTAAATGTTCTGATTTCGCATTTGCGCAGAATTACTTTTAAAATTAAGTGTACACTGTACTACTGTAACATAATGAAAATATTCAATTGAAGTATCTTTGTTCATCCCCGAAATTATTCAATTGTCCCAATTTTCTGTTTAAAATGAGCTACAAGAGAGATTGGGGAAAACAAGGTTCTTCTCTTGTTTGACCTCTGATTATTTTTTTAGTCAATCTTTTTTTAGTGCTGTCTGCCCGACTTTTTAACCAGAGAAACAATAAAATTTTATATCTAAAAAAAAAAAAAAAAAAAAAAAGCAGGAAACAAGTATTATTATTATTATGATTAGCCATGCCGTTTTTACTTAAAAATAAGATAACCTTGCCTATTATGATTATCACGCTATTCAAGCAATTATAATTCAACCTAAATACAATTATTAATGGTCGATAAAGTTAGTCGTACAAATTACACTCCACAGTGATCTGATTGTTAAATGTTCCACCGTCTGAGGTACTTGTCAATTAAAATATGATATCGATGAGATTTATATTGTATCACTATTTTTTAGTCAGTTAGACTTGTTAACTTTTTTTATTCAGGTCGTTGTCTACCTTCAGGACATAGTAAACGGTAGTCAATCCGAAATATGAATAAATTAAATATTATTAACTTAAATAAACAGCATTTTAGCGGTGACCTATTATGCCCCACCAACCGCATCATTGTCACGTGTCAAAACTACACTGCACCGGTGTCATATGAAGAATTAACGTATAAACAATTATCGAAATTTAAGTTTAGTCAACATGTGCAATCCAAGGTGACAAACAACACAACTTTCAGTTCACTGCTAACAATAGCATTTTTAAAAATGTCCACGAAAGAAAAAGATCTAACCTTAAATTTCGAAGCCGTCTGTCGAGCTGCCCAAAAGGGAAACGTGGATTATTTTCGGGGCATATCTCAGCATTTTCGAGAAGAATGGCTGGTTAGGAAATGCAATCAGAGATCGGGGGATAATATTTTGCACATTGCTGCTCGTTTTGGACGTTTGTCGATTCTTGAATTTATTGCCAAAGAACTTTTCGCCAGTCATGGCATGAAATGGTCGGTAAAGAAATTGGAAATCTTCGATTCGATCAATGCAGACCGAAAAACTCCTCTGCACGAAGCCGCCCAATCTGACCATCTTGACTGTGTTCAATTTCTTCTTCAGCAAAAGGTTAATGTAGACAGTATGAAAAGGGCAGATTGGTAAATTTCAATTTCAATTCAGTTATTATTTTTGTTCGAATTTTTAAGATGAAGAATTATTATTCAGTACATGGATTTGTTTGGAGTGAGTGTCCCCCGCATCTTGGTTGTTCTTCTAACCACGTTTCGAATATTGTATATTTCGGAGCGGACTTCTTCAAATGTTTTATGTTTGTCTATCGTTATTCGTAACCTTCCTGCTGGCAATCATGAGTTCAGTCCTATCGTCGGATAGTAAGAAAATAATCATCTTCATTCAGTGGAAGAGACAAACGATATAACAAAAAAAATTTTATAACTAAGATATGAGGTCATTATTTTTGTAATTTGTTACAAAAATAATGACCTCAGATATCTCGTATCATCAGTTAAGAGGTGGTAACTGCCCCCTCCCCTCTCAAAAATCCATTTTCATAAAGTTTTCTAATAAAATAAGTGCTAAAAATTTCTCTCAAATCATTCAATAATTTCCTGACTTTTCTAGTTTGGGCAATGTTTTTTTTATTTTTTGTTTGAAAATGGGGAGCATTTTTGCTTTCATTCGGAGGAATTTTTTATGGTACTTATCTTCTTTAGTATATGAACAGTGGAATGACTATTTGTTAAAAAAAAACAAAAAAAAAAAACTAGGTAAGCTGGTCGTAACTTTAAATCTTAGCTTGTTGATCCAATCACATGTTCCTAGTAAAATAGCATGTTTTTATTTTATTCGAACACATCCCTATCCCCAAAGGCAAAGATGCATGTTTTCCATGAATTCTAAGAAGCCAGTACGCCACATTTACTAACACGTTGTGGGGATAAAACAAGATTTTATTTACAACAAAAATAAGAATTCCATTTTTTTTTTTTTAATGATAATTATAAATAATGAAAAAAAGTGTTAGGACCTCCCCAAGGTTGGCAGAAGAAGCAACTGGACGAAAGTAACAATATGAGAAGGGAACGTGCAAAAGAAAAAAAAAACGCATCCAATTTAGGTGATACGTCTTCTTATGTTTTCTTTAACATGGACTAATAAGAATAATCTATTTTTGTATGTAGAGAGAGAGTAGGGAAAATGACCGACGATATCATACCTGACGAAAACCAGATGGTACAACAGCTAAAACGTTGTGACTATATAACAAACAAGATGAAGACACTAAGTCTCTGAACAAATAGATGTTGTTAGTCCATATTTCCAAAGTAAATTCTTAAAGACGAAGAATAGTGGACATTATTCGTTATTTTAACTTTTACTTCAAAATGGATATTTAATTTTTTAAACAAATTAATTACAAATTACATTTTGGGATGGTACTAGTTTTCGTTTTATTTTTGCAGCAATATACTTTCTTTTCATATCCAAAGGAGGTTAATCCGAACCTTTTTCTTTTTTTTTAATTTTAATTTTTCAAATTCTTAACTTATTTATCACAAAAGCTTTGAATTCTATTTAATTTTTATGGAAAAATATCTCACTTCATATGATCAGAGAATAGGAGATGAAATAAATCAATCTAAGGGAGGTAATTTAGTATTTTGTTTCAGAAATAAGTTAATTGACATTGGTTACCAATTAATTGACTCACTTAATTAACGTTGGTAACAAATGTGTCTGACGAAATTGTTTAGTAAATATCTGTCATTTAGTAAGGTTAAGGTACAGTACACTCGAGCAAAAACTTTTTAGTGACAAACATCTGGCAGAAAAAGACTGCAGATAATCACCTTAATTGAGTTTTCAGATTAAGACTTAAATTAAAAATTTAAAACTAAAGCTTTGACAGCAGCTTAATTAGGTTTAAAATTAAAACTGTAGAAAGAAAGCCTTTAAAAAGTGTTTTTTTTTTTTAAATCTTCAAAAATAAAAAATGTAATTAACATCTTTCCAAAATTACATTTTTTTAGCAGTTTATAAAAAGGAACTCTGAGTGAAAATAAAGTAGTTTTCTACTAAGTCATTGATGAAGTTTCTTCATTTCCTAAGTCGAGGAAATCATTGATTGAAGTCCTGGATATTTTTAAGGAGTTTCCAAAAAATTTGGAAAGAAAAAAGAACTAAACTGCCTTAACGTCAAATCAAATAATTGAAACCTTTACTTTTTTTTTAATGTTTTCCATTCAATTGTGATTTGCTTCATTGGTAATAATACCCAACCTAATGTTGAAATTGCTCACAAATTAATAGAAAATTATTGTTATTAACAAATCTCAAATTTCCATACACATCTTATATTTAAATACATTAAAGCACCTTTAGGTTTTGACTAGTACTTAGACCATTTAATTTTTATGAAAGAATTAATAACTCAAGTCAAGTTGCTTTACTTAATTTACATTTTTAACTTAATTTCTTAATCCTTGGGTCAAATTTCAATCTAACCAAAGTAAAAGAATTCTTGTATAAATTATAAAATAATGTATTTAGTAACTCTTTGAAGTATGTGTTAGAAAGACAACAAAGAATTCTTGGGTATATTGTAATAAAGTTATTCAAAGCAAAATTCTTCCTTCATTTTATCATTGATAGTAACACCTTCATTCACCATCTTTCTATTAGTGAGCATATTTTTATGATGAAAAAAGTTGTTTGTCGGGAGATGAAGGCACCAAAAAATTGAGGAGAAAGGCACTTTTGTCTGAAAGATTTTTAAAACCTGATTCCTCAAAAATACCATCATAATAGCAAATAAGCAAACTTTGTTGAAAATAAATTCTTCCAATCTGTGCCATAAAATAAAATTGTAAAAACAAGAAATAATTTTTTTTTGTTTCATTTAATCAATTAAGCTCTCCCAATCCCAAATATAATTTTCTTTTTAAGTCAGAGCAAGTTCTGTCTGCCATGTGAATTTATTGTAAAAAAAATTAATCCCCCAAGCAAAAAAAAAAAAAAATGATTATTATATGATAAAACATATTCTTACTAACCTTAAAAATTTTAAATAATTTCAAGTTAAAAAAAAATTAATTATTTATTGTTATTTACCATTTTCCTGAATTGTATTTTACTGTAAAATGCTCCCGTCAAAAATTTGAGCTAAAAAACCATAAAAACGCCTTTAAAATAATTTATGTCTCCTTTTTAGTAAAAGTTTGGTTCTGCTTGAAATATATTAGTCCTTTAAAGTTAATCTATAAAAAAAGAAAAATAATTTTATCAATTTCAGTAAGGCTTTAAGATATTCTTAACATGTTCTTAAGGTCAATTTATGATCAATCTGCCATTTTAATTAAAAAATTATGACACAAAATTTAAAACACTTTTTAAATTAAATGTCTAACCTAGATATTAGTTTGAAAGAAAAAATATTTCTGTATACATGAAATATAGTGAAAAACACCTTTGAACAGTAAGGTATATTTCAACTGTCAATTTCATAGTAAAACAATAGAAGTTATCTCCCACAACCACCCTCACTTTTACTAAAATACATCATCAAATTTATGAAAGTCCAAAACTGCCAAAATACAAAACTGGTTTCGTTTATGTTTAAAAATAATAATTTTTAACTTTGTAGCCAATAAGGTAGAAATATATTTTTTATTTTACGAAATTTATTAGAATTTTTTTTTTTTTAAATAATAAAATGAATATTTTTTATCTATTACATTTTGTAATTTTCTTATTTTCTTTTTTTTTTCTTTTGGATGATTTGATGTCATGAAATATTTGATTGCACAAAATCAGGTTTTTTTTTTTTATTTATTTAAGAAAAATTATTGAACAAAAGAAAATGATACTCCAAAATTTAAAAAAATTGGAAAAAAATTGATAAAGACTTATTGATATTGTTTATTGATTGCCTTCACTTATCTTTCTTTCAGCTACCAATGTCGTAAAATATTTTAGACACCTCCAGACATCATATATGATTATTTTTAACCTTATATAGCCAAAAGAGAGGCAATTCAGAATTGTTGAATTCTTAGTATATGATCTGCCATACAAAAAAGTAATTTAACAGTTGAAAAATATTTCTGATGCAAAATTGGCATTATACTGTTGCAAAGGTGAAAGTTAAATAAGTTTAAAAATTAATTAGAAAGCTGTTTAGTCCTATGAGGTCAGCTGCATGTATAAAATTTCACTTCTCCACAAGCATTTAACTTTAGATGTATGGCACTAGGCAATGCAAAAAATGACAACAATGATGTAAAACAACAACAATATTTATATAAGAACCTTACAAATTATCAAGAATAAACTGCTCTGAATATTTAGCTGAGTTATGCTGAATTTCAAAGATCAATATTGTTAATTGAACAAATTAACATGCTTTATAATGTTCCTTTAAGACTGTTTTTAGTACAAAATTTACAATACAAAAATAAGAGTTGTTTACCCTTAACTATGAATTTAATTGTTTGAAAACCTTTTTTGAAAGAAAGAATCTGGTCTCAATGAAAAAGATTTTCTTTTTACAAGAAATGCTCTTTGTGAATTAGTTGAAAGTTTTTGTGTAATATGAATACTGTGAGAATGTGTTTGGTAAAAAGGAACTTTAAATTATTACTTGATGTTTCAAGAAGTTTCTGTTTTGTAATAAAATGCTAAACATTTTTATTCTTCAAACACATCTCTATTTATTAAAAAAGATTCTGTTTTTCATCAGCAACCAAAAGAATTTCAAAATCGTACTGAAAAATTACAAATAAATTTTTCAAAAATAAATATTCATTGTAGATTTTTTTCTTATCAAATCAAAAAGAAACTAATTTTTTTTTTAATTATGCAAGCACCAACTCTCAACAAAATTATCTTTTGAGTTTATTGAATTATTTCTACAATGTTTCAGGGAAAGATTTTGAAGATGTTCTGATCTGTATTTCAAAACTTTTTACTGAAATATCTCAAATGAATTTTCTTTATAAGACTATAAAATTATTTGTCATAGGTTATTTTTAAATATAACTCACAATATATTGAAATGGGAGGTAACTGATCCCCCACTAAATATTTGTAAAGTTTTCAAATAAAATAAGCTATTCAGTATGCAATTTATTCATTAATGAATAAGTGCTGCAAATTTCATTTAAATCAAATAATTCCCTGACTTTTTATGCATATTTAAAACGGGGAAGCATGTTTATGCTTTCATTTTGGAAAAAGCATCCTAATGTTTACATACAAAATTTTAAATAATTTCAAGAGAGTTGTAAAGTATGAATTTAAAGTATATTCTTACTTACCTTTTTGCTTTATTATCCTAATTGTGTTTGTCCCTTTCTGCATTAGTTTGCACAACCATTATGCCCTGCCAATACCACATAAATAATGGCCTATACCATTTTGATTATGTGGAAAGAGGGGAAAAGGTACTATATACTTGGTTTTAGTGAGAAAATAAATTAAAAAAGGGAAGTTAGAAGTGTTTAACAGCTGTTTTGGTGAAATGGAAAAGTTGTCAATTTCAAATCTTTTCATTTGTACCCACTTCTTAAAATAACAACCAGCATTCATATTTATGCTTGTTATTGCAATATTTTATTAAAGTTGTTAAGATCAAATATTTAACAATGTGATAGGGGGATTTCTACGGATATTTTATTGCTGTAGAACTTGTCATGTGCTTACTCAATCATTAACCTAAGAATTAAGATTCATTAAAATATTAAAATAGGAGAACCATTAAATTTTCACAGGTGAAAACTAGTTATTATGACTTCACTTAACGTTTTTTTGGTGGGTGGTGGTAAATCTGCATAGCAAACTTAACACTCTTCTTTAAAATTTAGAAAATGAAAAAGAATTTTTTTTCTTAATATTTGAGATCTGGAGATAATAATATGAAAAAAAAAATTCATGGAGAGGTGCATTTCTGTAAAAAGGCTCCAGAAAGTTATGTAATATTATCATTGTACAGACTAATACAAACCCAAGACTAAATCTCATACATAGATATTGTCTATTCAACTTTGGACTTTGGTCAATCAATATTGGTAAATGGGTGTGTGGCTTTGAGTGTTCTCTTTGAATATAGATTCTTCATCTCATTAGAATGTGAGAGACTCTCCTCCTCCTTCCTCTTAAGTGGAACAATTATATATCTAACCTGTCATCCAGTTGTGCACAGCTGGGTTGACCATCATTTTAGGCAGCCATTGACATCCAGTGAAAGTGTGAATTTGCACCTGGTGATTAGGTAGTTACCTTCCAGTTCAACCAGCTGATGCACCTGGTTTTTCTGATGCTCTAATATAAGGCTGAGTGCAAAGTCTATTTTGCTATCATCTGGAGTGAATTAAGCTTATATTGGTCTCATTTCACATAAACTATTTAAAGCAAAGCTTCATTATTGACATTAAATTAGATTGAGACAATCTTGTATTTCCTGCAATTATAATACTATGATTATAATAAAGAGAAACAAAGTTAAGATGAAAGAAAAACTAGTCAAGAATTAATATAAAATTGACAGTTTTTTGTTACAAACTTATTTTACAATGTTACTTTTAAGATATTTTTTTCTTTTGTATTTGTTAGGACACCTTTGATGCTAGCCATTGCCAAGGGAAATAAAGAAGTTGTTCTTCAACTTTTAAATGCATCAGCCAATCCAGCCTTGGTAAATAAAGATGGATGGAATTCATTTCATTTGGCTTGCAGGTTAGTTTCATTATCATTTTTTCTTTTTTCTTACTTCTTATTTATACTATTATTTTGATTGTATGTACAACTATTACTTTTATTTTGGGCTAGGATCAGAGTGGTGTATCTGTAGCCAATCTTTAGCTCTTCACACCTGAAATCCAGTTATATTTCTGACGAAGAAACTATGCTATTATTCTACATATTTGTATGTATGACCATTATATTTCTCTACATAGAACCAGAATGGTGTATCTGTGGCCAAACCCTAACCCTTCTGAACTAGAGTCAATTTTGTTTTCTTAGTAATAATCACTATTATTTTGCTAGTTTATATGTACAACCATTATACATTTTTGTTGTTGCTTGGATCAGAGTGTAGTGTCTGTCTTCTCTCCAGTTTTTGTAAGCATGAAATCAAATAAGTTTTCTCACCAATATTCTTTACTGTTATTTTGATTCTATGTATGTACAACCATCACTCATTTTTACCTAAGATCAGAGTGGTGTATCTGTGTCTAATTCTCAACTCTTCCCATCTAGAATCTAGTTACATTTCTGACCAAGAACCTATACCATTATTATGTTTGTATGTATGTACAACCATAACACTTTTCTGCCAAGGATAAAAGTGTAGTATCTGGCCTTTTCACTCTTCAAGTCAGTCTTCTCAATCCACATTGTCTTTAGGTTTTTTGATTTGTGGAAGTATTAGGTAAAGCTGGTTGAAATGTGTTCAGGAATGGAGAAAAGCAAGGGATAAGAAAAATAAAAAAGGAAGCAACTTTCTAATAGACATTTAAATCATTTTTTTTTTTTTATCTATTTTTTTTTTTTTGGTAGAAGCAAAAATTTATTTGTTGTGGGAGGGGGGTTACAGCTGTCAGTTTAACCTTTCCTAATTCTGTGGTGCTGTGATCTATCTATAGCTGGTTGTTGTGTTAGTGTCACCATTATGTACAATATATCACAAAAACAACACTAATATCCTGGACTGGTAAATGGTTCAGTTAGGAAACTTGTATCTCAGCCCTGCAGACAAATTTGGTCTCCATAATCTGGTTTCAAATCTTCCACTCAACTGTCAGTCTGCAAGCTAGGGGAAATTCCTTCAATTAACCAATTCTTATTAGACAGTATTTTGCAAGGGATGGTGGACTAGTTGGCAAAGAAGGGTGGTAATGTCAACTTGCAGTGTCTTTCCTGGCAATTGGTCCTCAATTTCTGCTCCCAACTGCTGTCCCCACTGTTTCATGGGCCAGAATTGGTCTGCTTAATTATATATATATATATATATATATATATATATATATATATATATATATATGTGTGTGTGTGTGTGTGTGTGTGTGTGTGTGTGTGTGTGTGAAATTAATATAAGTAAAAGTTTTTTCACTTATATATAAGTGAACATTGAAGTCAACACTCAGAGGTAACAGGCTGTTTCATGCTGGATGCAATCAGATGGCCTGATGATTGTATCCATCATGAAAACTGCCTGTTGCCTCTGAGTTTTGACTTCAATGTTCACTTTTATATTTATATATGCTCTATCTCTGATATTAAGCACTTTATCCCATAAATATAGCACACCTTATATTTATATATATATATATATAGGAAGGAGGAGTTGAAAATGCATGTCCCTGTTCAAAATGCAGTCTGATTGTTTGATTGTGATCAGATGAAAAGGCATAATTTTTGCACTGAAAATTGATGTTTTAGTAATTTGTATATTTATTGGATGCTCTCTTGAACTGCAGGGTTTGGAATATTATTTCAGGAAAGTAATGATTGTTATTTAATCAAATGTTTCTAGCAAGCAGTTAATAGAATTATATGTGTATTGGTGTTGAGATGGTAATCAGTGGTATCTTAAAAATTATTTTTTTTACACTATGCATTTGAATTTTAGGGAAGGCAATTTGGAAATAGTGAAATTGCTGTCAGATACCAAAGCAGATTTATGGAAAGTTGCTAGCAAAAATGGACGTACACCTCTCCACACAGCAGGTAAATGAAACATATTTTTAATTGCATGACACATTCTAATATATATATATATATATATATATATATATATATATATATATATATATATATATATAATGCTGGTTAATGAAATTTGAAGAATAAAAAGACACCAAAATGATAAGAATATTACCAATAAGAATGATGATATTTATTATATATTAGTAGGCCTTTTGACTAAATTGAAGCACAAATAGAAAGATTTTAAAGTTGGAATTTTTAGACATGCTTGTGTCCTTTTTCAATGAGACAAGAAATAAACAAAGCAGTTTTTTTTTTTACTCATGAGTTGTATTTTTGTAAAAAAATTGATTTTAGCTTAATCATTTGTCATGATTAGGGTTGTATAATGTTTGTAGAGAGCTCCTTGAGGAAACTATATTCTCTGAGTAAACCCAGATTGGCATTAAAATACATTTTCAAAATAGAATCACATATGAAAGGATTAAACAGGGAATTGTTTAATTGCCGAATAAACTATTGTATATTGGGAACAAAATTATTTTGTTCAATTACTTTCAACTATCTCAGTACATATCAAGAACTGGGTGTTTTCAGTGGCGCAAACAAAATTTTGGTAATTAAATCCTGTTGTTTTGAATTGAAATCAGTACAAAGTGATATTATAGGTAACAGTTAAATGGAAAAGTATATGTCAATAATATTTATATGTGTTGCTATGGAGGAAGATATTTATAGCGAAGAAAACGGCGACTTACCTCATCAAACCAAGCAACAGCATGTCGCATGTATTCTATGATGGAAAATGTGGCGAAAAAGAAAATTACTTCCCAAACAAAAGTTTGATGGTTCAGTGACCGGACAAGCAGTTAATGAATGGATTGAGAAGGCAGAACTTCTTTGTGACCTGTGTGGAACTAAAAAGGTTGAATGTGTTCTTCCTTTGTGGTTGACGGGCGGAGCATTTGCTGTTTACCAGCAGTTAAACTCAGAACAAAAATCAGATGTCAAGCAGATAAAACAAGCCCTGCAGATTGCCTTTGCACCGGATTGTTTCTTGGCTTAGGAGCAATTTGCGGAACGCCAACTGCGCCCAGACCAGTCCGTCGATGTGTTTCTAGCTGACTTGAAGAAACTAGCTGGTCTATTTGGTGGGAGGATTAGCATGTGGGTTCATAGCAGGGTTACCAGCGCACGTGAAGCAACTACTACGCGCGTCTTCCAGGATGGAAGACATGAATACAAACCAACTGTTGGACCGAGCTCAGGCCAAAATGAAAGATCAAATTGCAACTGAGGAAATGGTTGCAGCTACCCTTTCACAAGGCAGAGCCGATAAACATCCAAATGTTAAACGTCAGGAGAGTATGCGATGTTATCGATGCTCTGGGTGGAATCACCTTGCCAGGGACTGCCCAGTTTGACGAGAAGATGCCTGTCAGCCATGCAGGTCACGCACAACAATGTGTTGCTTCCAGTGTCAAGAAGTAGGCCACATTGCTTCATTGTGTCCAGGGAAAAGAATGGGACAAGACGTCAGCACCAGTCTCTTCCCTAAGCGAGTTATGAATGAAGCGTTACCCGTCTTGGGTATTTACATGAACGGAATTAAGAGAGTGGAACTGGTGGACACTAGCTGCTCACAGACACTCATGAGTAAGTCAGCCTGTCAATCCTGGCGGGTGACGGAGGTGAACATACTCACCGTAAACAGAAATACTCTCAAATGTTGCGGAGTTGGAAGTATTAAGCTTGACGTGGACAACGCAAACCCCCTCAAAATCAACGTCTTGGTAGTGGATAGAGAGCTATTGGGTTTTGACTTGTTGCTTGGATTTGACGCCATTAAAACGTTGACCCCAAATAACACAGTGTGGCGATGTACAGTTTCCCAAGCATAGGATAGTCTGTTACACCGCTATTAAAATAGAAGAAGCTGATTTCTGTGCTGAATTCGACCCAAACCGGAAGATATGGGTTGTATCATGGAAGTGGTCTGATAGTCGATCACCGGAGAGTTTGAGAAATTGGATGCTCAAGTACCCAATACCAATGGAGTCAAGGAGAAATATGACTGTGAGCTGCAGACCTGGCTTGATAACAGTTAGTTGCAGTGTTATCCTGAAAAGGAACTTGGTCCTTCAAAAGGTTTAATTCCGTTGATGGCGGTGGTGCAGAAAAACAAAAATAAAGTGCAGCCAGTATTAGACTATCAAGAGCTGAATGAGTGTCTCAACTCACACATAGCCAATGCTGACGTGGCGTAAAAATGTTATCAAACATGCTCATAAGATACCTCCAGGTAATGTGTAATGTCCATTCCTAAGTGGGTCCAGATTTCAGTCACAATTAGGTTGATTCAAGAGTATAACTTATTGATCACAATAAGTTTAGTAACGTTGAGTGAGAATTGAGTGGATAAGCTCACCAGAGTACTGCAACGATGGGATGATATGATAAAGAAGGAAACCGAACCAACATGCCCGATATGCGCTTCCATGGTGAACAAAATCTCTCTTAATCAGATATGTGCCATACATTGCCAGAGTGGACATCCTGGCATCAGGCACTTAGGAATGGACATTACACATTACAGTGGGCAACACTACCTTACGTTAATAGATTGCGGCCCTAGTAGATTTGCGATATGGCGATGCCTACTTCAACAAAACTCAAGAAGCGTCATTCGGCAGTTAGTACTTTTTTTGAACGAGGCCCACCTTCAGAAATCCTGACCGACAATGACACTGCATTTCACAGTACGTCCTTTAAGGATTTCTTGGATGACTAGGGAGTCCAACTTCGTTTTCGCTGTGCCTGTGTTCCTGCAAGAAACGGTATAGTGAAAAGATCTCATCGGAGCATAAAGTGAATTGCAGCAAGAAAGCAGTGTTCGATAATGGAGGTAGTATACTGGCATAATATCACGCCGAAGGATGTTATATCGTCGACTAATGCGCCTGCCAATATGTTTCACTGTTACCAACTGAAAGCAAAGGGAATTACTACAATATTACCACCTGATCATTGTAAGTATCACGATATATACAAAGTTGGGAACAGAGTATGGGTGAAAGCTTCCCATGGCCAGTGTACCTCCAGGTATCAAGTGGGTCGCGTGACAGACATTGTAAGCCCACAAACAATACTAGTTGACGGGATGCCACTGCATGTAAAAGATCCTTGCCAAGCAAATCCGATGATGGTTCATTGTCTAACAGTGAGCGGATAATTGAGATCTGCGAATCCGGTCCTTCCACAGACACAGAACTTTCAGAAACTTGAGATATGTCTGATAACTCCTCAGGAGACAGCTCTCCGACACGTGTAAGGGAGATAGTGCCATTACAACGAAGCACCAGTATAAAGAGAGCTGCTCCAGGCTGTTCGATTTGTAATAGTGAGATCAGTGGGGAGTATAGCGAAGAAAACAGTGACTTACCTTGTCAAACCAAGCAACAATGCGTCGCATGTATTCTACGATGGAAAATGTGTCGAAAAAGAAAATTACTTACCAAACAAAAGGGTATGTATTCCGCATGACATGCTGAAGATGGAATATTTGAATTTAAAAAAAAAATGTCCGTCACAGGAGTCGCTATAAAAGTATTTTGATATGCAAAATACTGAACATTCTCTCCCAGCTGTCGACAAATGGAAAAAATGCTCAGCCAATAAAAGCAGTTGGTGTTCTCGAATCGGTGAGAAGAAATTCGGGTATTTTGGCTACCGCGTTCGTCGGAGAATGAGTTATTTTTATGACTGGTTGTGTGCATTGTGATTTGTGAGATAGTACCTGCGAATTGAGTTTTCGGCATTTCTTTCTGAATATTATTTTCAAAATATTAACCAAAATACATTTTGTTGATATAGTTCATAATAAAGAAGGAAGAAAGTAAAAAAGAATGAAATAAAATTAACATGGCTAGTTGGGCTGTGTGGATCTGTACCCTATCAAGCTGGAGACAAACTTAATAAGCAATGTATTTCTTGCTTTAATTTTATAAATAATCTTTAATGACTTCTATGCTCTGTTTTTCAAAGAACACATTTTTGTTTCAATTTAGTATTTTTAAATGTCCATTTTAAATAATATATTCTGTACAGTATAATGATTTTTAGTGGAATGTGTCAATTGAAAAAAGAGCAAATTAAACCGGCTTAAAGTTGGCAAAAATCAAAGAAAGAAAGTGGCAGCTTTAATTTGTCAAGTGAAGGGTTGGGGTGAGGAATGTGACTGCGGTAGTGTTGAGGAAATATGATATCAGTCAGAATAAATTAAAACAAAAATTCACATACAGTGATACATAAACACACTAATGCAGGCGTGGCCAACCTTTTGATTCCGTGCGCCAATAATTTGTACGATTAATTTAAATGCGCCACACAAACATTCACTTTCTTTCAGTACGTGTTGTAATATGGACATATTTTAAAGGTATAAAATCTATTTATTTGAAAAATATATGCTTATGACCAGGGGCGTATCCAGGAGTTTTGAAAGGGTGGGGTGCTATCAATCAATGTTTTTTTTTTTTTCTCTTCAGATTTTGCAGAGGGGGAGGGGCATGGCAGTTTATAATGTTTACATAGGCAAAATAAACATAAATAACTTTAATGTGTCTTTTGATTCTGCTTTGTTTTTGCCAAATCAGCAATATTAGGAGATAAATTCGTAAATGAAAGCAACAAACAATTCTTCAATTTGGAATCGAACAGTCACAACCTTTTCATCAAAAGGATGCAATGCACCACTTATGACGCATGCGCCACAGGTTGGCCATCCTTGCACTAATGCATAGACATATATACAAATACATACTTGAGATAGATGCACATTTATTTTTTTTTAGCATGTAAGTTATACCAATAGTATATTTTGTTAAAGAATTGTCATAGGTGGGAAGGAAAAGGGGAAAAAAATATTCCCAATCTCTTTAGTGATAAAAACAAAAGTTAATCTTTTCTCTGTTTATGCATTTTCTCAGTCAACAAAACCGTATAACCTTTTTGCTCATGGTCACTCCAAAATAGCAATAAATTTTTTTTTATCACTTGTATCCAAAGGCATCTGAATTAATGTCGGATATAAAATTTTTCTTGACAAATGTCACTGAAATTAAAATGAACGAACCCATCAGGCTAATCTCTATCTTTGTAGGGACACTTTTCTTCTGAGTGGCTGATTCAAGCCAGATGGGTTTTCCTAGCTTTTGTCTAGATCATTAAATGTTATTTCAGTGACTACCCAGGTTTCTTTATCGACATGTTTTTCTATTTGACATCTTCAAGGATATATTAATGGTCTCTTTCTCATCAGCAGAAAGTGGGGAAGGACAGATAGTCTTGCTCAATCTTACTGAATTCTGTCTAGTTAAATTTAGGTTTGATACTCCATGGAACTACTATTACTACTTTGAACATGATTTTTCAATGCATTTTTTAATTTTCTTCTCAACTTTTTAATCCATCTTCCTGCAAATATTCAACAATTATCATCCAGTTAGTAGATGCTTTCTTCTTTCTCTTTTTGTTTGATCAACTACTGGAGATCTCATTGTTACAACAAGATTTCAAAACATTGAGGAAATCTAAGAGAATGTGACGAGACAGATGCTTGCAAAAAATGAGTTTCATTAATCAACGGAAATGACAGTGGATAAAGTATGTAACTTTAGAAGGGAACTAATTCAAAGGAGATTAAATGCTGAATTGATATCTGTTGTAGTTTTCTTTTTAAGACACCAGTCCCGATACTCTTTGATCAGACCTTGTATATTTTTTTTTTAATTGTTTTTTAACTAAATGTTCAACCAATACAAGGCCCAGGAGCCACTCAAGGTAGAGGGTTATTGTGTGATGTTGTATTAGCATAAGAAAAGGCAAAATGTGTAGTTATTGTCACTATGCAGAAAAGATAACAATTAATTCTACATTTGAAGAGGTCAAGATTTAATTTGTGGAAAATATTTCAGAGTTCAAACAGAGACATTAGTAGTGTGAAAGTAGACTTTAGAAAGAACCAGAAAAACTGAAAACAAGGTATAAACCTCTACTCCTGTTCAAAAGACTAGGGTGGAGTGTGAACCGGACGATAGGCAAATCTATCTACTATTAAACAAACATTAGTTTCATTGAATGTGACAGACAAGGAATGTGTAATAAGTCTTTTTATTAAATTTTTTCTAAAGTTCTTACAGCTTTCCATTTGGACAGTGACTAAGTACAAAATCTCTCCATAATGATTATTGTCCCAATCATTTTCAGATATTTCATTAACCATTTCAATGTTTGTGTATTGTGTGGAAGTTGAGTGAGAAACATACAGCTATTATTCAAAGTCTGGTTATCTTTTAAAACTCCCCCCCAACACACACACACACACATATTAATACCATTGTTATACAAGGTAAGGTTTAGGCTTGACTCAAATTGTTTTATACAGGATGCAGCATAAATACCTCCTACATAATGGCAAGACATTATTAGCAATGACATCTTCATCTAGCTAATCATCGTACCATTATGTTGGAGGTATTTCTGCTGCACCCTGTATAAAGAGCCTCTGTAAGCGACTTAGTTGGCTGAATTTAACAAAATTTGTTTAACCTTTATCACTCTGTATATGATATCATTTGCAGTACAAAATGTTTACCCTGCCACTGAAGGTGACTCTGATCCCTGAAGAATAGTGTATTTGAATTTCATAGTTGTGTTGTCATATCCTGCTATGGCAACAGAAAACAACTTTGAGTGAAATTAACAATAAGGATACTGCAATTCAGAGCCTTTAAAAAAGAATGCAGTGGGAAGTAATATTAAAAATGCAGAATGCTAAAGTAGAAATATATTTTAACTGATCCACTTTTCTTCTACCACTTGAGCCAAATCCAATAAGTATACAAGATATATATAATCATTGTTTCTATCCTCTTCATGTTATATATTTCTTTATTTCTCTATAGCACTCCATGGTTGCAAAGATGTTGTTCATTGGCTTCTTGAAAGTTGCCAACATCCTGTTGATGCTGAGGATTCTTGTGGCAACACCCCACTTATGGATGCTATACGTATGGGCCATACAGAAGTTGCTGCTATGATGATTGAAGACTTTAAGGTAAGTGTCAGTAGTGTAAACAGTCACAGTTTATCACCTACACACTGAAGTGACATAATATTAAAGAAATGTAGGTGTTTCTTATTATCACCCACTGACTCCACTATTCCCTTCTGAACTTTAATTATTTTGAAATTTTTGACATAAAATTTGAACAAGTTTTGATATTCAAACTGCAAGAAAAGGATTGTCAGATGTCAAGAATTAATGTAACCATTACTGACAGAATTTTTTCTATGTGCCATGTCTCTTGAGGACATGAGAGGTCATGGCTCTCCACAATTTCCAACATTTGACTCTTTACTGTTCCTCTTTGTCCTTACTCTGGCTTTTAATTACACAAACCTGATCGGTAGGTTAGTATTTCCCTCAAACTTCTTCCTTCAATATGTCCTGTGAGTGTTAAATTCTCCAAGCTCTCTTTCTTCATAATGTATCCCAGAAATTTTAACTGTTTCTGATTTTAAGTGTCATAGCTGCATGCAATACTGACAGAATAGAGCTATTATATATCTAATGTATATTGCTAATGAATTTAATAAATAAAATTGCATTGAAAATCAGGCATTATCAATGGTCACGAATAATTGCAAAGATTACTAGTAGAAAAGAACTATCACATTTGATATACATTTTTTTCTATATTTATGTCACTTCATCTCACAAAATGAATTCAAATGCTTAATTTATCAGCTTTCTTGAATGTTAAATTTTTATCACCTCTCATGATTCTAAGGCTCAAATTCCTGAAACCCTTTACATTGTTACAAATGACTAACTGGAATGTTCATTTTCTATAATTTTCAATTTTATATATATATATATATATATATATATATATAAAAGTTTGAATCATATGTAATTTTTGTTTTGGGGAACCATTTGTAATGATGAATGCATGTGACAGTTAAGAAATATAGAGTCTACTAATATACCTTAGCTTCTGCACAGCGGTGGAATCATGCACAGTAAATTAAAGGAAAAAATGTTCTCCTCCATGAGGATCTTGATTGGTCTGTTCTACACCTCACCATATTTACCTGACTTTGAATCAACTGATTACTACCTTTTTCAATCATTGCCAAACACTTTGCTGGGAAAACTTTCTCTAATGAAAACCAGATTCAAAACTACATTGATAACTTATGAGTTAAATTCTACATGTGAGAATGTTTTCAAAGTGTTGCATGATAAATGGCAACAAATCATTGCAAATAAAGGTGAATATATAATTGAATAAAATGTAATTGTGTTTTAATTTTTGAAGAATGGAAATGATAAATAAAAATTATTTATGACACAACCTACTTCAACCTATTGTGCTGACCTCTTTTAACCTTGCTCGCTTAATTGCCTTTATGTAGGAGTGTCCACTTTTTACTGTGTTGAACTGACCTCTTTTTACCATGTCAGTGTACATGTCTGCTTGATTTTTTTAACTTATTTTTAGGTCAAAGTTAGATGTTTGTGAATGTGTATAAGTTAGCATAGTCAAAAGGGATCAACACAATACAAAGCAAACAATCACCAAGAAACCATGCATCACTTAAGAAACAGCAAAAAACCTAAAGATAAAAACAGATAATACAACACCTATTAAGTGAAAAAATTACTCATACAAAGATATCAAGTTACACTAAACTATACATAAATATGAAACAAAGTAGCAGCAGAGAAGCCAATAGCCCTGAAGAGTGAAGGCATTGCAACAATGCGCTCATGAAACTTCAAAGTCATCATGACTGAAATAACATAACTCAGTTAAGTGATGAGTTTCTCTACATTAATTTTATTAAAACTCTATCCTTACCTTTTGATATTGAGCACATTAAGACAAAAACCTGCCTGCCTAAAATGCTTTCCCACCAATAAACTATGGGAAAAAAACCCAGCAATTTTGGCACCTAACACTCTTACAATTTAATACTATATACATACATACATACATACACATACATACACAAAAGCAAATGAAAATGCAAGCAAATGATAGACGATTTGTGGTCAGGCTCTGCTAACCAATCTTATTAAATTCTTATTATTCTGTATGCAATTTTGACCTTTATTATTTGGCAATGTTTAACCTTTGTGCCTGCAAAGAAAGTGTCAAAAGGACAATCATTCCCTTGACATTGCTATTACACTTTTAACTTCCTCAGCAGTATTGTTTTAAAAAGTGAAATAGATAATATTGTGTCTATTCAAATTTTCTTGTTTTATAGTCTGTTTTATAAAATTATGAATAAAAATCTTTTCATAGTTATTTATAAAAATGGTAAATAATAAACATTTCATTGTAGTTAGTTTACATATTTTCATAATTTTGTAATTTTTAAAAAATTTGAATAAAAATTTTTTTCAAATTTATTTCTTTATAAAATGGTAAATAATAAATATAGCATTTTATTTACAAGAGTAAGTCAAAATTGATCTTCACTTTCACCATAGCATATCTTTAGGTTTATCACACTGCCTTCTGTTAATGCATGCTTATAGTTGGTACTATTGTGGTCACAGGTTCAAAGTTTGAACTTGATTATGCCAGTTTTCTTGCTGCTATTACAGTGTAAACATGGCTGCTCAACTAGCAGTGTGCACCAAAGTGGAACAGAGAGCAGTGATTTGCTTTTTCTGGTCGGAAGGTGTCAGGGCCTGAAATTCATCGGTGCTTTTAACACAATATGGTGAAAGTGCATTACCACGTAGAAGTGTGTGTAAATGAATCAAGAAGTTTAAAAGTGACTGGACAAGTAAGACACACAAAAAAGGAGCAGGACACCAGTCAAACTCCACCACTGATGAGAAGATTCAGCAAGCTCAAGAGATGATAATGGTGAACCAGCAAGTTGTCATTGATGAGGTAGCATGTTCTCTGCAGATTTAGATCACTGCTCTTTGTTCCCCCTTGGTGCACACTGTTAAAAGATCGACCATGTTTACACCATAACAGCAGGAAGAAAATTGGTGCGATCACACTCAGACTTCAATCATGTGACCACAGAAGTACCGACTATAAGCACACATGAGCAGAAGGCAGTGTGACAAACCTAAAAACATGCTATGGTGAAAGTGTAGGTAATTTTTGACTTGTCCTCATAATTTGCAAATTTTTATCATCTTCTAAATAAACATTTCTAAGTGAGTCAAAAGTGCATACAGTAATAGTGGTGTGAAAGGAATAACTGTCCTTTTGGCAAACCATTTTCTTTGCAGTCACAAAGGTTAAACATTACCAATTTTTCTTTTCTTAGGCTAATATAATGAAAACAGATCGACTTGGTTACCAGCTTTTGCACGTTGCTGCCCAAAGTGGACATCTTGCATCTGTCACATACATTTTAATAAACTTTGCAGTTGACATAAATGCAGTTTCCTTCAAAAATATTACACCACTACATTTGGCAGCAAAGGTAAGTGACTTTATATATATATATATATATATTTACACACACTATCTCTAATATTGAGCACTTTATCCCATAAATATAGCACATCATAAGACTATATTTCTTTTTATATATATATATATATATATTGCTGGACTAAGCATGGTACAAGGATGGTTGAAATGAGCTCCCAGTAAGAAGCAAACTGATTCACTAATGCTGGCTTAAAAGATGAGAACATTAATCACAAATATCCAGTGGCGTGCAGAAGGGTGTGCAATGCCATCCAAAGAGTTAAATAAAAATTTAGTTTATATTTAATTTGAATAAAGTGTTTATTTAATGTTTCATGTTTTTACATATTTAAAATGTCTTCCTTTCTCACATTTCTCAGTACTTGATTCCTAGGGGCATGCAGTCAAGGAGCTGGCCCCAGACATCACCAAACCTCTGCATGTCACTCCAACTATCTGACATGTGCATTCGATCTGTGTTCTCACCTACTATTTGATATTATTGTATTGCTGACTGTGTTTACCTCCCACCAGCCATATTGATTGCTTGATTGATTATTTATTTTTAACGGCTTAAAGCCAGAAAACATTTTTACATTGTAAGAAATATTTTGGAGATATTAATGGTTTATTGATACAGTTCTTACTAATTTTCTTCTACCTTTATCTATGGTAAGCAGAGTTTAAGTTCAATCCTCATTGGGTGCCCAATTTAAAATTTAATAAATAACCCAACAACAACTGATGTGTTATAAAATAAATCAACCCTACCAAATGTGGGGTAGTGGTTAACAAGGCTAGTCTGGTTGGTCATTACTGTTGATTAGTGAGTTAGATCCTCACTGGGTGCACCACACAAAATTCAACATTAAATAACCCAACAAGGATTGACATATGGTAAAATTCATCTTTATGTATTTCAAATGAACATTTCCACTGGAGTGGTGAGTGATTGCAAAAGCCATATACAAGGCTTTCATGGTGCATAGGGTGGTTAGGTTCTCATCAGAATTAAAAACATGTCAAAGGGCAGATGAACGTTATAGGATCAACAGCTCTCTAGCAAAATGCTGTAAACTGGGCTCCTTAGCTATGTATGCAGCCAGTGTGGTGACGACATGGCAGCACTGGGCAGAGGGCATCCTAGACTGAAGTCAACATCCAGGGCAGAAAGTTTCACTGATGGAACCAAGAAGAACCTTCAAGTTGGAGAACTGGCTGTAGTTTGTAGGATGGGCTCTGAGGTCTCCTTGCCCAAAACACAGCTCTCAAACTAGATAGGGAACTGGACAGGTGCTCAGCTGCACAGCAACCTCCTGACCACACCTGGTCCATGAGTCAGTCCTATGACCACACCTGATTATAGCAGTAGTAAAATTATATATCAATGATTGTAACCCCTTTATTCTAATTGCAATCAATAACAGTATAATTTGGCTTAGTTTTCCTTTTCTTCTTTGCAGGAGGGCCATAAAGAAATTATTAGCTGTTTGTTATCTCATGGAGCAAACATTTATCTGCAAGATGAGATGGGAAGGACAGGTTAGTTGAACATCATTTTATTTATTTGACTTTTTTAATCTGAACATCCATCTTGGGTGTCAAATATCCCCCACCCCCCACGTTTATTTTAATTTTTTTCCAACCCCTTACCACAACTTATTAATATTCATTTATATTGTAACATCAGCAAAAACTTCCTAGAAATATTTTTATTTTTTTTTTTTTTTACTTAAAGACATTGATAGGCTTTTATTTTTAGCATTATTTTGAGGTTTTATACTTTGAAAGAATTGTTTTAAATGATTTCCCAACATATTGAGTCCTCTCTGCTTATTACACTTTTCTCCTTTCACACCCCATTTATTGCCCTCGCCCTTTATTTGGCACCTGAAAGTACACAGGTATACATGAGAGTTGCTCTGAAAGTAATACCTCTTATTTATTATATTGGCCTCTGTTCTAAGAGGTAGCTGTTGTTGATATGGCAGGAGAGGTTGAACCTTCCCACAAATAAACCATAATACTTCCTATTATATTGAACCACAATGTCAAACATAAATGTTGGTAGCATGGCAGTATGAACCTTGACAACAATAACCAGATTTAAATTTTCATTTTTGCCTTGTTTTACATAGCAGTCATATGAAAATGCATACAAAACAGAGATGTATCATTGAATTCCTCCATTTGATGAAGAAAAATTGAACCAATTAGCATTCATTGATACTTGCTGAACATTTACAGAAGCGAAATGGTGGATGCAAACACAGTTCAGCAGTGGGTAATGTGCTTCAACAGTTATATATGTGATAAGCCACATTCCAGGTGGACCTGCATAGCTGTCAACACATGAAATAAAGTGCACCCAGGGAAGATGTATGGCCTATAGTGGTAACTGGAAAAAATTGTTTTGCAGTTGAAAACTTGCTCTATTCACTTCTATAATTGAAAAATATGGGGGAATTATTTTTTTTTCTGTTTTAAATTGACTCTTTTTCATTAATTGTATTGTCTCTTTAAATGTTTTAAAAATTATATTTCAAACCAGTTGACTTTCATTTGTATTTGGAATATTTTAACATTTCAGAAACTTTTTTTTTTCATTTCAGCTTTAAACATAGTAGAGAATAATAATCATTCAGACTGCGTCCAAATTTTAAAGCAGCAATATTCATAGCTGCAATAACAAGAACTTCACCTTAATGCATTGCTGAAATAACACCCTTGAAATACTCTGAATTTTGATTAAAAACAAAAACTACTTCATCGACCAGTTTACAAAATTAGCTTGAACATTAACAAGTGAATATTTCATAGAACACTAAAATCACCCTCTGCCCAAAGAAACAGTGACTGATTTAAAAAAAAAAAAAAAAGGCAAAGTTTAACTTTGGACCAGACAAAAAAAAAAAATGGGTGTGTTAAAAGGACATTTTCTCTTGACACCACTATTACTCTATATTTCATTGGTAAGTTTCCTAGTTTTAAAAAGCAAGTTTCAAAATTTAATAGAACCATTACATCTGAAACTGAATTTATACATTTTTTTCTTAAGAACGAAAATGTTAAACACCATTTATTTATTTATTCAATTGTTTATTTACAAGTTTATTAATTTATAATCTGATATTAACCATAACTATATTAAAATTAAATTGTTGGTTTTGTTTTGGATAAATCTACTACCAACAGTAATTTTTATGCTTTTAAAAAGGTATTTTAAGAATTCTAATATAACTATAACATATGAAAACTGAATTTATACATTTTTTCTCACTCTAATTGACCCTAATCACCTCAGATTACTTCTTGTTTTAAGTTTTTTTTTAAGTGGGGGGGGGGTAGTTTGCTATTCTGTTTATATGCTATGGTTTTATTAAAAATTCTAAAAACAGATTTTTAAAACAATAAAACTTACTGAGGTAGTATAGAATAATAGTGGGGTCAAGAGAAAAATATCCTTTTGACACATTGTTTTCTTTTGTCGGGTTCTAAGTTAAATAAAACAATTTAATTTTTGGCATTAAGCGAAATTAGAAGATATATGTAATTGCCTACAGAAATATCAATCTAATGTCATTTGCATCACAAAACATTCAAGGAGTATATAAAGAAGGGGGTACATCATCTGGGTAAAGTCTCCACACAGTAGATGCACGACCAAATTCAAAACAGGTCGTATAACCCAAGTAATCAGTCCACAGTCAGTGCGGATTGATGGAACGACACTGCATGTGAAGAATTTATGCCCTTTTTTGGGATCATATCCATCATCAGACTGATAGCGACACAGAAGAGTGAACAATTTGTGTATTTAAAATCTAGTTCACCAGGTGATTCCTCCAGTACCAGCAGTTCAGAGACCAATGCTGGAGCACCTGATGACTCTCTAGGCCGTAGTTCATCTGAGAAAAACAATCTCGCTGTTCCTCTTCAAAGGAGTACCTGACAGAAGAGACCTGCCCCGGGATGCATCAGCTGTGATCAGGAGATCAGTGAGGAGTGCAGCATTGACTTACCTTGGTGACCCAAAAGGGCCAGAGTTGCGTGGAGACGGCGAATCGACAAGCTTTGTACAGATGGTGAATTGGACAGCACTTTGTGCTGAAAGAGGTGGCGGTGTCACTTGTAGCCATTTTTATTGGTTGGTTCTGGGCACTCATTGGCTGAGTGTTGGCTGGGTCAGATGTATAAAAACATGGTATGCTCATTTAAGAGGTGTTCAGCTTTTCATTCAGAATGGTGAGTGACGTATTGGAGATCGGGACAAGAAGTGTGGATGTGTTTTGCCTAGTGAATCTATTGGATTCGTACTACCTTTCTTTTTCTGGGTGTGCTTCCATCCAATTTTCACAACAATTCAAATCTAGCTGCCTGCTTAAAATGTGATAGAAGGATGTAGCTATGTTAGATTGTGTGAGTCTTGCACATTTTATATTTAAGATCTGGACATGTTACAATTGGAGAATGGATAAAATTAATTCATCAATTTTGATTTCTTCTCACTGGCTCAAAATTAGTGACCTTATATCCTGGTTATGAGCAGCTCTTGTTTCAGATTTGCTCACTAGGATGTTCATATCCTGGTCAGCACAGTTTCTGATTGGTTGATCAAAATGGCTTCATGGCCTAGTGATTCTGAATATACATTTATTTTTAGAGATGGTGAAATTTTGGTCACCTTATTTACTTTTATTCTTTTTTTTGTCACTATAATTAATTTCTAAACAAAAATAAACCACCATGCTAATAAAAATTGATGAGCAATGATACATTTCTTTAATGACAAGATTGTGTACATTTAATGATAAGGAGTGTGATTAATGCTTATCTTTATTCTTGTATTGGACACTAGAACAGGTTCATAGCTACTGGTAATGTGATAGAGTTGAATTATTGTGACGTGATATCAGCAACTTTTTTTTCCAGAAAGTACTAATTATTTTTTCATTATGGATTTAATCACTCAAGTCTCTACAGATTTAATTCAATTTTCCTTGTTTGAAACTTAACAGAAAATAATAAGATGAGGCCTAATGTTGCAGAATGCATTGGCTAAATAAAAATGACAAACGCTACTAGTTGGAATTCTGATAACCCGAACTGAGTGAGGATGGTTTGAAACTCCACAGACTTAGAATCTTGACAGTGAAGTATTTAAATTTTAATATAAGACTAAAAAAAACAAAAACACACACACACACACAGAGAAAAAAAAACAAACAAAAAAAAAAAACAAACAAAAAAAAAAAACACACACAATCTTGCAGCAATAGAGAAGTGATGGTGTCTTCCTCAACATGTTCTTTCAGCAGAGACAAGCCACCACATGGAAATAAATAGCTGGTCAACCTGTTAATATTCATTCTATGTCCTCCCAATGAAATAAAGCAAGTGAAAAGAAACCTGAAAAAATAGTCTGTTGTTGATTCAGTACATGATGCAGTGTTGTGGTCCCTACTGAAGAATTGCCAATAAAACCACAAGAATCCAGAGATGACATGCAATGCAATACTAAAATATCACTGATTTCATGTATCATAGTTTGACAATCTGGATTAAAAGAATAAAAGTAAATTTTCTTCAATCAGTCTCCCAATATTGTGTGCTTTAATGTTTAAGTTGGCTCTGTTCCTGTGTGAACATATGCCTGAGTCCCTCAAACAATTTTTTCAAAAGGTGATCAACTTCTGCCCAATGCTAGGCTCAATTCCCATTTTTACGAATAAACAGGGAATGTATGTTCGAAGAAACTGAAGATATTACACAAAGTTTTTATTATGGCCATCACCAGATATTGTCTTGGTGAGAGAAATGAGAAGTCTGTTGGTTCCGATAAAGAGAGTTCTTTATTTGGCACATCTCTGCAACTTCTGCCTTCTCTCATGACAGACTAATGGGCCAAACCTTCCCTTTGGCCAGTGAGAACTTTGTCTCTCTCTTTGTCAGACACATAACCAATGACTGACTGTTCATTTCCATAGCTTGTGAATGCTGTCTGTCTATATAAGCCCATGACTGGATATTCCCTATCTTCTGGGCAAGTGGTACTTGATTCTATCAGGTCATCCCATAAGTTCTATCCGAATTTTAACTTTTTGTTAAAATGAACAAAATTTAAAGAGTATTTTATAATGTCTAATCAAGCTGAACATTATTTTTATGTTTAGATACATTTAAACTGATCAAATTTTATTTCAGAGAACAATAAGATTAAATTTTGTTTGATTAAAACCCTGCTAACATGAAGTACCCAAGAATCCTTTGAGGCACATAATGCTTTATGAGTTCAAGAAAGGAAACTCAGCAGCTGAAGCGGCTAGAAACATTCACTCAGTTTATGGAGAGGAATGTGTGAATGAAAGAACTTGCAGAAGATGGTTTGCAAAATTCAGAGGTGAAGATTTCACCCTTGAAGATGAAGATCGAACCGGACATCCAGTTGAGTTTGATGAAAAGCTTCTTGAAGCAGCCCTTGAAGAAAATCCTGCTTTATCAGTTGAGGAATTGGCAGTGGTTCTCAGTTCAAACCATACAACTGTTCATCGTCATCTTCAACAACTTGGAAAAGTTCCTAAACTTGGAAAATGGGTGCCTCATGAATTGTCTGAAAACAACCTCAAATCCTGAGTTGACATCTGCTCTTCTCTCCATTCTTGCCAACTTGTTTCACCTTTTTTGGATAGACTTGTGACTGGCGATGAAAAATGGATCTTTTATCGAAATGTTAAGTGTCATAGACAGTGGCTTGGTAAAGGGGAAGGACCCCAGCCACAGCTGAGAAGGTAACTTCATGGGCAAAAGGTTCTTCTCTCAATCTGGTGGGATCGCCAAGGAATAATCCACTTTGTCAGCAATTAGAGCGTTTGAACCAAGCTTTGAGGAAAAAAGACCTGCTCTAGTGAATAAAAAAGGGGTGATGTTTCATCAGGACAATGTGCGACAGCAAGAATCACGTCACAAAAGATCGAAGAACTTGGTTGGGAGAAAATTCCTCATCCACCTTATTCTCCCGATCTTGCTCGTTCAGACTACCATTTGTTTCATAGCTTACAGAATCATTTGGAAGAAACAGCTTTTGTAACACAGGAAGAGGTTAAAACTGACATTTGTGAGTTCTTCGAATCAAAGCCAAAAGAATTTTACAGTAATGGAATTAGTAAGCTTGTTAATGGAAGGAAGTCATAGATAATCAGGGAAAATACATTGTTGATTGAATCTGTAATTAAATGTAACATTTGGTCACTTGTTTTCTTTATTCAAAATTCAGACAGAATTTATGGGATGACCTGATAAATATTTTTGCCTACTTATAGACAACAGGTGGTTGCTTTGAAGCTTTCACATCTCAATTTTACTTTGTGACTCAGTTGGTAATCATAAAACACTAGTTGCTTCAAACCCAGATAAAATCATTTACAGTCCACATAACATGGATGTCTTAACCAATCAAGTGGGGGACCCATTGTGCCATACTTTCATAGTTATTGGTACTATAGCTCCTGCATATAGACATCCTACTCTTATGGTTTAAAGCCAAACTGAGTAAAACTACTAGCCTATATATATATGACTTTCCCATCAGAGTCTGCAAGGCAGGCAGACTGGGTAACATTTTTTTTCTCCCTACAATCACCCTTTCTTTAACAAGTTGTTTCTTTTTTTTTATTTTATACCATGTCCCTCAAAGATGTAAGAAATTGTGACTTTCCACATTTTCCTTGATTATCTATGAATTGCCATGCATTCTTGGGAAAGATAGTGAAGTAGTTTCTTGTTGCCTTCTTCATGATTTGAGTTTTTCTTATTTTAGATTAAGTTCACTTGTTGGCAACCAGTTTACCCTGCAAGCAAGGTGATAAAGCCTCTAAGACACAGAGGGAACTGAGTGTGAAAAACTTTAATGAGGAGAGAGGATATTAAAAGAACAGGATTGAAGGAGATAGAAAATGATGACATATTTAAATTTTTGAAGATCATAGGTTATAGGAAAGCAAGAAGCAAGAGAGAGTGCCACAAGTGAAAAGTGTGAAAGAAAAAACTCTTAGCATATATCTCATGGTTACATTTAGGAACTTCAACTGTAAAATGAGAAGATCCAGCTGCCAATATAGTACTGTACTTAAATCTGTTAAGTTAAAAGGCCAAAAAGAAAAGCTCATCATACAAATTACCATGAAAATATTTATATAAAAAAAAAGGCACAAAGAAGCTACATTACAGCAGTAGGAAAGTGACTGAAGCCAAGATGCCAGGTCAAGAGCAATAATATTGCAGATTCTTTGGATTTTGTCAAGAATCTATAGATACATTGCAGAAGCACCAGACCAGATGTGTTAGCAATATTCAAATTCACAAATGAATGGTAGTCTTATGAAGGGGTAAGTTAGATTTTGGTGAGAAAAATAGTCTAGCATGACACAGTGAATCAACATTCCTAGCAGCAGACCTTGCAGTTGATTTGATATAATCATTTCACTTCATGTCAGTGTAAAGCATTAGGCTGAGAAGATGCTGAGAAGATTCTCCTGGAGGTTAACATTAACCATGCTGTTGGAATACAAAAAAGGCTTTCTGAGAGGTTTAAAAGAGAGCAGTTTCATTTTGAGAGTGTTAAATTAAACCATTTAACAGAGTTAACAAATTGAAGGTCATTTTTAAGATCAGCTGACAATTTGACCATATAGAACCTATCAGATATACTATTAAAACAGGAATAAATAGCTGTGCCAACAACATAGATACCAAATTGAGAATTAATGATATCAGGAAGCTTGTTGATGAAAATCAAGAGCAAAATAGGTCCACATAGCTCTGGAGGACACCCACATTAATGTTAAAAGACCTAGAAGAGTGGCTGTTTAAGACAACATTTCATTTCATGATTTGATAAGATTGAATCAAATCAAAAAAATTCAGCCAGAGCACCATAACCCTTCAACTTGTAAAGACCAACTTGCCAAACCCTGTCAAATATCTGAGATATCTAAAGCAACAGCCTGAGCTTCACCATTCTTGTCTAAAGCTTGACAGACTCAGCAATAACCGTTAACATATCGGCAGCTGACCTAGAGAAATAAAAGCCATATTGTTTATCTAAAAGATCCTGCAATGTCTGATGCTTAACCAATTTGAAGTTGATTAGAGCCTCTAATACTTTGTCAAGTAGAGGTAGAATACTAATAGGTAGATGGTTTGCCAAAGTTCTTCTAAACAGGAACTCTGGAAGAGGATTTCCAAGCTGGAAAGCAAGAAGCATTTATTATAGAGCTTAGAGAGAACAGGAGACAAAGACTATTGCAGGAATACCATCAGTTCCACATGCTTTGTGGGGATCAAGTTAGAGATGATAGCAGAAAACATGAATGGAGTTATATGCATATCACAGAGTAGAGACTTCTATTCTAAGATACTATGTGAGTCAAGGACAGAATTAGAAGAGAATTAACAAGCAAAGCATTCTGCTTTATCAGCAGATAATAAAACCTCAAATTGAGTGGAGATGATTGATTGAGGACTTACCTCTATTTAACACAGCAATAGTCACAAAAACCAAACTTGTAAGAGGCTATACAGTGCTTCTGTCAGTGAACGATGACTTAGACTCATTGAGGACATACATTATTATGTACAGACACAGACAAGAGGCATCTGTTGTGACCAAAACAAATCCTTCTCTACCTAGTTACCAAATATCAAGGAACAAGGTCAGTATCATGTAGTTTTGTACATGTTAAACAAGTGGTCATGAAATAATTGTGTTATTTAAATCCATATCATTATGCAAAACAGATGTTAAGAATTAAGAGAATTTTTTTATTTCATGAAATTTATTCTTTAATTGTAAAAGTTTATATGCACACAAAATAGAGAATGTGCAGGTTTATTGTAGATAGCAGCAGCAGCAGTAATTGACTCAAGTGATTTTCAAATTTCCTTTGATATTGCATACAATTTTGCAGATCATGAGATCCAAATGACTTTATTACCCACAATTCTATGTAAAAAAGAAAGTTTACACATATCCAATATAAACATGGTCAGACACACACAGAGAATATGAGAATGTGTTCAAAGAGATTTGTTTATGTATTCTCCATCTCAAACAAACATTTGGTTGATATTAATTACATGCTGACTATTGTCCTCAGCACTGTTATCATCACATATTGTCCATTGTGCCTCTAGCTTGCATCGGTTACTTTTCAATCCAAGTAACCTTCAGGGAATTTCAAAGTGAACACTTTATTTAATCTACAAGGGCAAATTGTTCTAATTCCACTGATCATGTCTAGGGATATTTTGTCTTGTTCTTATTTAATATTTCTCAGTTATTACTCTGTTTTAGTGGTAATAAATAAGAACAAGATATCCCTAGACATGGTCAGTGGAATGAGAACAATCTGTCACCATAGATTGAATAAATGGTTCATTTCAAAATTCCCTGATGGATAACCAGATTGACAAGCATCTGTTGAAGGCTGGAATGCACAACAGCCAAAACTTTGTGATAATAATAACAAAGATAAGGACAATAGTCTGCATATAAATAATAACTCCTCCTCCCAGGAGTTCAAGCAGAAATTTGGTTCATATTTTAAATATTTAGATATGGGTTTGTTGAAGAGAGATTGGATATGCAAAATTGGCATAAAGTTGTACATGTACAAGACTTCAAATATTTTGAAATGTTTGTGTGGGTGTGTATACAGGTACCGTGTTAACAAATCAAGCACTGACATTTAAAAAGATGGGGAGCTAAGTATGATTTTCTACCTTAGGATCAATAAAAGTACAATGTCCACAAAAAAACCCAAAAAAACCTTGCCATGATTTTCCAGTGTTTTTCTACAGTGTCAAATAAAAAATCATGGGAAAAAGACAATGTCCTTTCTCATTTTTGATAAAGCAAATTGGAAAGAAAAAAAAAAAAAATGTCTTTGTATTAAAATTAGCAATCAATGTCCTTTTCAGTTACGTCTTGGAATACCTTGTCGCTTCTTCAGCGTTTGGGAACCAGTGGTTTTAGTTAAAGTTTTATCCACATACATCAAATCTGTTATATCCTGGGAGGAAAAAAAAAGAATATTAATATTTTTATACATTATAAAATGTGTATAGATATATCATACACATGTGTGGATGGATGAGTGTGCAAATGGCGTAATGGTTAGCAGCTCAGAATGCAGAATCAGCATGCAGATTTTGAATTCCAGTCGTTCATTACATTCACATAAACACCCTTGCAAAAGGCATGAATTCATCTTTTCTCTTCCCAGCTATGGGCTAAATAGGCCAACTCTGAATGAAAAAAACCTACATCTGAAGCTATCAGTCATCTTGAGCAATCTTATCTCTGGTAGTTGATGTTCAGAGAGTGGTATTTATGTTGTACAAGTCTCTCACTATAATCTCTTATATGAAAGGGTCAAGCAATAGTTAATTTAAGGAAATGGTCATGCTCAGAATTGAGTAAACAGGCATAATATTATATATATATATATATATATATATATACACACACACAGTGGGGGAAATAAATATTCATACACATGAAAAATTGTATTTTTATAAATGTAAAAGCCTTAACTAAAACAAATTTTGATACATTTTATTAGAAAATAGTAATAAACTTAATTCATTCTTATTCTAACAGAAATTAATGCATTTTTTTCATTTTAACTGATGAAAAAAGTATTCATACAAAACAAAAAAAAGCATATTAACTTAATTTAATACTTTGTGGAATATCCTTTATAGAGTTCAACAGCTACCAGTTTATTTCTGTACGTCTCAACTAATGATTTGCACACATTGAGTGGTATTTTGTCCCATTCTTCTTGGCATATTGTTTTCAACTTCTTGATATTTGTTGGTGCTCTTTTCCCAATTTGAATTTTCAAATATCACCATAAATTCTAAATTGGGTTCAAGTCTGGGGACTGACTTGGCCATTGCAAGACATCAATGTTACTTTCAGCTAACCATTTCCTTGTAGATCTAGCGGTATGCTTAGGATCATTATCCAGTTGGAAAACCCAATCAGGAGGTAGCTGAAGTCTCTCAACAGAATGCATTAAATTGTCTTGCAGGATTTTCTGGTATCTTTCGGCATTCATCTTGCCATCTATTATTGATATTCTGCCAACACCTTTTGCAGAAAAACAGCCCCAGATCATGATACTGCCACCACCAAACTTTACAGTTGGCAATGTGTTCTTTGGTAAGTAGGCTTCACCGTCCTTCCTCCACACATGATTTCGATAATTATGACCAAACAACTCTATTTTAGTTTCATCTGTCCATAGTACTTTTTCCCAAAATGAATATTTTTTATCCTTATGCTCTCTAATGAATTTTAGCCTAGCATCTCTGTGTCATTTCAAGAGAAGTGGAGTCTTCCTTGGGATGCATGATTTCAGACTGTTTTTGTGTAGTCCATTACTTATTGTACGCTTGGTTACTTTAATCCCTAATGCACGCAGATGTTCCTGCAGCTCTTCTCAGGTAACCTGTGGATTTTGTTGGATCTTGCTGATCTTAGAGAAATCTTCCTCGGAGCACCTGTTTGTCTTTGGTTTTCAATGCTGTTACGAGTTTTAAACCTTGCAATGAACGAAGCAATTGTAGTAAATGGAATATTCAGGTTGTTAGAAATCGTTCTGTAACTGTTCCCATCTTTCCAAAGAGACAAAATGTGTTGTTTTTGTGAAATAGTCAATTCTTTACCTTTAGGCATTATTAGAACCTTCTCATAAGACTAGAAATTGCAGAATGCTCTGATAATGGCTAATAGCGTTAACTATAATTACTGATCACATTACTGGAACATTCTAGAATATACTTTTTTCATAATTAATTGATTATTTTATTCTAATAATTGATTTGTACGATTACTTTTTTCACCAGTTAGAATTAAAAAAATGCATTAATTTCTGTTAGAATAAGAATTAATTAAGTTTATTATTATTTTTTAATAGTATTTGTCTTTATACATAAAATGTGCCAAGATTTGTTTTATTTAAGGCTTTTACATTAATAAAAATACAATTTTTCAAGTGTACGAATATTTATTTCCCCCCGCTGTATATATAAATAATAAATGTGAATGTCACTGTGTCACACTTTTTCAACTTTACTTTCAGAGGCCACAGCCTAACATATCATACCATTTTGGAATTAGGCCAACTCCATGAACAAATTAAAATCATTCCGGACCATGATTTCTTGGTAAAGATAGTGGAAGTGTTTTGAATTTGTAGTTATCTTTCACCTAGACTGGCTGACACTCATGGATAGAGAGCTTAGTCTAACCTACTATTTAACTTATAGCTGGGGTAAGAAGAAATGGATACATGCCTTTCCTAAGGGTGAAAGTGCATAGTAAATATAACAGACTGAGATTTGAATCATTTCACTAATCCCACCCCCAATAACTGTTATGCCATCCTCACATTCAAGTATAAGTAATGCAATCAGAAGTTGCTTTTATAGATTAATACTGCACTCTCAGTTACATAGCTCTGTATATACAATTTTAATGAAATGCATTTGAGAAAGAAGATATTTCATATTCACAAGACAGATTTTATTCATGAAATTGTTTACTAAATGTAATTTAATTTTATATAATATTTGAAATTATTAATCAACATATTAAATCTTCAATTCAAAAAATATAGCAGGTTGGGAAATAGCTGTCATTAGCAATCTTTAACCTTTGTCTTCCTCCAAAAACGGTGTCCAAAGGACAATTTTTTCCTTAATACCACTATTATTTTAATGACCTTCACTCTTTGGCAATGTTTATTGTCTTAAAAAGTGATGATTAGAATTGTAATAAAACTTAAAGATATGAAAGTGAATTGATACATTTTCTTTGTTCTTGAGAATTGAAAACAAAAATGATAAACCCTATTTATTAGACTGTTTATTTACACTATTTATTTATTAGATTGTTTATTGGAATGGTTGGTAAATCATCTGCTAATTGCTAATCGATTCAAACTTTAGAAGGTGGTAAATAATTAGGATTTTCTTATAGCTGGTTCACATTTTAATAATTTAGTAAATGTTTATAAATTTATGAATAAAAAATTGTTTCCTTATTTATTTGTACATAAACCGATAAACGATAAATATTGCATTGCATTAGTTTTAATACAATTGTATTAGCTTTTAGAATGTTTTAAATATAAAATTATTCTTTTAAATAAACAATCTAATAAATAGTGTTTAATATTTTTTTATGTAAATTATCAAGAATCAAAAAAAGATGTATAAATTCACTTTCATCATGATTAAAATTATTCATTTCTTTTGAAATTAAACATTGCCGAGGAGTGAAGGTAGTTAAAATAATAGTGGTGTCAAGGGAAAAAAAATCTTCTTTTGATATTTTTTTTCTTTTTTCAGGCAAAAGGTTAAAATTTGCCAAAAATTCAACCAGAAATGTAACAATATATTTTTTTGGTCTACTAAAAAAAAAAAAAAAAAAAAAAAAAAAAAATTGATGACTATTTATATGACTAACCAGCTGTACCTAAAATTGATTTATATGACCTTTTGCAGCATTAAGGAATTTTCGCAATCAGTGAAGAATATGACAGAACATGAACTATTACAAGATCTACATTATATTTTTTACTTACTTGTGTTTGAAGTCTATCAAGAGGTAAGTAAATCGGTCCTCGCAGCAGAGTATTCACTTGTGATATGGCATTCAAAGGTAATGGGCTGACAATGTACAGCATCTGCGTTTCAACTTGGATTCCACGCACAAATCCTGAAAGACAAAAATGATAAATTCAAATCTCATAATTTATCTACACCACTTCTTATTAATGCAATTCTTAGCTTTTGATTTTTTGTTAACACTGCTTACAAATTAACATTTTTATATGCTACAATCTATATAATAAATGCAAATGTCAGTGTGTAAACTTTATTCCAAGAGGTTGCAGCTCAACATATCATACCATTTTAGAATCAGGCCAACTTGGCGAGCAAATTAAAAACATTCTGGGCCAGATCAAGACCTACAATTCTTAAATTTTGGATTCTCAAATTTTCATTACTGCAATTCTTTTCAGTGATTTTTTTTTTACATGATATTTTGGGACAAATTTTTTTAGACAATAATAAATTTTATAACTTGGAAATAAATTTGGGAATAATCAAAATTGCAAAATCCAGTGAAAGTTATCCACAAAATAAAAATAAATGTTTGTACAGAAAGTTAAGGACCTATGTACATCAAATTGTCTTTATATTAAATGGCAGTAGAAGAATTATCGGTGAAATTTTAAAAGGTAAGCTTAAATATTAATGCAATACTTTTGAGTTCTTCTGTAGTTTATTGTTACCTATCACATCTACTTCTCCTTACCTATTGTGATGAAGGCCCAATCAAGAGCCCACTGCAGGAGGAAGCTTAAATCTATACTTTTCTTTTCAAAACATATGCATATGTACAGATGTTGTGTCCATACTTCAGAATGGCTGAACTATTCATGAAATTTGGGCAGTAAAAAGCATTTGAGCTATTACTGCAACATTTAATAGAAATTCAAAAAAACTTTTTTTAAATATAGTTTAAATATGTCAGATCATTCTAGGACTGTTACTGGTACTATGTAAACCAATACTACCTGCCACACTGTCAGATCATAAGTTACTAAACTAGCTCCCCCATCAGACTTTCCTGCTGAGGATAGAGGATAGTGGCTAGAAACCCAGCTGGATTAAAAATAAGGCCTGTCAAAGTGCAAATGAACATTCTTATAGGGTCAATAGTCATCTAGCACAATGGAGTAGCCAGGTCTTTGTAGCTATGTACACAGCCAGTGCAGTAATAACATGGCATTACTGAGCAAAGAGCTTCTTCTTTATACTAAAGTCAAAGGCCAGAGGCAGACGGTTCCCACCAATGAAATCAAGGGTTACATGTTTGTGACCAAGGTAAACTGTCATCCTTGCATTGAATATTGCTGCCACATCTGGTCTGGTGCTCCTGCTATATATTTAGAAATTCTTGACAAAATCCAAACAAGAATCTGCAATGTCATTGGTCCTGACCTGGCATCTTAGCTTCAGTCCCTTTCCCACTGCTGTAATGTAGCTTCTCATGTCTTTTCTATAAATACTTTCATGGTAATTGTTCTGATGAACTTTCAAACGCAGTACTAGACTGGTGGCAAGGTCTCATCAATTTACAGTTGAAGTAGATGTAACCGTAAGTTCTATGCTAACAGCTTATTCCATCACATTTCTTACTTGTGGAACAACTCTCTTCCAGCTTATTGTTTCCCAGTCAACTTTGATCTTCAAAAATTTAAGTGTAAATCTTCTGTCTTCTTAATTCCTATTCCTTATTTTCCTCACTCCTTAATAGTAGTTTTTCTGATATTCTCTAACACTCAGTAACCTCTTGCATCCAAGTGGCTTTATTACCTTGCTTGGGGTAAAGTGATTAAAAAAAAAAAAAAAAAAAAAGAAGAATTTGAGGACATCAGCTGTGGTTTGACTTGGAGAGGAATGGGCTGACCAGGTCTACTTGTCTAAGACATGCCATGCATGAATGCACACTTCTTTTAACCCAGATATATGGAGGGAATTGGTCAGATACTCAGCTGTGCAGTGACCCTACAACCACAACTGATCACAGGACTGATAATGATGATGGTCTATCACATAACTTTTTAAAGACATCAATTTGCATGCATTCTAGAATTGGTAAAATACAGAGTAAAATTAAAAATAACAAAGAGCTGAAAATTTGGGGACACATAATAAAGAAAGAAGATTAGGAGAATTTAACACTCACAAGAGAAGCAAATAAACTACTTGATGAGCTTGAATAAGTTGGTTGAAAAAACTATTACAGGATAGAAGAGGTATTACTCAGAGCAACAAAAGACAGAAAGCTGTGGAGAGCCATGATCAACTATGTCTCTTCAGAAAAAAAAACACTTTGAATGAATTAAAATTTCTTACCAAATCCCAAACATTTGCAAATTGGCCTTTTCTGAAAGCTTATTGGGAGATTTTCATCACCATTATGACGATAACCCTGTAAAAATCAAAGGAATTACTGAAAGTCAAGATCAGATAAAAAATAAAATGTCAATGTTCAATTTTTATTCTTCTAATTACTTGAGTCTTTTTCCTTGACTGCAACTTGTTTCTTGCTTTTCCAAAGTAACTAGTTTATTTACAAATTATTTGCAGGTAGAATTGTAAATATACAATTGGGACCCACTCTCAGTCATTCAATTAATTTAATATTAATTATAGGTTTTTACCTATTACCTATTTTAGGTATGGTAAACTAGCTCTTAACATTTAACAAATTATTCACTTAATTTATTTTTTTTTTTTTCCCTTTAATAGAACACTATTAGGATTAAGTATATAGTTCAATAATATAGTGTAATGTCTTAGTAGTAGTTTTTTTTATAGGAATTTTTTATGTACTGCAGATCGATAGTTTTTAATAAACATAAAACATTAGGCAGCATATGATTTACATACAAAGAAATATACTTATATATACTTATACTTAGTTCATGACATAAAAACTGAATACACTTGTAAAAATAGAATACGTGGATTTAACACATCACAAGAAATATTTAAATAAAATTCTCACTTAAAAAATTTTGAAAAACTTAGCGTTGCGTCTTTGCACGTTCCGAGATCTTACACAACCGTCAATAATAGCAGATATTCAAAAAACATCTTTCGGTCGGCATACAGGTAATATCATCTCAAGTTTTTGATTTTATAAGGAAAAAAAACACATGCCTGATGATGGATAGAAGACTATCCGTAAGTACTAGCATTTTAACATCAAATAAACTGAAAAACTACAGACAACAAGTTTTTCGACAAGGATCAAAACTCGCACTATGGATGAACAGGATTTTAATGCATATATTATGTTTTCTAGCGATGGATGTCGCCAATAATTGCATTAATACTTCTGATTAATTCTATGTGTGATTATTTCTTTGTATGTAAATCATATGCTGCCTAATGTTTTTATATATATATATATATATATATATGATTTTAAAAATTAGGAGATCAGTTGAATCTGCTACCTACAGCTCAAAAGTTAGAATTAGCATGGGATTAACTTAACAGAAGAGTGAAAAAAATGAAAAAAAGCCCTTAGAGTCATTGAAAAAAGAATGGAATCAATTATCACTTATACATTGAGAAACTTTTGCAATGAATGCCAAAAATTTGTGCTACAAATCAAGGCTAAAGGAGGACATTTTGACAAGAGCAAGATTTAATCATAAAATGCTTTTTTCTTTTTGTCTTAATAAAATTTCTAATAAAAAAAAATCATGTCTTTTTTTTTTTATTTAAACCATGTATGATAATTTTCTCTTATTTAAAGTAGAAAACAAATACTCTTTGTGCCAATTAAAAAAAATTGGCAAGAGTTACTTGGAACTTTTGAACTGTAGTGTGTGTGTGTCTGTATATATATATATATATATGTGTATATATATATATATATATATATATATATATATATATGTGTATATATATATATATATATATAGTATCAATTATAAAAATTAAAATAAACTTTTTTTATATAAAAAAAAAAAAAAAAAAATCATGTATTAGTTATAGGCTTCTACCTATAACCCATTCATGCCCACTAATCCATTTTGGGGACAGTGGGCATTAAAGAAATAAATTATTTATTAGTATGAAAAAGATTATTCAATTACATTATTACTTTTTTTAAATAAAATACCATTAAAAACATTTTTTTTTCATGGAAAAGAAACTTGTTTGTTCCAATTTTTCTTAAAAAAAATTATTTTGATCCCGTAATTGATGTCAGATTATAAATAAAGTCAATTAATTCTTTAGAAATTATTTTGTTTGCAGATATAAAAATAAAAGTTAGCAGATATGGACTTTTGAAACAAGAACATGAACAATACATGTGCATTTCTTAAATAGGATGAATGAACCTTGCTTGTTCATGAAAGTCTTTAGTGCCTGAGCAGTCTACAAGCATACTGGGCTTGTAAACAGTGTTTTACCCTACAAGAAAGGCCCATTCTCTTTATTAATACTCATGTACAAAGTAGACATAGCTTGACCCTATTGAAAAAAAAATAACAGGCATGTCTACACACTAAACATAACATTTAAAGCAGTAGCAATATATATAAGAAGTAATGAATTTTTTATTTATTGATCCAACAGATTTTTATCACCTAAATGATATTTTTAGTGGATATCCATATTTGAGTATACACTATGTTTATTTTTTTTAAACAGTATTTTCATCTATCAGCCTGAATATTCAAGAAATCTTGGAAAATATGAACACTATGGTAGGATTCAAACCTGTGTCCCCCTTCATGGCTGAGTTGGTCTAAAGCACATCAAACCTAACAACAGTTTCTCCTACCAATGGAGACGCAGGTTCGAGTCCTGCCGGAGAGTGCCTATTTTTCTGTAATAAGATTTTTCAAATATTTGGGCTAGTAGACAAAAATAAATATACTGTTTAAAAAAAATAAAAGTAATATGTAATATTAAAGTAATATGTGAGTAGATGTTCCACTTATTTTTATAACATTTAGTGATAACATATATTTTCTGTTTATATATTATTTTAATATATACAGTTTATTTGATTAAATGCTCTGTCTTTTAATTAAACAGTATTAATTACATTTACCAGCCTGAATGTTCGAGAAATTTCATAGAAAAGAAATTTGTGTGTGTGCACTCAAGTAGTAAATCATTAATACTTTTTCTACTAAGCTGGTGCTTCTCAGGATGAAAGAAAGAATAAAATTGTTCAAGATTTTGTTAAAAAAAAAAAGAAAAAAAATTATTTTATGCTATCTTTTCTTTACAACTTTCTTGTTTTTGTGGAAATATATGCACTCTTCCAGCTTTTCTGTATTGAATTTAAGGTAAATCCACATCCTATTTTCAGAATGGCTCAAAAGCAAAAGAGTCATATAGTGTTAATACTTTTTCTGCTAAGCTGGTGTTTCATGGGATGAAAGAGAATAAAATTGCAGAAAAAGTACTAACAATTTATTATTTAAGCATACACACAAATGCATGCACTTGTTTCTGATTTGATGAAACCTAGCAAGGGCAAAATGCATAATCTTGTTTCAATTAAACAATTTCCATTTGTCATAGTCTTCAGATTTTGTCTGGATTATGTATCCTATATATATATATATATATATTATATATATATATATATATATATATATATAATAAAAAATCAAAATTATTTGCTCTGTAATAATAAATGCATTGAGCTCTTTTTGTAGATCAGTTTAATATTTTGTATTATTAGGATCCACTTGGATTATATACCAATGGATTTATTACCTTTTATATATATATATATATATATATATATATATATATATATAAAAAAAGCAAAAAAGAAAGTTACCTCCTTTATTTTAATAAGTAATCTCTTACTGATAATAAAATTTATGTTTCTTACCTGTGTCAGATCAGCAATACATAAGGCAACAACTGAAGCATTAATGGCATAGAGAATTTGACTTGGGGGAACAATTTCCTGGCAAACATGTATGGCCAGAGAACTCCATTTTATTTTGTAAGGAACATTATGATTAAGGCTGACTCCAGGTGACCAGTTTTTGCCAAGGTAAGACAGAATTGTCAAACTTCGCAAATCAGCATTGCTCAATTTCGTCATTTTCCTGAAATGTTGAAAAGGGAAAAATTGTTACTTTGAGGAATTTAGTCTATCAGAGAATTTGAAGTTAATTTTGAAAACTATCTTTGTAAGTAATTAACATTAAAGAACAGTAATTTTGTTTACAAATGGAATACTGATTAGACACATTCATTCTTAATAATCTTTATATGGTCAATTTAAAATTGAAATACATTCATCTTTACAGCAATAGGCTTTATCTAGGCAGCTCCAATTTGTCACTGAAAAAACAGTATAGCATAATGAAAAAAGGCCCCAAACTTAATAAAAGCAAAGTTTTATTATCAAAATGTTTATTCTGTTATTAAGAGGAAAGACCAAAGCATTTTTTGAAGATTTTATTAAATTTTTTAATCATTTTTTAATCGTTCAAAATTTTGATTAAAAATTTTGCATTTTTTTGCATTAGCAGTCGATGTAATATTTACGATTAGTGTTTTAGCACCTTTTTTTTCCAGGTGAAAACACATTGATTTAGAAATTCTTGCAAAAGTCAAACAATTGTCAGATTTTAATGAAAGTTTCAGGACTTATTCACAAATGAACGAAATTTTTTTCCTTAGAAAATCTTGGTAAATTTTTTTTTTTTTTTAACACACACATTACCCACCCCACGCCTCCTTACTTAATTTCATGAAATTTTAATTTAAATTTCAATCTGAAAATTGTTTTTATCGGTTAAAAGCAGGAGAATGTAAATCAATCATTTTTTTGTTTTGGGTTTTTTTTTTCAAACTACTACTCATTTTCCCTCAAAAAATCTGCTCCAAATCATAAAATAAAAAATACAATAAAATTATGACATTATTTAATTAGAAAATCTTTTAATTGCAATTTATAAATAACATTTATTAAGGAGACTATTGTCTTAAGAAAAAACTTTTTTGATGAATAATGAATTTTTACAATAATTGTTTTAATGTTTTTTTAAAATTTTAATTATAATAATTTAAATTGTTTAAATTTTGCATTACTTTAATTCAGTTAGGTGATATTCTTATTAAGTGAAAACTATATTTACAAATTGAAAAGATTAAAGGTCATTTTTCGCTGTTTTATGACTTACTTTTTAAAAAATACATTTTAAACCTTAGGTATTGAAAATTTAGTGGAGGTCCCTAGCTTTTAATATTGTCATGTTCTGTACAATAGTCTATGTTCACTTTTCAAACACAACTGAGAAAAAAAATTATATTAATGACAAAGTGAAAAAACAAAAAAAATCTAACTAGATTCATTTTTTTAATTATTTACAGTTAGACTAACACCCTCATCTTTGTGGCTATCACATTTCGGCCATTGTGTTCTCCAACCATCTTCAGATGTTTGTACAGAGATATAGGGGTCTTCAGGGATTTGAAAACTGAATCCTTTCTTTATTAAAAGGGTAGATTGTTCTCATTCCACTATCCATGTTGTTGTAGTAGGATCCATCTAATTTGTATAGTGGAGTACCGACCATATAAATATGGTTGGTACCAGGAAGACGAGGGTAGGAATCAAGAGATTCAATACAGAGACTCTGCCGACTGTGACTAAGTCAACACATTCTCCAGGAACGGTCTTCTCAAGAATATACAAAAGACTATATGTAAATATTGTGTACACTTTCTTGTTTCAATACATTTTGTTCTAAGTACATTTTGTGTTGTATTATTATTCCATGCATTAGTCAAGTTTCAACACATGTGTAAGGATATCTTGTTCTCTCTCTCTCTCTTTTTTTTTTTTTTTTTAGTACTGCTTAGTTATTGCTAGTCCTGTTTTCACTGATTCCGAATCTGTACCACTCAAACTCAAGGATTGAACTCACAAATATTATAACACCAAAAAGAAGGTTGTAGACCACAATAGCTGAAACACTGTGATAATAAAATCAAAGATGTGAACATTAGTGCAATTGTAAATAATGATAACTCCTCATCCCAGAAATTCAAACAAATTCATTTACTAAATTCTCATGGATCCTTTCAATAAACTGAGTATTTATGAAAAAAGTATTTCAAAATATTAAAGTCTTTAATTGTTGTAAAGAATAATTATTTTGTCTTCCTTTAGTATATCAACATCAGAAGCATGTAAAAAAGCCAACAAAGAGAGAATTTTGCTGCTTATAAGACATTTCTTTTTTTCCTAAAAACTACCTTGCATCCTATAAAACGGAGGTCAGTGACAGGCGTTAACTTCTCTTCGAATTATTATATTCTAAATAGTAATCATAAACTTGGTAATTCTTCTCATTCTGTGATGAATTTGTCATGATTAGTCAGGCTTTCATGCATGAAAACCTGACTAATCATATGGGTAAAATTGGGAGGGCTATTGAGTACAAGGAAAACATTTTTTTTCCAATTTCTTCCTTCAAAATTTTGTGGGGGGTATATAATGTATCAAGGCATCTTACAAGCAACAAAATATGATAGAAGGCGAAGTCATTACAAATAAAACCCAATAAAAGCAATTTTTAAAATATAGAAAGATAAAAAATATCATGTTTGCCTATCAGATATAATCCTTTATGTTTAACCTCTGAAATTTCTCAACATAGATTCCAGAGACAAATGAAACTCTTCACTCCTCTAAACAAATTAAAAGAGTGGGCTCATTTTAATTAGCAGGTAGAATTAGAGTAATTCAACAATATTTGTTAGTCAAGACTGAAGACTGAATTCTTGCAAGGATTAGCATCAACCATCTCCATAATAGTCATTTGAAAGGTAGAAGAGAACACAGTTAACACTATTATTTTTTTTTTTAATCAAAAGCAATAATGCTACTAAGATGCGAGGGGCTAGTGGAAGTGAAAGAGGAGGAAAAGACTTTAGAAGGAACCAGAAAGCCAATCCTAAACAGGAAACAATGGATAAATCTGAACTCCTGATAAAAAAAAAAAAAAAACAAGTAAGAGTGTATTATATTTATTTATATTGGAAAAAAGTACAATTGAATATCACTAAAATGTTAGCAAATTTACAAACAAACACACTAAATATATTTCATTAGCACGAAAAATAAAATGAACTGACACATGAAGATGCAAAGAAACCATATTGGAAAATGATGGAACTGACTTAGCACAAAAAAATAAATAAAATATTGAAAGATAAAGAAAAATTATGTTTGCCCATCCTCACTATTTTCCATTATATTTATTTATATTTTATGAAAAAAAACAAAAAAAAACAGCCTAACATCACTAAAATGTTAACAAATTTAGGAACAAGCATACTAAATATATTGGTAAACAAAAAACATTGGTAAAACCCAAACTGCCACATGAATATAAAAGGCTTATCAAAGTGAAAAGATAAGGGATAATTTATAATTAAATATGCATTGGAAACCAGGAGAATGGTCAAAAACATAGAAAAAAAAAAATAAGTAAAAAACGTTTCATTGGTCTTCAACTTGTATAAATATGAAATTGCTGCCCAAATACACAAAATAATAAAAAAAAAATACTTACTCAACATTTCGCACAACAGATTTTAGAACAGTTAGATCCCAATTACATGTAGAACCAACCTGCAAAATATAAAATATTTCATAATATTCAAAGACCAAGTGAGATACAAAAATGACTATTGATAACAATTACAATATTGAGTACAATAATGATAAATATGACTATTTAATACAAAAATTAATTCTATATTATTGATATATATATATATATATATATATATATATATATATATAATTTAATTCTATATTATTTTATATTTGTGAAATAAGTCAATAATTTGGATACTAACAAATATTACGAAAACACTATATATATATATATATACATACATACACACAATAGTCCTATTCTGTCATCAATTCCTGATCATCACATTAATTGTTGACCACTAATGATCAATTTTTCTTCATTTTCAATGCACAATACACAAAACTTGCTAAAGTGAAAATTTCACTGAAATATTTTGGAAAATTTCCAGGTTTTCATTTTAAAAAAATCAATAAAATACAAACTTTGGTCACAATATACAGAAAAAGGCATCAGTTAAAACTGGTTACTTCTACACATTTTGATGTCTACACATGATAGCCATGCAGATCAATAATGCCATTAAATGATAATACCAAGAATACTATGTCTTTGGTAATGCTGGGATACCAACCAGCTCATTGGATATAAAAGAGTGGACCAATGAGTCCATTGCTTGAAATATTATTAACTGAATTTTAACTTGAAATTTTCACATTATAATGTGCAATCTATGATTAATATTCAATAGTGAATTAAATACAATGACAAAAAAGGAAATTATGTTTAAAAATATTTGTTGTGTAAAAGAAATGCTTTTTTTTTATTATTAGGCTACAGACTTAGTAAATGGAATGAAAAGGAAGGAGATTATGTTAAAAAAATAAATATAAATTAGTCTATGGACTTATTGATGTACTCACATATGTACTAAACAAGATTTACCATCAAAATATTTTCAATGATTAGATCAAAATTCCAGGCAATTTAAATTGAAAAACTCAGAAAATAAAGTGTGGAAGTTAAAATTTTCATACATTATTATCATTAGAACTGTTATGTTTGAATTTATGGCCCAGACCTTGCTGGTGTTACTTCTCTTTCCTCCTGACAAGAGACCATAGAAAAAATATCAAAATTTTATTTTAAAAGAAAACATACAATATAGTTAATACTAATGTAGATGTTTCTTGAGAAATGATTTGGTAGACACAAATTATCATTCTCATATTAAAGGCTATAATTACAGATGGAGACTAAAAATAGGTATAAAAATAAAAGCCTTACATGACGGTCTGAGGCTTCACCCTCAAAACGCCATTGGTTCTTCATGACGTTTTTAGGGAGCAAATCAGAAGGATTTACTCTTTCTTTCACAGAGTTCAGCAATACCACATGGTCTGGGGGTATCATATTGATAATACCATCAAGCATTTTTTTACCAGGACCTGAAGAAGAAATATATGTTTATGTATATGAAGAGACATACACTCAGGTTACACATTTCTTTTTGCATAACATTTTGGTGTATAAGGCCACATTAAATTCACTAGCTAAATTAAATTATTAGTTTATTATGAAAATCATCTGAAACAAGAGTGTTTTTTAATACTAGAATTCACCTAATAGAAGGTTACTACTAAAATGGTAATGATCAATGAAGCATATGATCTAAATCAAAGAGGAGGTGGCAGGAAGTGAAGATTTTAATGATAAAGAGGATAGATAACTATTAAGTCTTCACTTGAAGAGGTTAAGATTGTACTGTTCAGGGAAGCACCTATGCATGAATCTGTTCCACAAACTGACAGAAAAGAAAAAGCAGTCTGAGTGGAACTTTATTTTTACATTTGGAATATAGTAGAAATGAGGGTGATTCAACTGCATTGAAAGTGGCTGTAAAGGTCAGAACTAGTGGAGCTAAAGAATGGAACATTTACCATGAGAATAGTGATAAAACAGTTATAGGCTTGCAATGCTGTGTCTGTGGGAAAGCAGTTGCAGAGCGGAAAATAAGTAATCTCTTAGAAGATCATGTAAACAACTTTGAACTTAATCAAGGCTGGAAAGTGAAGATTGAGTAGCTCTGGACAAAGTATAGCAGCAATACTCCATTTTTAGCCAACATTAGAATCCGAGTTCCAAAGAAGGTAATTTAAAAAGCAACTTGAATTTATTGTACTTGAAATTCTCCACTAAACTATCAATTAATTTAATTTGGCCTTTTAAATTTTATTTCAGTTACAATGGCCTCAGAACAATGTTATTTTCAGAGAGACTTCAGCATCATCTTTCTCACTTTCATGGGGACAGAATGCAGACCAATCTTAGACGTGTACTTTTTTTCCCCTTTCAAATGATATTTGAATGCAATGTACTGAGGAAGTCATTATCTCCAAAAAACTTTACGACGACTATTGTCACATGATGATAATAAACATTGTTAAATACGATAACATTAATTTTCAGAGAATAAGAACACAATAAAAAATAAATAAATAAATGAATATCAAAACTGAATTCAGACCTTTAATCCATCCCATCGTATTTATGATGAGAGGCAGGCGTTCTGGCATTCTCAAGTAATAATTAATAGCACTGCGTATGCACATCATGTAATGGTTACGGTTGCCTTCAGGTGATACCTCTCCAAAAAATGTATTACTGAAATAATATAAAAATAGTTTATATTTACAAACAGGTTGGTTAATGACCTTTCTTTGCACAAGATCATTTTAACAAAGTTTAACATTCAAACCCACAAAAAAAGGAAAAAAAAGGATGTGTCAAAAGGATGATTTTTCTCTTGACACTGATATTACTGTATTTTTTTTTTTTTTACTGCAATTTTTATTGTTTTAAAAAGTTATTTTTAGAATTTTAATAAAGCCCAAACATGTGAAACAAGAAATAAGCACATAACTAAAAGTAAATGTAATTGTAAATTTAGAAAAAAAAATGCATTTTCTAGGCATTTCTTTCACTTTCTCTTGCCACATTAACTCACTAAAATAGTTTGCAAGCATCTAGATTTATACTATTCTTTTTTTCTTGAGATGTGACAACAAAAATGTTAAACATCATTAGACGTTTAAATTTCAAGAATAGTGTTTAATACTTTTGTTTTCAATTCCCAGGAAAAAGAGAATGCATAAAATGCAGTTTCATGTGTTTCGGTTTTATTAAAATTCTAAAAATAGCTTTTTAAACAATAAAAACTGCCCAGAGAATATACAGTAATAGCAATGTCAAGAGAAAACCCGCCCTTTTGACACAAATACAAATGCTAAAGTTTACCATCATTTTATTATTATTAGTAATCTAGCACATTTCCCCACTATAAAATTCACACTTCCTTGTGAAATGTTGCTTCAAAATACACCCTACAAATTATTCCATGGAAGGTCATGGTTTAAGATAAACCTACAAATTCAGGTGAACGGTACCTACCTATTACTGTTTGCCTGAATATTTCTTATTTATAGACTTTTTAGCTTTATCCTATACAGTTTCTTGAAATATATTTCTCAGGAACTCTGCCACACAACATCATGGCTCTTCTCCACAACAGCCCAATGAATATTGATTAGATATCAACCTGTGTGCTTCATGCTGAGTTTAGCATATTTCTTCTCAATTTTTTTTATTGATTTGTTTACCTCCATTTGTTTGATCCAACAAAAGAGGAGTTTGTGTTTGCTTTGAATAAATTTCTGTAGATTAAGACTCAATTTTATATGACGAAAGGAATACTTTCAAATATACCACATCATTTATGGTTTTTTCCTGCTTTTCTGTTTGTCAGATTCTAATAGTATAATAAACATTTAAAAAAAAAAATTTGTTTACTTATTACAGAATAGCAAAACAGTGATGCATTTTATAGAATCATGGCAAATATTTTAGGGCAATGTTAGAACATGAGATTTAAATAGCATTAAATAAGCACAGATATTTAAAAAAAATCATCTTACAACAACATCTAAATTAAAAAGAAGTTGAAATATTTTTAATGAGATAGGTCATGATGAGTTCTGTAATCCATTAGGGTCATAGGATCACATGTACTGCAGCCATAGCAGAAGAGGTGTGTCTAGGGTAAGATAGACCCCCATCTCTCATCAGGATGATTTTGAATTCAGTATTTTCTTTCTCCTAGATTAGTTGCCACCTCAACGCAAAAGAGCTGCCAGACCTGTTATTTATCTAAGGGGAGAAATGGATTCATACTTTCCCCCAAGAGTATTTGTGCAAAAGTGAAATTGGTCAGAATTCAAACTCAGCTCACCAATTTCTCTTTCCAAGTCATTAACCTGCATATCCAAAGAGATAGGTAAGTCATGGATAAATTAATCAGTTTTTAGAATGTAAACTGCTAAATATAATTGACTTTTGTATAGAATAATCACTAAACAAGCAAGAGAGAAAACACTTACAAGGCAGGATCTTGTTGGTGACAAAAGGGAGGACCTGAAAAAATAATCAGAAGATATATTTAGAAATATTTATAAATGCTATCTAATAAGCATAATAAAGAAAAAGATACAATAAGGGATAACTTTTAAATATATGAATAAATAGTTTTTCAAACTGGAAAATAACAAACAAATAAGAAAAAAAAATGAAACTTTGTGTAAAAATTAAAGGAAAATGCATTATTGTAAATGATAAAATATGTATAAAATAGGATACATAATCCAAAGTTTGAAAAATAGAAAACCATTTCATTGAAATTAAATTACATGTTTCGCCCTTACTAGGTTTCATCAGATCAAAAACAAAAGAAAGAAATATGTGAGTATGTATTTGTGCTTAAATAATAAATCGTTAATAATTTTTCTGCTAAGTTGGTGTTACTTGGGATTAAAGAAAAGAATGAAATTGTGAAACTTTCACAAAAAAAAGCCATTATATTTATTCTGTAACCTTTCTTTACAATTTTCTTTTTCTTGTTGAAATAAATTTATACAATCTCCCAGTTTTTCTGCATTGAATTTAAGGTAAATCCTCATCCTATGTTCAGAATGCCTTGAAAGTAAAAGATTTATATATTTTTAGGTCTGTCATTATGTTTTCCATATCAAGAATGTGTGTATAAAATAAGATACAGTATGCAAAAAAAAAAATTTGAAGAATATGATAAATGGTAAACCACTTCATTGAAACTAGATTACACATTTTGCCCTTATTAGACTTCATCAGATCAAAAGAAAGAAATGTGTGTGTGTATGTGTATTTGTGTGTATGATTAAATAATAAATCATTAGCAACTTTTCTGCTATGATAATGATAACATGCAAAGTAAAATTGCCAACTTACCAAGAATAAATTGTTTCACGACATTCAATGAAACACAACCAGGGGGAGTGAACTCTGTCTGGCCAGGATCACAGTCAAGGATGCAAACAGCTTTTTTACTTGAAAAAAAATAATGACAAAACGTCTTGTTATAGGTTTTATCCTTTGAAAGGGCTTCTTCAGACTATATGATGTCTTTAATCAAATGAATCATAAATGTAGGATTGGGGATGAAATACATACATCAGTTAAAATTCTACATTGATTTATTTGTTTTTATATTGTTATTTAAAGCCAGAGAATATTTTTACATTGTAAGAATTTAGGCAAAGATAATGATGATTTACTGATACAAGTTCTACTAATTAACCCATAGCTGTGGGGAGATGAGGTGCATTGAGGGTATTTGAGCATAAGTGAATATAACAAATCCAACTGGAATTGGAATTTGGCTCTCCAATTTCCAATTCCAAGCTGTTATCCATTACATCACCCACAATTACAGCACCTGATATTTCCAAGCAGTCACCCATCCAGATACTGACCAGGCTTGATGTTGATTACTTTGGTGATCATATGAGAACCAGTTTTTCAACACAATTCTACATTGAGGAAACTCTAAAAATGCAGGGATACTTAACATTGAATGTTTGGCATCAGATCTATTTAAATGTATAACCTAACCAAACTCATTAAGATTTGTACTGCTTTTCTTTTTGTCACTAGTTTTTTTTATATCAAAAAAGAAATCTTATAATAAAATTTTGTTCAGGTGAAAAAATATGAGGTTGTCTTTTAATAAGAAAAGAATGTATATAACTTTAATAAGCTACAAAATTTTACATTACTATATCAAATCATTTTATAAAAATGTTTCTAAATAATTAGCTGTTTATGAGCTAAGTTAGAATCAATTTGAAAGGCTGATTTGCTTACTGATTTCACCATTTTATTAAAATTTGTTTTAGAGGTTTTTAAAATATTTTCCCCAAAATGAATGCTGTGAAATGAATATGATATACTACATTGCAATTAATTTATTAAGTCAACTTTTATATATATATATATATATATATAAAAAAGAAGCTAAAAGCTTGATCATAAAATCCAGACTTACGTCTCTAATGCCATGTTGGTTAGGATTCGAGCAAAAGTTGACTTTCCTGTGTTCTTTCCACCGCAAAGCAAGACTTTAGGGCAATCTACAAAGAAAACAAACTAAAAGAGTATGTCTTCTGATTTAAAAAAAAAAAATAAATAAATAAATAAAGTCAGAAAAAAAAAAACAATTATGAAAATTTATACTAGGTCGAGTAATTTCCATTTTTGGGAACCAATTGTAATGATGAATGTATCATCCTAACTAACTAATCCTTAAATATATCATAACAAGTGATGAGAAATAGGTTACATACAAGAATGTTCAATGTAAAAGGTAATGGACTGACAAGGATAAATCTTCACAATCCCAAAAGCTGAGCTCTATGAAAGAAAGATAAAGTCGTGCATGTGGTAGGATTGTCAGAATTCATTTAGAATTCTTGAAATGCCATGAAATACTAAATGTACATTTATATGTTCAGCAGCTGAAACATGTCCATAAACGTTTGCACTTATCAATAGAAAAAAATGTTCTTCTCCAATACAATGCAAGGCTGCATATGGCAAGAATAACACAGGAAAAGATTTTGGAACATCGTCAGTCTGTTCTATCCAACCCACCATATTCATCTGACCTTGCACCAATCGATTATTACCTATTAACAATCATTGCAAAATACTATGATAGATAATAAAACTTTCTCAAATGAAAACCAGATCCAAAAATTTGTTGAAAATCTTTTCACATCAAAACCTGCAGAATTTTACTCAAAAAAAATATCACAGAGCTGCCTGATAATTGGCAATAAGTCATTGCAAATAATGGTGAATATATAATTGAATAAAATGTAACTGTACTTTACTCTTTCAAGAATAAAGTTGATAAACAAAAACATAAGATTACACTGAGTAACACAATTTTTGTCCTTGGGTAGCAACCATGGTGAAATAAAACTAAGAAATTTCAACCTACCTGTGGCTAATGGGAATTATTAATAACTCAATTTAATAAACAAAAATTGAGTAATTTCATATTTTTCTCTTAAAACGGAAAAATTTTGGTGCAGTCAAAAATATTTAATTAATTTAATTTAATTATTTCCTCCCCCACTTCTTTTTCTAAGGGGTTCAAAATATGCAATGTAATTTCTTGGGTGGGGGCAATATTTAATAAAATATTCAAAAAGGAAAAAACAATGTTAAAATATGAAACCCAAGAGATTTAACTGATCATTTGATAGCTGAGGGAATCATCAGTTGCCCACAATGCTGCATTTTCTAGAATTTTTTTTAATCATTTCACCCCAAGCAAGGCAATAAAGCCACTAAGATGCAAGGCATTACTGAGTGTTAGAGAATATGAGAAAAATATACTATTAAAGAAAGAGGACAATACAATTAAAAAAATATGAAAGATAACGATTGATATTGCATTTAAATTTCTAAAAATTAAAATTAATCTTTAAATATATAGCAGGAGTACAAAACCAAATGTGGCAGCAATATTCAAAGCAAGGACAAAGAGAAGACTTATAAATATGTAAGATAGAAGATTCAAGAGCAAAACTGCTATTTGTACAACAGCATGGCACCCCAACAGTGCTAATGATGTGTCATATAAAACAAGATTAAATTTCTTTTAAAATAGCCAAAATCATTAAAGAGTTCAACTTACCACTGTTTTTTAAAATTAATGGCCACTTTGTCAGGAATTTATCGATTTCTGAAGAGGATGCTGAAGTCATCATCTCAGTTTTCTCCAAGAGAGAGACAGTAAAAGGCTTCAGCTTCTTATTATAAGGGAGTTTCTCAGCCTCAGGAGGTCGTTGAAAGAGCTTCTGGTATGGCTTAATGGTAGCAATGTAATCAGTGAAGCCCCAGTTTAGGTCAGACACAAGCAAGACAACAACACTGGAGGTAATAAGATCAGTATACTGTTCAGCATCAGAAAACATGGCTGAAAGTTGAGTCTTTGCCTGGGAAATATCTTTCCCTGTTGGCTGCTCAGTTGTCAGTTTGAGGAGCATATGGCTTGAAGGCGAATACAGATTGTGCCATTGTCCATTTGCAGTAAGCTTGGCACCAAGGATATTGACACATCCTGACAAGACGGACAATTTGACAGTTCCTATCAGGTGACACTGGAATGGATGTTTCAGAATTACAACAGCTTTGTCATCGTGACGTTTCACCCATACTCCCCTGAAGAAGAAAAGAGAAAGTTATACAATCATGTTTTATTTTCCAAACTGCAACAAAATTAGCCACAAAAAAGATTTTGGTATAAAATTGCAGCGCTCAGTGTCAAGTAAAAAACATATTTCCAATCTTAGCCAGCAAAGTGTGGTCAGCATAAGTCCTATGACCAGCTCCCTCCACACGTTTCAGTTGCATGCCAATGCCCAAGTCTCTGTGAAGGATACTTAATTCCAGTTCAGCTGATTTTTTTTCCTCTGTCTGCCTCTTCTTTTACCTACCTTGTATGATGGAAGTGAGAAGATTGCTGACTCAATGTAAAATCCATACTATCAAGTCTCACTAGGCAATTAATCTTTTTAAAATGCGTTCAATTTTATTCCAGCCTCCTTGGTTATTACCTTTTTCAACCCAAGTGGCCGACGTACCAGCAGCTGTGTGAAAGTGCATATACCATACTCATCAGAGGGTCATGGTTCAAAGGGTTAATGTTCTCAAGAAGTTCCAATCTGAACAATTCCATAACTGGTCTTCAGTAACATTCTCTTAGTTCTTATGTGTTTGTTGGTCAAAATTGAGATGACTTTGCATTGCATGCTTAACATGTAGGCATGAGTGCGCATTCAAAACCAATAAAGACCTGAGTAACTGCCAATGACACTTCTAAAATTTTGCTATTATGCAAAACTGGTGCTGAGAACTATTACAAAAATTTGATATATCAAGACTAGTATTGTGTGAAATTTTGAGATGAAGTATATTCACAATTGCATGATTTATGCCAAAGACACTTCTAAGATTTCTTTAACATTAGGCAAAATATGGCATTGAGGGCATCATTCTAATTGTAGAAATGTGTTTACTCAAATGTTTAACATGATTTCTTGATTATAACTTGTTGCACTACAAATCCTTCTTTGATGATGAAGTTTTTTTCTCTCTCTCATTATCCCAACATATGCAAAACTAGTTTTTGAGTTCAAAATGCATTTCAGAATTCTAAGTGATTTATTTTTTTTAATTTTGTGCATTATTTAAAGTTGAAACATTTTGGATTGTAAGAATACATATATATTTTTTTGCAAGTGAAAAATACATTAACATTTTTTTTTAATAATAATTTTTCCAGATACAATTTCTTCTATTTAATCCATAGCTGGAGGGGAGATGAATTCATACTTTTCCCAAGGATATTTGTGTGTAATTGAATATAAACTCAATTGGAATTATATATACTAAATATTGAAGAAAAGCCATTGCAGAATCTTTTTTTAATGTTTTGCTTTAAATCAACTGTTACAAGATAATAATATAGAATCATAGGTGAATATTACTTATACTTGATTAAATAGAGAAATTGCAAATATTGATATCATTTTTTTTTTAAAGGCTACATATTTGTTTCATCTCATATATTGGCACAGACAAAGCAAACTCATTTTTAAAAAAATACATGTGTAACAGGGTAGTGGCCCTGATTGAATCATAATGCATGAAATGTAGTTTAGTGACTTGAGGTATTGAGAGTATTTTAAATAAAGGAGTAAAAATACAAAGTGGAAAAAAGTATGGAAGATTAGTTGACCAGATTGGAACCAAGCAGAGTTAGGTTTAGAAATATTAACTAGATTTTAACCCAAAATAAACCCAGTAACATTTAGTAAATTCAGTGCAATTGATTTTTTTCTTATCCCACTTCACAACCCCAAGGAAATTGTGGTGACAAGATTAATGTGTTTGTTAAAATCCTGTCAAGTCTGGAAACTGTTTATTTAATGGAGTCTTCTCCCAAATAATACTGATTCTTACTGAAATATCTAAACCCAGAATCTGACTGGAGGTACTTTTAAAAGGGTCATGTGCTTTCCATAACAAAGAGAGCCTTTGTGGAAAGATAATATCCATCGATGTCATTTCCCCAGACATATGGCTATGTAAGTGAGAGCCACAGTCATTTGTCTCGTTCACAGTTTTTTTGTTTTGTCCAGAGAGAACTGACTATATATAAGCTGCAATGCCAAGTTCATTGTGCAGAATATTCTCAGCTCTCTCCCACTGGATATGCAAACAACATTGGCTATTTGATTTATATTCAATTGCCATGTGGGGAACACAATGTTTTCCTCAGCAGTGGCAGTTTCAGGATGTCCTTTTTTCTGCAGGTACTTGATAGCACCACAATGTCAAATTTTGTCCAATTTCAAGAGAAGTTGTTAATAGTTTTGAAGTTATCTTTGAACTGTCAGATGTAAGTTTACCTGGAAAGAAACAATGCAGTTATTAATGAGATTTCACAGCTCTATCATCACTTCTTCATAGCAAAACTATAAACTTTTTAGCTCACCCACGTAGACCTACAAACCTCTGTAAACGCACACTGTCAGCTGGTGTGTTCTTTTCATGTAATATCAGCATAATACAAACACTCAAACTTTTAACTTCAGGTAACAAAATAAAATGGTGTTAATATAGAACTCCTATGCTAATCTTATTTTAAGCGTAACTGATTTAGATTTTGTCATAGGACACATGGCACAGTGGATAAAGGTGTTGGTTAGATCCACTGACAGGACCCAAGGAGTGCGAGTTCAATACCCGATTAAGGCAGTGAAGAACTTGGAGAGGGGAATTAACAGATAACTGACATCCATTAAACATGGCACGTGGAACTAGAACAGTCTACCCCAGTGAGCAAAATAAAGGGTTGAGTTCGACATTCCAACCACCCGAAGAAGGCCAGAGCGTACAACAGCTGAAACATTGTAATAAATATGGTGACAAAGATGATGACAATAGTCCGAATAGTGTACATAATACCTCATCTCAGAAATATAGACAGATAATGTCATAGATTTTTTATTTGTGGGGAGAAAAAGAAACAAAAAACAACACACAAACTATCATACCACTCTACCTGCTCCTTTGGATTTTTCCACTGCTCCAAGGAGAAAATAATACCACCCACAGGGAAAACTGGATTTAAAAAGTGAAAATAATTTGTTTAGAATTATTACTATATGACTTTCCATACAGACTAGTATCTTCATCTTGTTTGTTATACTTACAATATTTCAATCATTTTACCCCCAGCCTTCTTCAGGGGCCTGTCATACTTGGAACCCTTCTAGTAATTGATACAATATAAATGGAAAAAGAACAATCTACTCTACGGATTAAAAAAAGAAAATTAAAAAAAAAAGTTAATTTCAAAATTGCTAGAAAGTTATGACAGAAATCTGAAAACCATTGGATATAACAACTAGAATGTTGTGAGTATAACAATCAAGATAAGCATGCTAATCCAAATGACATACGAAAAGTTTTGTTTACTCAAGTGTTTATTACATTGATAAAAAAAATAATGTTATAGACAAACACTATCCAATTTCACCAGGCTGATTATTACAAACAAGAAATCATTTTAATCCTCTATTAGCTGGATTCATGGAAATCTCAAAGGTGTTGTCAACTAAGATTATCTATTATCTCATACCTCTTCTCTCCTTTATCCCTTCCAGCTGACAATCCATGTTTTTTTTTTAATGTTATATAAACCTGGATTAGTTTCATATTTGTAAAAGGAATAAGGAATGCATAAATGTTTTCTAATGCATCCTCTCTTATCTTTCTTTTGCTCTATCTCTCCATAAAGAATGTTAATATACCATGTTGTGCAGAGTATCATCTATGGCTTTTCATGATCTTCAGTCCCCAATACTGCATCACAGATTAATGAATGACAGACAATTTTCTTAGAGACCTTCTCTCACTTTATTTCAGGGTGGGAGGGAGGAACACAGTAATTGTAGAATCTTTACTTGGAGGAAGCAAGAGGGAGCCTGAGAGGATGGATGTCAACATGTTGGCCAACTACCCACACAGTGACTGGTCTCTCTAAAGAACCTGGGAGTGGCAAAGTGTCTCCACTCTTATTCTTGCAACAACCATACTGATTGAAAGAAAAAAAAAAAGAGTACTTTGACACGGTATAATGATTAGGAAGTTTATCTCACAAGATCAATTACAACTGAATAGTTTGGTCCTTACTGGGTGCTGCATACTTTTGGCCTTGTGCCATATCTATGCTACACTTAGAAAATTACCATAGGAACCTTGACAGGGTGTAATGGTCAGCAAGCTTGTCTCACTAGAACAATTATTACTAAGTTTCATTATTACTAAGTTTCATCCTTACTGGGTGACCCATAGTCTCGGCCTTGTGCCACATCTAAGCTATGCTTAGAGAATCACTATACTGATTAAAAAAACGTTTTTTTATTCCCATATTAAAATTTAAACACAAACAATTTATCATTGTCAGGATTCCAAGCCCATCAAGTTCAAACCATCCTGACTCAGTTCAAGTCATCAGTTTCAACTAGTATGATAGAGTTTGCTATTTTGGGCTAGCCAGTCTATGCATTCTGTAACAACTGAAATTTTCTTTCCCTTTCTATCCTTACCATAAGACCTTATTGGTTGGATGCTAAAAGACATATGACATTGAAACAGCCACGTGATTACAGCCATGTCACATTGAAACACTGGTTCTTGTCTGATCACTAAAATTAAGCAACATTGAACCTAGTCAGACCTAGATAGGGGACTGCTTGGGAACATCAGCTGCTGTAAGCTTGAATGTGCAGGTGGTATAATGGATAATGGCTCAAAATTGTAAATCTGAGAGCAGAGTTCCAATTCCAGTTGAGTTTGTTATATTTGCTTATGTGCAAATACCATTACGAAAGGTATGAATCTAACTCTCCCTTCCAGCTATGAGTTAATTAGTAGGAACTGTATCATTAAAATACTTATTATCTGGCTTTACTTAATATTTTCTGGCTTTAAATAATCTTAAAAAGGTTGATAAGCTGTATAAAAAAAAACAACAACAACAAATCAATCAATTAATCAATCAATAAGCTTGTCTCTTTATGGGTTTCTTTTGTTTCAATGAAAAAAAGCAATGGGAAGAGATCATGTTATCTTCGCTAGATTGCTGCAAA